CGGAGTTATTTCTGAAATCCACTCGATTGAAATTACACCAGAAAATTTCTCACTGTGTGTTATGCTTCGTAGAAAATCTATTCAAATCTATGTCGATTTCATCTGGATCAAGCGAAAATATAAGGAGCTATGAACTGAAGCCCCTCACATGCACCACGGGAACGTATTCATTAAAGAACCGTCGAAAAATAAATCTGAAGACCTATTCGAGACGAGTAGGAACCAAGCCAGAACAATAACGGTACTTCTCACTGGTCACAGCCCAACAAGAGGACACCTGAATAAAATGGGACTGTACAATGGAGAACTTCTATGCAGACAATGCGGTGAAGGGACAAACACTTATTAATAGAAGGCGAGGATTTGGATCGCAAAAGACAAGAAATATCCGGGCAGCCTAGGCTGACTCCCGAAGAATACAACAGCCAACCGGTGAAGAACCTGTACAGACTAGTACAGAGAATAAGAGCTATGGAATGGATGCTGGAAAATAGACTGGAATGCACTAAAAGCCCAGGAGGCTGAGGTGTAGCCGGTGACAGGACCAGCATCCAAGGAAAAAAATGTCGATTTCATTCTGTGAATTTGGGCAATCATCATTGTCTTCAATCAGTTCAATAAGCTTCAATTCATCAACACCAAGACGTTTCGTTCAATTGATCTTTCTAACTAAATTATCAATGAAGAGTAAGAATAAAAGAGGCCATGTGTTCGATCCTTGTGGAATTCCCAATTTAGAGGTGCATAGGTGTGACAGAAGTCTTCCATATTCGCCATATTTTATTACTTTCAATCACCCAGACAGCACCAGATATTCCATGAATCTCCCTATCATATTCCTTTTGGAATATTGGAATATTCTAGAAATAATCTGGAATATTCCGGAATATCTGTGGAATATTCTCTAAATATGCGAATGGGAATTCCTCAGATAATCATAGAATATACCCAAAAGAATATTCTATGTTGAATGTTCCTGGAATATTCCAATAAACATATTCTAAAATAAAAAAAAAGTGACCCAAGTAGGGATCGAACTCGTGACCTCAAGACTATCAGAGCAACGCCTTGACCACTAGGCTAGTAATCGAATTGAATATAATGACATACATATCTAGTTATTGTGAGAGCATTGTTCGAAATCGGATCATAAACACTTTTTGTTTCAAAATCCCCTTACATCTAATTGATGTTCGATACTCACATCTCTGAAATAATAATTGGTATTCATGTGTAGGGAAACATAGGAATATTCATGGAATATTTCATGAATATTCACCACAGAATATTCAGTTCAGAATATTTCATGAATATACCGCACAGAATATTCAGTTGGGTATATTTCATGAATATACAACAGAGAATATTCAGTTGGGAATATTCCTGGAAGATTCATACCTGAATATTCCCTGAACATGTCCGACTATTCACTTTGGAATATTCCTTTTAGATGTTCCAGAGGCATGTATATATTCTAGGAATAATCGATGAATATTCGGAATATACTCCTCCTTTTTAGCATATTTAGAGAATATTCTATGAATATCCAGTGCTGTCTGGGATATTGAATTTTCATTCTTTCGGAAACAATAATTATATCCAAAATATTTTCACTGGTAGAAACAATAACATCGTGTCAATGACTACAAGCAATTTCATAAGTTCAGAGGTGAGGAAGGTATCAAATTTCGAGTTCCGATGCATTATTAATATCACCCATACAATATTATAAAAGGTTAATTCTCGAGCCAACTGCATAATTCAACTCCATTTTGTGGTCTCGAAAAATACTGTATTCCGATATAATTTATGTAGGAAGCATACATTTTTTACTGTTTTTTCTACCGCTGTCGACGGAACGTGATACGTCCTATTCGTAAGGGCATTGAAGTTAGATAGTTTTCAACATTCTTGTTCCTGAAGTGATTTTTCTGATTGCTGAATTGTGACCAGTTGATTATTTTGGAGTAATACCAAAAACTTTATTGGAAAACAGGTATGTACCCTATGTATGTAGATTCTTAGTACTTATTTTCAGTTCATTTCATTTTATTGCGAATCAGAAATGAAATTGATTCATCAGAACCACGAAATAGCCACAATGCTCGAAGTGGAATGAAATGTTGAATAAATACAAAAAGCTTAAAGTCATTTCCACACAAAGTTCATAAAATAAACAACAATGGTAGATTTCGGGAGAAAAACAACTACTTTCCTGGCTATAATGCAACGCAGAACATTGAATTACATCCTCCTGAAATCTAAGGTCGGGCAACCAGCCACTCACGTATGGGAATTTTTGTTTTGGAGTGTTTCTTTCCTTCTTTTCTACTCAGATGGCGTTGCTCTCATATTGTCTATGGAGGGCGCCTCTGGGGGGATATAATGCCGACTTGATTTTTGTTTGGCAAGGCTACGCTTGGTCGTCAGTCTTTAGGACTGCTGGCTGGAGATTGCCCTTCACTGATAAGAATCAAATAGCTCGAAACCGGTCTATAGGTGTCTAGCGTGGCCTGGCTGAATCGAAATCAATAGGCATTCAGGAAAGAATCACTTGTATCAGTATTCGTTTCGGGAGGATGTAATTCAATGTTCTGAATGGAATTAGCCAGGAAAGTAGTTGTTTTTCTCCCGAAATCTACCATTGTTTTTCATTTTATGAACATTGTGTGGAAATTACTGTGAGCTTCTTGTATTTATTATGATTTATCAGATATACGCAGCCAAGTGATATCAGTTGATGGAATTGCATAGATTACATTGAAGAATAACGCGATACAGATATTGATACTGGAATATAATAATAATTGTAACTCCCTATAGTTACACAGTTTTTCGAGTTCAATGTTATATGCTAACCATTCGGTGAATCAACGAAATTGCAGAAAATTCGAAAGGAGTATCCCAATTGTTGGTTTTAACAGTAATTTCACGAATTCTGAAAATTCGACATAATTCTGTCGCTTCATTGTTCACACAATTGTGTTGCCGTACATCAACAGTCCATTGAGACGAGTGGTATTGTTGTAGGGCAATGCACGATTGAGTAAATAACCAGAGACAGAATTATGACAAGATACTCAAAACATAGGGTTTTTTCCTGAACTTATTCACAAAGCATGAGAAGCATTTATTATAAAGGCACAAGCCATATAACCAAAGCGATTCTTCATGACATCTACAGCTATAATTATTTCATGTCAAACTGTCAGCCTTTTCTTTGAATCCATGGGTACATCGTTGAAAACACCAAAGCTGATAGACCAATCAGAACTGAGAGACGCTAGTGTTTTCGCGATAATACAAGGTGTCTTTGTCTTGCGATTGGTCAGATTATGAAGACTCTGAAAAATGATTCAATTCTCGGAACTGGAAATTTGACATTTCGACAACATTTCTTATGATCTCATTGGGGATATCAATATCTCAAAACGCCAAATTATCTACAAACATTATTTGGCATTCTCAAACATCAAAAACATTTTCGACTAAAAAGACAGTGATAATGATAATAATAATAATAATACTTTATTTCCACTTCGACAAATAACATTGTATGGGAATTGTCAATATAATATAAATCAGTAGAAGAAAATGGAAAAAGAGTTAGATAGAGAAGAGAAAAAAGTAATAGAATAAAATCGGTAATACCTAAAACTAATCTCATTCTTAAAATTCTGAAATCGTATAAAATCATGCTTTCAATAAATAGTCTTTCAACATCTTTTTGAACATAATGATGTGTTTCACAGACCTCAAAAATTTTCAGTGCTTCTTAATTCTTGTGTTATAGTTATGTAGATTCTGATTCACTGTTGAAGTTAATCTATTCTTGAAAAAATATAAACATAATTCAAAGATATAAAGAGATGTCAATGTCATAATTTTATATTTCTTGAAGAGACTTCTACATGATTCTCTAGCTGAAACATTTGCTATGCACCGTATTATTCGCTTCCATGAACAATTCCACCATACCTCAATCTAGTAAAAATGTGTCTTCATATATCGAATTTCTATACGTTCTTGTAAAGATGTAGGTAATAATCGATTTCACGTTCTCGTTTCACAAAACTTGAAAACGACTAAAGCTGTATTGATTTATGACAACTGACGTGGTATTATTCTGGGGTGAATTGGCTTTACATTAATTGGAGTCACACAACTCTGGATTTATTCATTCGGCTGTGATTGCAATATGTTCTTCATGATCCACATCCAGAGACCAAAAATATAATATTTTCAGAAAATATAATATAGTAGAGTGAAAAACTCAGAGTTATTTCCACCAAATGTTCAATTAATTGAGCAAAATTGGTAGCTAATGGCAAAAACACCTATTTGGCTAACGCTGATGATCCATACGGAGATGCTTATTATTATATTATTAGTTGAATGAGTGTATTATGGGCCTTCATCATGGACTGACTGCTGCAATGTGTGACGACTATTTGAGAATCCGAACATTCTTTTCAATTCTGTAGCCTAGAGTCTAGATATTTTATGAAAATATCCAACCTTTGCCTTTCAAGAAGGTATTTTTTCAACTACGAAATAGCCACAATGCTCAAAGGAAATGAAATGTTAAATAAATACAGACTGCCCTGTCCTGCACTGTTGAGAGTCAAAAAGCTCGAAACCGGTCTGTAGGTGTCTGGCGTGGCCTGGCTAAATCGAAATTAATAGGCATTCAGGAAAGAATAGATTTCGGGAGGATGTAATTCAATGTTCTGCGTGGCATTAGCCAAGAACCTATTTGTTTTTCTAATTTTTTCTACCATTGTTGATCATTTTATGAACATGGTGTGGATATGACTTTGAGCTTTTTGTATTTAGTTAAGGTATTTTTTTTCAATAAAAGCACATTTTTATAAAAAAGTTCAGCTTTGAATAGTACGAACACTTTCAGACAAATAAATCCAAGATTTCAGCAGATAACTACCGTAAAAACTGCAGATAAAGAAGATATAATCTACCGAAGAACCCACATATACTAATTGATGATGGGGATTATGGATAAAGAAAACGATACTTCTAATGAAGATAGGGAGATAGACTATAATTTATTGCAAGGAAAATTGTTGTCACATCCACCACCAGGAGAAGAAATCGTAATATCAGGTAATATTATTGAGAAAGAAGTTGAATGACATGGTGTCACTCAGCTACTTCAAACCGTCGATGTATTGAATAGTCGTGGAAAAATGGAAGGTTTGAACCTGAATTCTACCTTTCAGGAATATCTGGTTCTTTTCCTCTTACTGAGAACATCCTAGAGTTCCAAGAAAACCTGTACGAGAAAAAAATAATGCTGACTGGGAATTCCAGATGGGATTTCAGTCATGCTGAGATACCAGCTGCTACTGGAGCTGTACCAGGAGCAGAAAAATTCGATGCTGGATATTTCGGTATGTCTTCATGCAAACGTCAATATTCTTTTTCTGCAACCGACACAAAAGTCGTCCATTTTGATACCAAAATTAGCTCTTAAATTGACGTTTCTATTACTGACACAAAAATAGGTATGTTGCTAGGCAACATATTTAGTTCCTAGGAGCTGAAGTTGAATTTTAGTTCCTAGGAGCTAAAGTTGAACTTTAGCTCCTAGGAACTAAAAAGGATCTACTGGACGTCATCAAGAATAAACAACATTGTGACGGTTTGTTATTTGGGTTGAGACGCATACCTGATTTGTTTCCGATTTCAGCAGATTTGGCATTTCATACCCATGCTGGAGATATAAATACACCTCATTATAGTTTAGTATTTGAATTATAAACATCTCAGTTGAATATTTTTGTTTTGATCAGGGAAACCTTCAAGATTCAAATACTTGCTTGATCTGTATTTCATTCTTTATCCTCGGGATGGATAACTTGGTTTTGAATAATCACGGCAAGCAATAGTTTTTTTGTCTCAATCAACGATATTGTTTAGCTTCATTTGATTATCAAGTCAAACACATTGTAGTATGGAGAGAAATAAATAATCACTATTATCATTGTGACATGCTCACTAACCTAACATTTTCCACGTCTTGTGCCTATAGCTGGCACTGGCGCGGTATTTGCCATTAGAGCACCTGGTCCATACACAAATATGTCACTCTGTGGTTGTATTTATATTGAAACTACAATTCGAACATCCTAGAAAACCTAACCTGCTGTTAATGCAGGTAGAATATTCTCACCACATGGATTATTTGTCAATATTTGTTGCATTGCATACATATTGCACGGCATTGGTGGTTACTTCACATGTTCATTTGAGTTAATTGTTTCGGTTGCAGAAAAAATAGCATGTTTCATTCGGATCAAAAGTGACTTTGTTCAACTCGCAAATTTTGCTTTCGCTCGGCTTCGCTAAACGCTCCGCCTCGCAAATGCAAAATTCGCTTGTCAAACAAAGTGTCACTTTTGATCCTAATAAAACAATCTACTATTATATCCATCAAGGCCGAACGTTTTCATCTGCGGATTCACACATTCTCATGAGATCATTCTACTTATTTTTCTTCCGCGTCTGTGGAATGCAATCAAAGGGCAACCTGTCTGTTTTTCTTTCCTATTTAGTTTGATAAATTATTCAATATATTTTATGGCTTCGAAAACAATGTTACCAGCTACCAGAAATAATCTACAGCACACACTTCATTGCTTTTCCGTTTCATTGTTTATTCATGAGCTGATATTTTTTTTATTTGATTTGAATTGTCTGCTTTTATTATATTCAAAGTTTGATGGTCGATAAAAAGTTATATCAATATTAGATTAACCGTCAACGAGATATTTTTCTAATCAAATTTTCTTCTCTTGTTGTACACAGCCACACAGGGTGTCCCTGAGAAGTCTTCATGAAAATCTATCGTATATTCCTCGGACTGAAACAATTCAATACTTACTATCACTCATCTTAGTAGAAATTTGTTTATCTCGGAGGCTAGTTAGCTCCCTCTCAAGTTTTCATTACAAAACGCAGCAGTTCAAATGAGTTGGGATTAAATGCCGCCAAAAATGTTTACTATTCACTCATCGAATCACATTTGCGTTACGGCATTTGTTTCTGGGGGACATGTACTGACCATTCATTCAATTCAATTTTCGTTTTACAAAAGAGAGCATTGAGATATCTGTGTAAAGCTAGGGTGATGGATTCATGCAGATCATTGTTTCTAGTCCATGGAATATTGACATTAGCTTGCATCTTCATTTTGGAAACTGTTTGCTTAGTCCATAAGAAATATAAAGATTTTAGATTTGTTACAACCAACACATAAAACCCGCAACTCTTCAAATTGTATCAAACTTCCCATTCCCACATCGGCTCTGACTAATAACTCTTTAATTTATGAGAGCAAGAAAATGTTTAATTATCTGCCTATTTACCATCGGGAAATTGACAATGAACTTAAGTTCATAAAACAAGTCAGAAAGTTTCTTATTTTATATCTAGATTCGAGTCTAGATTCATTTGATTTTATATCTAGACTTATATTATTTCATTTTATTTTATCTTCTTTTATTTTATGTCATTTTATTTCTACATTTCTGTTGTGATTTAGTTTGTTAGTTAGTCATTGACGCACTATTTTGTTATATGTTATTTTATTTCTTGAACTATATTGTGATAGTTCTCACTGCTCCAAATATTGTTTTTATCGATTATCCCAAATCTTTGATCATGTTTTCTTCTTAACCTATATAGGCTTTGTCAATGAAAATCACCTTTCTTTCGACAATAAAGCGAATTTTGATTTGATTTGATAGATGTCAGTTTATTTTTATACGTTCTGATTGCTTTGCTAGCAACAAGTTCGCAACAATTCCAAGTTCTGAATTGACTCGGCCGTTACTTGATGGAAATCCATGGAAAATGTAAAAACTTCACAAACGATAAGATTTTCACAAAATTCTCAAACACAAGACATGTTTCGCTAACAGTAGCTTCGTCAGGTGATATACTGGTACAATGAACTAAACTAACGATGGCTTGCTTAACTTTTATATATCTTACTTTCCCAACCTGAAGGATTAGTTACCTGTGGACAGGTACGATAAACCTCCATTTTCGGAAATTAGGCACAATATCTACATTAAAATACGGTATACCGGATTAACTTCAAAGATTTGATAGCAAAACATATTATTACTAACTAAGAAAACAAATTCAACAGTGGTGAACTATTGAGTTCTAATTGATCATTAAGTAAAATGTCAAAATTTTCGAGTGTGTTGATTTTTAATGATTCAAAATGATTGAGTTTCAGTCCTTTATTTTCTACGTGTAGAATTTCGAAATTATCATCAAAACTATGGTTTGCTTCTAATATATGATTGGCGTATGTTGAATTTGTTTTCTTTTACACAAAATTCATCTTATGTTCATGAATGCGCTGATTGAACGTACCACCTGTCTGACCGATATATACCTTAGGACAAGATCCACAGTTGAGTTTGTATACCCCTGCTTTTTCGAATTCAGAAGTTTTGTCTTTATTATTATTGATAAACCGTACCAACGTGTTATTTGTTCTATATGTCACTTTTAAGTCCTGTTTATGTAGAAATGAAGCTAATTTCTCAGTTGATGATCCGAAATAGGTTTAAGTTCTATAATTTCGATTATAATTCTTGTGATAGGATAAACTTCTTGAGTAGCTTCAAGATGAAGTTTTTTAGAAATACTGTCTATCAAATTAACGTTGTATCCGTTGTTGACTGCAATCTGTTTTATGATATTGAGTTCTTTATTGAAATTTACTTCCGAAAGAAGGGTATTCACTAGCCTGTGTATCATATGCTGCAATTTTAAGTTGATAAGGGTGGTTGAATTATTATGAATAGTGATATCAGTGTGGGAAGGTTTATGGAAAATTGAAAATTCATGTTTATCGTCAATTTCACTTATTGTCAAGTTCGAATTTCGTAGCCGTTTGATATATATCTTCATCAGATACAGTATAGGTCAAGTTGTAACTCTGGAAGGAATGGTTAAAATAAGGATTCCTATTCAAAAGAACACCTTCCGTCTCAAATGTTATTTTCAAAAGATCTTTGATTTCGAAATATATTCAATAAAGCGGTTATTATTTTTGCCAATGAAAATTTCATCACTCTGTATATTTTTGTACCATAGGCATACATGAGAGACAAAGCCACTCCTTAGATGCGATGGGAAGAATGGTTTTAGAAAAAACAATGGAGGCAATCTTTGATGCTGGCCTTCATCCATCTGACTTTGAAAATTCCAAAACAGGAGTGTATATTGGAACCTGCTTCAGTGAGACCGAAAAATATAGTTTTTTCGATTCTCTCAATACCCAAAATTTTGCCTATACTGGGTAAGTGAGATAATCCATAATTATTATAATAACAATAATAATAGTAATAAGTTTATTCAAAGAACATTTTCCATAATGAGGGTTATAAATATACAGGGTGATCCACGGTGGATGGCCTATTAGAAGTATCTGAAGAACAAAAAAACAGAACATTCTGAAAATTGGGATGCTCTTATAATTGAACATTTTCTATCCGTCTAAAATATTTTCATCGATACAGTGTTGCCACTTCTATCAGAAACAACTAGCAACTTCGTTATTTTAAATGAAGCACCCTGTATTTTATTGCATTTTCATATTTTTCCTGAAGATCTGATTCCATCAATGCATCACACTTGGGGTCTAACAGGAATGATTACAGAGATATAGGGTGTTCAAAATCAAGATTTTTCAATTTTAGGATTTTTTTGTGTCGAAACTATCCATTATCGATCAAAACGGCTCACATGTCCCTATCTTAACTTTCGATTTACTATCTACTGACATTTATTTGGAACAGATACAGGGTGATCAGAATTCAAAATCTTGAAGCACCCTGTATTCTTTCCAATTAAATTCCAGTAGATAGTGAATCAAAAGTGAAGATAGGGAGATGTAAGCCGTTTTGATCGATAATGGATGGTTTCGACACACAAAAATCCTGAAACTGATAAATCTCGATTTTGAACACCCTATATCTCTGTAATCATTCCTGCTAGACCCCAAGTGTGATGCATTGATGCAATCAGCTCTCCAGGAAGAATCTAAAAATGCAATAAAATACAGGGTGTTCCATTTGAAATAACAAAGTTGCTAGTTGTTTTTGATAAAAGTGGCAACAGTGTATCGATGAATATATTTTAGACTGATAGAGATAGAGTTGATCACCCTGTATAGTGTATTGAATAAACTAAAGAGAAACCTTACGAAGTGTGACTTGTTGTAAGGATTGTTAAATACAAATACAAATCAATCAATATAATCGAATTACATATTTCATTTCATTTCAAGACACAAGATTTTTTTTTATCCATTTTTTTTTCATTCTTTCATTCATATTCAGTTTTAATCTTCTCCTGAAGATGCTAACATAGGTAGCGAAACACGTGTCGTGGCGTTTAATTATCGGTTTGGTTAGTGGTAAAACAGTGTAATGTATTATCGTGCCAAAGGTTCCAGTCTTCGATATATCCATATTTCCTATTCATATTTCCTATTTATATATGAGAATTGATATTTTGGCACTCAATATTTCATATAATATAGTATTCAAATATCAATATCAAGATTTGCAAATAAATTTCTTAAAGAGTTTAATATCCAGTTTTTTATTCAAATTTCATAGCACCTAGGTTAATTTAATTTTTTTGATATCATTCGGAATTATATCATATGAATAGGGATATTACATATTTATAATTCCTTTGTCTAATAGTTCGATTTGTTTAATATTTCAAGGTTATAACAGTTTTATTTTCTGTATTGTGAGATTATTATTGGGATTTAGGTCTTAGATTAAAGACAAATATATTTCTTGAGAGGCAACGTTTTGTCAACTTATTTTGTCATCTTCAGGACACTGAAGATAAAATGGTAATTACCAATTGATGAATAAAGATATGGAAAATACAGATATAAAAAACAACGTCTTCTCTTTTTGGCTCTTATGAAAACGTTTTTTTTTACCAACTACTAAGGATGGTTGAGGTGACTAACACTTTCGTGTTGAACGAAAAGTGATGAACCAGAACAGGTTTCTGTTTTGACAGATGTATACATAGATATAAAAATGAGCTCAAAACAACAAACACAAGCATCACTATCATAAAGAGCTAGGGGGCTATTGTAGTTGATATTTTTTTTTATCGCTTGGAGCGCACGAAAGGGAATCCCTATAATGTTCAAAGAACATCGTGCGTTCCTAGGGAGGATAGGGACAGGAGGTAGGTATTGGAATTTTTTTTTAACTTTTGGAGATTATAATATGTTGTTGGGAATACTTCCACAGGCAATGAATTCCAGAGCCTAGCCGTTCTATGGATGAAGGAGTCTTGATAAAGTGCTGTTCGACATTTTTCGAGGTTGACAACGAAAGGATGTGCTGACTGGGCTTGTCTAGTTCGTCTGATTGGTATTGCTAGTGAAGGGATGATAGCAGAGATTTCCGAAGAACATTTCCCGTGGAAGTATCGATAGAAAAGTGAAAGGTCGCCGACCTTTCTACGGTGTTCCAATGATGTCAAAGAGTGAGTGAGTGTGGCGTCACCCACCAGGCGAATGGCTCTTCTCTGGATGGAATTTAAGAGCATCAGTGTATGTTTTGGTGCTGAACCCCATATGTGGGAACAGTATTCTAGAACAGGCCGTATTTGCGCTTTGTAGATCATGAGAAGCTGTTGAGGTGTAAAGTAGCTTTTCGCACGGAACAAGAATCCGAGTTTTTGTGAAGCAGCTTTTGCGATGGATCTGACATGATTATCCCATGAAAGAGTGTTGCTTATGGAAATACCGAGCATAGATATGGTGGGATTGGTGGGGATGGTGGAGCCAGACATTACAATATCGGGCATACTGAGTTCCGCCTTTCTAGAGAAAATGCAGGCTTGAGTTTTGGTGGCGTTGAATTCAACTAGGTTGTTTGTTCCCCAGGCTGTGATGTCAGCAAGATCTTCATTGACAGCATTGACCTGCCTGCGCCGTGAGTTCTTAGTTTCCTGGGAAGAAATGGGAATTCTAGAAGAGAACGCAGTATGGAGGGTACTATCATCTGCAAAGCTGTGGATGGGACAAGTTGTTATGAAGCAGGAATAATGTTGGTGCCAAAATTGATCCTTGTGGAACGCCGGAATTGATGCCAACGGTATCAGACGATACACCGTCCACCACCACGTGAAGCGATCTGCCTGAAAGAAAACTCGATAAGAGATGGCATAGCTGAGGTGGTAAGCCGTATGATGGTAGTTTGTGGAGGAGTCCTTCGTGCCAAACACGGTCGAATGCTTTCGAAATGTCCAACGCGATAGCTAGAGATTCCCCGTGTTTTTCTATTGAAGATTGCCATAAATGGGTGACGTAGGCAAGTAGATCTCCAGTAGATCTTCGGTGGCGAAAGCCGTATTGTCTATCATTGATGATTCCTGAGCTCTCCAGATATTTGATAAGCTCAATATTGATGAAGCCCAAACCAAAACTCAAACAATTTTCATTTTCAGTGCCGTGAGATCTATGATTGCTCATAGAGTGAGCTATTTCCTGAAGCTCAAAGGACCTTCCTTCGTATCAGACACGGCTTGTAGCAGTTCCTTCTACGCTTTTGAACCGGCCTTCAGGGCTCTAAGATTAGGAGAAATAGACACTGCTATTGTTGCAGGAGCCAACCTGTGTTTGCATCCTTTCGTGTCTCTTCAGTTCGCAAGGTACATTAGTTCATAATCTTTATTATTCCCAAGAAACATATGTTTATAGCAGGGAAAATTATGAAAGAGCAACTAAAAAAAATAAAATTAGATAATCAGATAATCATTTTTAAATCATATACATAGTACATATAATATTGTTTCTTCTAGAGACTGTTGAGTATAAGTTCTTGAATTGATTTCGGATGATATAAGATAATCAAAGACATAAGTGTTTTTTCAGTTCTTTTTTGAATTTCTCAATACTCAATTTTTCCTTCAGTCTGGCAGGTAATTCATTATAGAGAATTGCTCCATTGTATAAGATAGATCTTTTACCCATATCCGATTTAATTTTGATGAGAGTTAACATATCATTTTGTCTGGTTATGTGTTCTAGTTTATGACTATTGACTTCAGAATTCAGATTTGAATGTTTATGATTATATTTGACGAAATGGATGAAATTTAATATTTTGAAATTGTTAATTGAGCTAATATCTATCGATTGCCTAGGTTTATGAAGATTTCTTGTTGGTTTCGAGTAATCTAGTTTGTATATACATTTAAAAACATTGTTTTGAAGGATTTTGATTGGCTTTATAATTGATAACCTAGCTGTACCACAAACTGAAATGATTTGGTGTCTGATCCTGTAGAGTACTCCGATTACTGTAGATATTTTCTTTCTGATCGATTCAATATGTTTAGACCATGGCAAATGCTTATCAAGGAATATCCCAAAGAATTGGATGACTGTGGAATATTTGATGATTTCATTATTAAATTTGTTATCAAATTTCAGTTCACTTGAAAGGCGTCGATTAGAGATATACATGAATGCTGATTTGCTGTAATTTATACTCAAATCATTATAGGACAACCACGACGATGAAACAATCAAGTCACTTTCAATTGCATTTCTGATTTGTTGGATTGAGTCTGCGAAATAAATCAATGTAGTCATCAGCGAACATATAAACTTCTCCTTTCAATTTGATGTTGAAAATCGAGTTGATATATGTCAAGAATAAAACAGGGCCTTATATTGACCCATGTGGTACTCCACATATAATTTCATTAGCTGTACTCGAAACTGTTCCTTGATAAACGAATTGTTTTATTTGTTCCGTTCTGGTAACGGTGGTAGGAACAGAATGACGTTCGCAAATAAAACGACAATCTTCAAGACTCCGCATGAGAGAATTAACATATTATAGATGATAGAGGTTAAATTCCCATATTGGAGTTCCCAATAACTTCAAAATCATATGAACATGAAGATCAATAAAATGAATCAACGCATATCTGGAGGAGTGCTTGTGGTGATTGGAGAAAGTTATTCGAGATCGAGTGAATGTATTATATCTGGGAATGAAGATTTGAAACCTGTCTCACTTGGAAGAGTCATAAACTTGTGAACCTCACGATGGAAATGTCTTCTCTCTCCTACTTTCAAAAAGTTTCGTTTTTCATCAATCAAATATTATTTTTTGACTACTGCCAACAGTCCTTCCACATCATTCCTTGTAGGATTGTCGTTCTAGATGACAACCTAGTTAGGTAGTCAGTAGGCAAGGGCTATAATATTGTCTGTTTGTTCACTGAAAAAAAATTTGAGGGAATGTTGTACCTCAGAGACATCTACGTGAATTAAGTAAACTAAGTTATTCATATTGTATTCCTAACCTAAAAATTGTTCGTGTTTCTTTCAAGTTTGTAAATGAAAATCCGTCATGTTGAAACCCCAGGATGAAACATTATCACGAGAGATATTATCAAGTATGGAACAATTTTCTAGAGGAACCAAAGTCAACTTCTTAGGAATATTACCAATACTCAATTGAGAATTTATGAATGATTGAATAACTAATATTGACGTTTTAAGCAACTAAAAATCTACCTCAAATATCTCAGAAAATATGGAATTGAAAGGTATTTTAGTGTTGATTCTATTTAAGAAATAAAAAATATGTCCACTCGCCTATTGGGACACTTTATTTGACAAGCGATACTTGCGTAAGTTAAACTTCAAATTTAGCTCCTAGACACTGAAAGTGGTGCTTGGCAACATACATACTATTCATTTTATTGTGTCAGTAAGAGAAACGTCAACTTCAAGAGCTAATTATGGAACAGATTTATGGGCGATTGCAGAAAAATATATTCTTGAAGTGAAAACTCCTTTAGGCGCGTTCAGCATTTTTTTTTGGTAAAGAAAAAGAATAGCAAAAAATCTGAAGCGTATCTCCCAGGCAAAATTTTGTTAATATGATCCGATTGAATTCAAAATTGGTGTATGGGGGATTTTGGAGGGGTCGGAGTTTGTGATTCCTTCGTGAAAATTTGGATATTCAAGATGTCGGATTCAGTATGGCAGACAAGTTTATAATTATGAACCGATTTGATTCAAAATGGGTACCTGGAGGTTTTCGGGGTTGGAGATTGTGATTCCTTCATCACAATTAGGGAATTCGATAATCCCGGATTCGATTGATAGACGTGTATTGTAAGTTATTATGATTCGACTCTATTCAGAATTGATACCTATCTGATGGTTTTCGGGGTCAGGGATTATAATTCTTTTGTCAAAATTTGAAAATTCAAGATCACGGAACCGATATGACAGACGAGTTTTGTAATTATGATCCGATTCTATTCAATATTTGGATCTAGGATTTCCGGGGTCAGAAATCATGATTTTTCTGTCGAAATTTGGAATTTTAAGATGGGGGATCCAATATGGAGCATGAGTTCTGTAATTGTCATCCGATTCTATTCAGAATGTGTATCTGTTGTGGTTCCCGGGTGTCGAAGATATGAAATCAATTCATTACATAATCATGGAACGAGACAATCAAATTTACTAATAGCAAATACGTTCAAGTCAAATATCGGCAAACAATCCATTTTTCACACAGGAATCGTTCTATACAACTCATTACCAAGTCAATTGAGGAATATACAGGAAGCAACTAGATTCAAAATTAACTTGAAAAAATATCTGCTTCAGAGACTTTGATAATTCCATTTCTTATTTGCATTTTTTTTTCACTTGTTATATCTCAATATAATTCCATAATTGTATGTATAACATTATGTATATTGTTTATGTATCCTTTTTATAAACAACTATGTTTCTTGGGGTAATAAAGACAATCAATAAAAAAAAATCAATAATCATTATCGCTTGAATTTGCAGATTGGGTGTGCTAAGCAAAGATGGTGTCTGTAAAGCTTTCGACGAGGCTGCTGATGGCTATGTCAGATCAGAGGTCATCGGAGTACTCATTCTACAAAGGGCCAAAGACTGCAAACGGAATTACGCTGAGATTATTCACGTAAAAACGAATTGCGACGGATTCAAACCAACTGGAATCACTTTTCCATCCAAAGATTCGCAGTTCGCACTCATGAAAGAAGTGTACGAAGAATCTGGCGTCAATCCTGCTAGTCTCAGTTATCTGGAAGCACACGGAACAGGTGAGGAATTCGTTATTCGATCTGCAATGAACCAATGTATACGTAACATACAGTGTGAACCAACAAGAACTTAACCCTAATAGCACGCAACCTCCTATGGACGTCCCCTTTTTGGTACAATTCAAGTCCGAATGTCCTGGACCTAGAATAATTGTCCTTCGGACGTCCCATTCCATACGGCTCATGCAATGTTCAAGCAAGGACGTCCATGGAATGTCCGAGCTGGTACATAATTTCAAATGTCCTAGAAATAGCATCATTCAGACGTTCCACGTAATACATATAGTAGACTGTCCATGCAAGGACGTCCTTAGCATCTCTCTGATGGGTTATAATTTTGAACGTTCCTTTAGGAACATCCATCGGATGTCCCAAGTACTGATGCACTTCCTGGAATAACTTCAGTTCTTATATAATGTCCCTTCTAGAACAATCATGAAATATCCCAGACGATACATTTTTTCAAATATCTCTGTAAGAACGCCCCTAATATTTCCAGTATCGTAAAACACCCGAAATGTCCCTTAGGGACATCCGTCGGATGTCCGAATTGGTACAGGGTGATTCACCATAAATGTCCCCCCCCTCTAGCTCACTTATTTTTGAACCGTTTTAAAAATTTGAAAGATAATCTGAAATAATTTTTCAGAAATTTTTTCCCGTTGCATCAGAAAATACAGGGTGCTCGGAACAAACCATCTACAGAGTACTAATTGATTTTTTAAAATGGAACACCCTGTATTTTATTGTATTTTTAGATTCTTTTTGAAGAGCTGATTTCATCAATGCATCACACTTGGGGTTTAGCGGGAATGATTACAGAGATATAGGGTGTTTAAAATCGAGATTTTCCAACTTTAGGATTTTTTTGTGCCGAAACTATTCATTATTAGTCAAAACGGCTTCCATGTTCCCATCTCAACTTTTTATTTACTATCTAGTGAAATTTAATTGGAACATATACAGGGTGGTTCAAGATTCAGAATTCTGGTCACCCTGTATCTGTTCCAATTATTAAATGTCAGTAGATAGTAAATCAAAAGTTAAGATACGGACATGAAAACCGCGTGACCGATAATGAATAGTCTCGTCACAAAAAAATCCTGAAGTTGAAAATATCGATTTTGAACACCCTATATCTCTGTAATCAGTCTCGCTAGACCCCAAGTGTGATGCATTGATCAAATCAGCTCTTCAGGGAGAATCTAAAAATACAATGAAAAATAGGGTGTTTCATTTAAAAAAATCAAATAGTACCCTGTAGATCGTTTGTTCCGAGCACCCTGTATTTTCTGATCTAGCGGAAAAAAACTTTATCGAAAATCATTCAAGATGATATTTCGAATTTTAAAATCGGTTCAAAAATAACTGAGCTAGAGGGGGGGGACATTTATGGTGAATCACCCTGTACATGAACTGTTATGACTTCGGAAGAAACCCCTGTAGATATTCCATATGTTCATCTAAGTCATGATTTGGTACAAAAAAATTCTTCGGGGAATATGAGTACTCTGGTATTTGTTCTTGGCACAAGTATTAATAAAGATTCTGCATAAAACAGTTATCAAGATGAAGAAGGTATTATTGTTCAATATGTAAGATTAGTCGGCGCCTTAGGAGTGGTTCGTCATTCACTATAAGCTGTAGGTACTTCTCTTCTTGACCTCGCACGAGTTTAGATTTCTGGGGAGTTGGATCGAGTATTCGAAATAGCAATTTACAAATTTTTTCCAAATTTTTTCACCATCATTTTCCTATATTTCATGATTCTATTTGGCTCCAGGTACTGGATCTCAACTTCAAAATAGGAATTTACGAGTTTTTTCAACATTTTTTCACTTGTAATACCACTAGAGGTCAAATAATTTTCGGAAAATTTTTCGAGCTCATGGATATTTTGAAAATTATTTCGAGTCGAAGAAGAATAATTTCCGAAATATTCATGAGCGAGAAAAAATTCCCGGAATGTAATTTGACCTCGTTTGGTATTCGGTAAGAAAATTTCACACCAGATTTAGATTGAAAATCAAATAATTTTAGAATGTATTTGTTCATTTGATTTGCATACAGGTTCATGAATAAATTTAGTTTGGGTTGCAGTTCTGGCACCAATAATAGATTCCTGATTTTAACCTATTATATTTGCATGACAATACCAGTTTAAATGTAACATATTATATTCTTTCATTTCACATTAACTTCGGGATACTAGAAGTGATAAGAAATTATGATTTCGTCAATCAACTTTTCATGGGTATAAGTCGTTACCACCGATACAACAAGTACATATTAGTAGTAGTAGAGAAAGGGGAGGCGGTCGTCTAGCAAGTAGGCCCCAATGAGCCTTTTTTGCCGACCCCTGCTGCACACGTCATGTGCACATAATATCTACCAGAGATTATACACTCCTATCTACTATTCCTTCTCCTAATTCTCCTTTTCGAACCTCTGTGAATTTCTCATGAAGGTCAGTATGTCCGTCCACCTTAGTTTTTTGATTTTCCTGTTGAAGTGTATCAGTACCAGAGATTTCGAATTTTAGCCTTCCATAACTCCTTATACTGGCCCAGGTAGTGGTATGACATATTATAATAGATGCAGTTAGGGCATCAATGGATTCTTTGCCTATTAACTGTTGATTTCTATCTCATTGAAACGTCAAAAAAAAATCCGATTTCATACGCTGGTGGGTACCAACGAGAAAAAATGTCCACTAAAATACATACGTTGCGATGGTAAATTTTCATAAATAACCAATTCAACTATATAAAAATCACTGGTGTGGGATTCTCATATAATTATAATACCACAAGTGATAATATTTTGCCGGAAATATTCGGTGATTGTTACGACAGCTTGTTGCCTAGTAATTTCGTGAATGACATTGTTATTAAAACTACGAGCCGTAGGCGAGTAGTTTTGGATCAATGTCATGAGCGAAATTAGAGCAGCAAGCTGGAGTATGTCAATCGACGAATATTTCCAGGAAAAATAGTATCACGAGTTGCATTCGTATGACTATTTCATGATTGGATGAGACAATATAATATATAAGAAATAGGAAACATAATTTGAGTATATTCCAACTCAAACTGCGAAGAAGGACATAATGATAGTGATGAAATACAGAATTCAATTTTTTATAAATTAAAACTACCTACTTATAGTTAATGTACAATTTTGATAAACAGTATTTTTTTTATTATCTTGGAGATGGCTGCTCTCAAAAGAGTGTATATAGGTGCTATCCAATTGAAAAAAAATTTGAATTTATGTGACATAAAATAATTTAAAAAAAGATATCGTTGCCGAGGGGCTCGAACCACCGACCTTCGCATCCTCGCGCAACAACCCTATCAGTTGCGCTATCACAATAACTTGAGTAATTGAAGAAGATCACTTTAAAAAGGAATTTGAATTTTAGTATTGTTGTGTCAGACCGTCAACAAATATGCAAACTTTTCAAATTACACATGAAACGTCCAGCCAGAATAACATTGTCTCGCCTTTCGTACAAAATGTCTCACTGACGCGAATTATAAGTAAATAAAATAAAGAAGGAACTCAGGTTATTGTCTCAGATTTGAATCCAAAGCATTCTTGACCAGACACGATGTCAAAATTTTATCGCAGATAAACGAGGTTAGTTGGTCACGTGTGGGTCAATTCGGCTTCTGTATTGGTAGAGCAAGTCCGATAAAATTTAATAAACAAAAAATATCGCTAGAATACAGAAGAAACCGTAAAAATGGTCGATTCTGATTGGTTCTCGAGATCAAGAGTGGAATAGTCACTTATGATATCACGAGAGCTTCAATTATTTCCGGAAAGGTGCGGAAAATTCCTGGATATTAATCGAAGCTAACGTGGTATTTGGTAAGAAAATTTCACACCTAATATTTTCGATCAAAAATGATGGTTGTTGATGGAATGTAAGAACTAACGTATGGTAACAACATGTTAGTATATGCTGAAATTTTGATGATTTTTATTTATTGACTTATAGAATGACCTCGAAATATTCCGAAGTTGAATGTGAATGTTATTTAACCTATAAACGTCAAAAAAATTCCAGTGTAATTTCATGCTCCGTCCCCCAAGGAGGAGGAAAAAATTTTCAAGAAATTTGTTTAGTTGCTATGGTAACGATACGAAATACATGCTTTAAATTGATCGAAAATGTTTGGTGTGAAATTTTCACCATAATTTTCTTATATTTCACGATTTATTTTGGCTTCAGGTACTGGTATTGGTGATCCAGAAGAATGTGGAGCAATTGATGAACTACTCACTGAAGGTAGAACAACACCTCTTCTAATGGGATCAGTAAAATCCAACATTGGCCATGCCGAACCAGCTTCTGGTATTGGTTCCATCATAAAGGTGAGTATCTCCAACTTATATCGCTGAAACAAGATATTATTGAATATGAGATCATCTTTGGAAAACTCTGCATGAGTATTATAGTTGGGAAGCCCAAGCAGGGATTTCGGGATTTACTCGGCAGATTAACATAAGGGGGGTATCCTTGGACTTTGTGAAGTACTTCCACCATACCTGGGCCCTTTATATGATGTCCAAAGTTCAGTGCAGCCGATCAGATTAGTAAAAAAATCGATTATCAGGAATACTCGAGTGCTTTAAATACACATGCAGGGAAGTGTGCATTTCAATAATCTGGCGATTTGAGCGTGACATAAGGAAATGGAAGAGCCACAAAGTTCATCAATTAATTGTGCTGCTAGCAGCCACTGGGAACTGCATGTAATTGTGGAAACGTAGGAAACTGAAAAAAAAGTATCACTTCGTATATTGTTATCAATGCTTGAACCTTGTCATTTTTAAAGAAAAAATTGTAGAGAAACGTTTATTGAATTCAGTACAGTAAGTTTTATGTTACAACAATGAGAGACAATAGTTCGAATTGTGTATTTCGTGGGAATCCGAAAATGCAATGAAATACAAGGTGTGCTATATGAAAAAATCTCACTTTGATACGCCACGCATTTTTGAGTAAACCTGTATAACGCAAAATATTTCAGAAATGTACTGCTCATGAGAGTAGACCATCTCGAGAATTTTTGATCATCTATCTCAAACAGCAAAGCCGTTGTCTCACTTTGCCACACTACTGGTCCACCCTGTATGTCTACATGAGCCTTTCATCTAAAAATTGTGAATTCTTCGAGCTGTTGAAGTCCTGCTACAAAACATTGACCCACCCTGTATATTTTATATTTTAGTCATTACATTCAGTTATCAAAAGAATCCAACCGTCAGATTAAGGTAATTCCTCCACATAGTTGTCAGATTTTGGGTCGATACGACACGGACATTAAGATGAAGCGTCTGTATAATAATCTTACGCGCTCAAGTATTTCAAGGTCACGATTTTTTGGTTCATGTTCAAAAATTGATCATGACTTTTGGTCAATTCCAAATCGTTAGTCTTGTGAATGGGAGCTACTTGAGGGTTCATTTAACGTCCCTTCTCAATATCTGACGTGCTCGAATTATTTTTTTTTTATACCTATTCTCTATCATTTCGTACGGCCACCCCACCATGCAATCCGGCAGATTAATATTTTTCGGTTATCAGAAACACGTGAGGCGCATACACTATTGATATCTGATGCGCTCGAGTATTTCTATATAACTGTTTTTTTTACATTTTTGAACACCTTTACACGCTCTCCCCACTAGTGAAAGGTCATATATCATATAAACTCATTTTCGCATCTTATATTCACAATATGATACGTCCCCACGACACTCGAGTAAATCCCTATTTAACCTCTATGGCTCCCCTACTATTATAATCAGGATTTCACGGGATACTGAATTATTTCATATGCAGACCTGCAAGAAACTGATATGGCGTTGGTTCCCTTTCAGATCTGTAGATCTCATTTATAATTTGAACTTTATATTTCAGTGCATAATTGCCATGGAGAATGGATTTATCCCTCCCAATATAAACTTCAATACACCCAATAAGAGAATTCGTGGAATAATAGAAGGAAGGCTCAAGGTCGTTACTGAGAAGACGCCTTTTGAAGACGACAGAGGACTAATAGGTTATTATACATTGTTCAATAGAAGTTGGCGATACATATCCCTATTCCATCTGCAATATCGTTGAATAATACTGATTAATTCACAGGTGTGAACAGTTTTGGATTCGGAGGTGGTAATTGTCATTTGCTGATGAAAAGTAACAAGAAAGAAAAAGTTAACAAAGGCTGTCCGACAGATAAATTACCGAGACTAGTTCTTATTAGTGCAAGAACAAATGAAGCAGTTGTCCATATGATGGATGATCTCAAGAATAATCCTCTGGATGCTGAGCATATAAGACTCTTACACGAAGTATACAGGTAGTTGCTGAACAACTCATGCATTTTCCATTGACATATTCCAAAATTTGTCATTATAGGAAGAACATCGATAATCATCTGTACAGAGGTTTCTTGATAGTTTCAAAGTATGGCGAGATTTGTAGATTCTCAGAAAAATATCAGAGACATCAGGAGGTGCCGTTCTATATAACATTTGGAGAATTGGAAAATTGGTGCGAAATTGGAAATGATCTGATGGACATCCCAATCTTTTATGACACTTTACAAAGGTAAATCAGGCCTCCTTATATGAAACAATCCTTATATATGAACTGTAAATAATATGTATATTATTATTTTCGATTCTCTACAGAATTCAGAAAAAATTATCGGCGAAAAAAGTCGACATAATCGGAATTATGAAAAATATCTCTGAGGAACAGAAGAGGTTTCAAGCATTAGGCAGTGCAATTGTTCAAATCGGTCTTATAGACATTATGAAAACTCTGGATATCGTACCAAAATTCCATTTCGGATATTCGTATGGAGAAATGCTATCTGCCTACTTTGATGATTATCTCTCTTTGGAAGAAACTGTGGATTGTGTCTACGAAATAAATAGATGTATCAACTCTATCAACGGTTGGAGTTTCAAAAACTCAGGAGATGAGGTATGTCATTCTTTCAATGATGAAAATTATACAGGGTAACTCACGGTCGATGGTAGGTTAGACGTTCTTGGAGAACGCAACGCAGGATTTTTCTGAAAATCCCGCATCACAAATTTTATCACCTGTTCTATCGATCTAAAATATTTGCGAAATTGCGACGTTGCCGCTTCTATCAAAAAGTCCTAGACACTTCATTTTCCAAATGGAACACCCCGTATATTAATACATTTTTAGAATTTCCTTTTCATCACAATACTATTTTGTCGATAAATCCCTATACCTATCTCTATCGGTTTTCGAGATAAAAAATAATTTGTGTTAAATATGATCCAAAACATATCCCTTATTGAACTTAAGTATATCAGGGCTCTCAATTCACTAAGAGTTGATATTCTAGTGGTGGTTTGGACATGCTTGATGTATCCGATTTACACCAAAAAATCGCCTCCATATCATACAGGGCGTGCTGAAATTATTATTATACCCGTTGTTCGTACAAGTGGTCAAAAGTTGATTTTTTAAAATGGAACCCACTGTCTTCAAGGACAAAAAAATGCTACGAGATGACATAGCATGTCCCTATACCTAAATCATCAAGTTTCCTCAATAAATTCGCTTTCTGTGAAAAATATATCTTTATGAAGTAGTTAATTTCAGATAGCCATGGAAATATCAAAATTTGCGTTTTATTTGTTCCATTCTGGTAGCGGTGGTGGGAACAGAATGAAGTTTACAAATAAAACGAGAAACTTCATAACCTTGCTTGAAAGAATTTACATAAGAGGTTATATATTGTATATGGGAGATCCCAATAATTTCAAAAGCATAATACTAGACTTAAGAATCTAGAAAATTAATCAACTAATATTTGGAGCAGTGATTGTGATGATTGAAGAAACTTTTCTGAGATCGACAGAGTTTATTTTATCTGTGAATCAACATATGAAACCTGTCTTACTTGAAAGAATCATGAACTAGTGAAACTCACGCTGCAAATGTCTTCTAAATGTCTCTTTCTTTCAAAAAAGGTTCATTTTTGGTCAATCTAATTTGATTTTTTGACACCTGTCAACAGTCATTCCACATCATTCCTTGTAGTGAGACGGAATGGAAAGTAGTTGCAAATAAAACGACACATCAAATTGATTCCGGTGGCGAAATCGGATAAATAAAACGCAACTGAACTCATGACAGTTCGGTGACATCGAGGGTGACATCTATGAGTAATTCAGTAATTCTTATTGACAGTGTTTCAAAAAATCTACCAGAATGAACGCAAATACCGATTATTTAAACGAAGTCCTTATAAAATGCAACTGAATGTATCCTGAATTATTGACACCAATGAACGAGAGGAAGTATGAGGTACTTTGTATGTCATTTCCGTATCTGATATCACAATGACTCCATTACTTGACAGGAAATCAGATGGCTACGATACGAAGTAATTGAAAATGCCGCTGTAACCTATTATAGCCGTAGAAAAATTATAGGGTATAACTTGCACGGAATTCTAGTTTCCTACCCGCAAACTTCATTCTCGTAGGAAATCACTATCATTCCGTGCTCGTTGAACAATATACTATTATCAACTATATGGCTCAAAGTTAAAAGCGCCTCAAACATTACCAAAACATTATCAAGTCATGATTTTTTTCGAACAGCATTGTCTTTTGATGAGTCATATTCTAGCAGCAAAACCGATCATTCATATGTTCCAATTTTTATATTGGAGGTATGAGACTGAAGTGATTCAGGACATTACCCTTCTTTGGATCCTTTGATGAATTATATTGAAACTTCATTCAATTTCAGAAGAAGACTGATAAAGACATTGGCATTCATCCAACGAATGGGTCAATTCTAGAGAATTTCAGACTGGCTCTTTGCTCAAACAACATAACAACTACTAGTGAGTTTCATTATGATCATATATTATGTCGGCATCAATTTAGTGAAATTCTTCATTCCCTGAAATGCCTAGTCATTTCACGTATTGTCGGCAAACAACGTAACAGCGTAACTTACATTTTCAGCCGTTATACTCTGTTTGCCGGAGGGTTGAGGAAGAAAAATACCCTTTCTGCATATGCATAAGATCCCTTCCGCCATTACAGGGAATGCCTGAAACTATTAGGCAAACGGTGTACGAAATTCAGAGTTACGCTGTTTGCCGGCAATACGTGAAATGACTATAGGCATTCCAGAGAATGACGGATTTCAATGTTTGACGTCGACATATACATCCTTTGACTTGATCTTATCAACCTATATTTCCTAGGAAAGCTACTGAACGAGAATTTATCGAATATCATCAAACCCAAACCAACGAAGACCAAAAAATCGATAGAATCTTTCGCCACAGCTGAATACTTCATTGAAGCAATGTCAGCTAAGATATCTCAGAACTTTTTAGAGGGCCTTGAGAAGGAATCCATTTTGCTGAATATAGGATCTTTTCCTATCGAAAGTGACATTGAAGGTGTTAAATCGATAACTTGCTTTCCAAGTGGAAGCACCAACTACCTAGTCGATTTCTTGAGAATTTTAGGAAAGTAAGTTTGAGTGAGTTGATTCATACAGGGTGATTCAAAATGTGTACATATTGTAAGGACATCAGCATATACAACCACTGAAAATTAGGTAAAATTGTGACATAACAAATCAAATCATCTGAAAATCGGCATGCTCCTGTCTTTTTAGACCCTTTATTTCCTTTTCGCTCCAAAAATCATGTTAACCCTGTTTTGGGAGAGTTGGAGAGGGGGGTACACATTTTTATTGGCCCAAATTTCATGTTCAAAGAAAGGAAGTCTGATTTTGAATAGCACGATCTTGTGGGCCATGTGAGAATTCGGTAATGCTTGCATTTTCCATACAACAAACCGTTTGACAGAGAGTCCTAACCTCGGTCCTAACCAACGCAAGGGGAAGTCACGACATCGTTTTCGGACGCAATACACTGAAAAAAATAGTCGTTATGGTAAATACTAAACCTTTAGTGAGATGGGCACCAGTTACTATATTCATCTAATAATAACAATACAAAGTTGTATGATACACTATATCAAAGATTACCACTACTAAATAGTATGATACTTAAAGTATGATACTATTTTTTTGGTGCCTATTTTACTAAACGTTTCTTATTTACTATACCGAGTATTTCTCTGTGTATGGATTCATCGCTTGAATACGGATCGTATGTCAAAACGCATTCCAGACTGTTATCTCAGAGGCCTGCAGTACTGGAATAGGTATACTCACACTTGATCCGTCATCATGATCACAATTTCAGATAATAATTTTCTCACTCAAATAACAGTGGCTGTAGCTCGAGAATTTTATTTTGTTCCCAACAGTACGTCCTTAGAATATTTACATCGAATTTCGAATCACTCTGTATATGAGATATTTCTATGAATGCATACTCCGCGTTATCTGATATTTTCTTTTACCAATATACTTACTGTTGATAAACATACAGGGTGAGTCAAAAATGGGTTTCGAGCTTCCTGGAAGTGATATAGTACTTTGGAAAATAAGTATAGTGAATTAACTAATGGTTCAGAATTAACATTAAGTGCTTCCTGAGGGATCTACACCCCTTTGAATAGGACACCTCAAAGACCATTTTTTCTCTATAACTTGTAGTTAATGCAAATCTTCGCATTCAAAGTCGATTTTCCCCTAAATAGTACGCTGTATCGAAATGACCTAAGAGAACCTTTTTTACGTGAAAACTCTGGAGTTTTCCAATTTACAAACGAAATCACAATAACCTGATAATCAAAAGAAGAAGGGATGTTTTTACATTTACTCTCCCCCACATGTGACGCCCCTGAATAAAATATTGCAATTTTGAATTCGCATGCACCAATTTCCGAAGATTTATTGTGAGGGAGTTTGGAGTGATAGAAAAAAAATCGTCTTTATTAATGGGAACTTTTTGCCTCATTTTCATGCAAGGAATACGCCCCTGAATGGATGCCGCTCACATTTGAATCACCCTGTATACGCCGAGAAGTTTCCCGCTCGACGCGTTCCAAATTCAAGAACAATTTTGAGGATTGTGCAAAGACTACGTGAAAAAGAATGTTTCGAAACGGAAAATAGAGATGGTGCCCTGTCAAGAAGTTTGAGGCCACCTGAAATATCTTTACTGATGAATATATTTGCAGCTGATATGATGTCACTACAAGACTCAAATATCTCGAAAACGGTTACAATATTTGAATTTTGATAAGAGTACCTACAGTTTTCAGAATTTTTTTTTGGTCTATCAAATGCTTCTATTTTATCACCAAAAAGAATTCGGGGAAAAATGTAGTCTTCAAAGAATCATGACCCACCGTCTCATAACACCCTTCATATCAATATCAGAATCGTAAAAGTGCGTATTTTATCAACATACATTTATGCAGAAAAATTCAATCTGGTTGGTTTCACCGTTTAGAAGTTATGCTGAAGAATTATTTAAATTTTATCAATTCAGAAAGGATATATCTTCCTTACTATACAATTTGTTCCATCAGTCCACCCATTAAACCACACGTTTTTTTCAATGTACTATCACCTAAAGAAAGCTTGGTACACATTTATGACTCACCCTGTATATTTTTAAAGCTTATACGTCAATGGTCATCACCCAAAAGTGGCTTCCTTATATCCGGAAGTGAAATTTCCAGTGAGCAGAGGTACCAGAATGATCTCTCCTCATATCAAGTGGAAGCACGACAGGAACTGGTTCGTTCCGGTGTACAATGTACACCAGAAGGCTATGGCCGAGCAACGAGGGTCCAGAAAAGTAGAAATTCAAACTACAGACCTGGAATGGGCGTATGCCGATGGTCACGTGATAGATGGTGAGTATCAGACCATACAGATTTCGCTTGGCTGATATGTGCAAGTATACAATGGAGTTTCAGAACAATACTGTATGGATATTGGTGTTCCACAAGGGTCAATGCTGGGACCACTACTATTCATACTTTTCATACTTTTGGTCAATGGTATGCCTGATCATGTAACAAATGGACAGGTCACGATGTTTGCGGATGACTCTTCAACAGTGGTCTCAGCAAATACTCTGGAAGAACTCAATTTCGAGATATGACATCAAACTTCATGATACAATATGTGGAAACCAGAAGGAAAATGTCTGTGCCGAATGAGATCACTCCAAATTTGATGCTAGTTTTCATTGTACCATTCATCACCCTGTGAAATATTTATTCACTCATTTTTCTATTTCGCGAATTCATTTGTCTCAAGACAATAGATGAGCATCTGGAATCTGGAAACCGAATTGACTCGGTTACTTATTTAGAAGATATAATCTTATGAATCTGAGCTTAAATTTAGTATATACAGGGTGATCCACGGTGAATGGCCTATTAGAAGTATCTGGAGAACGAAAAGACCTCGAAAAAAAACAGAACATTCTGTAAATTGGAATGCTTCGATAATTGAACATTCTCTATCCGTCTAAAATATTTTCATCGATACAGTGTTGCCACTTCTATTAGATAAAACTAGTAACTTCTTTATTTTTAATGGAGCACCCTGTATTTTATTGCATTTTTAGATTCTTCCTGAAGAGCTGATATCATTTATGTACTACACTTGGGGTCTAGCAGGAATGATTACAGAGATATAGGATGTTCAAAATCAAGATTCTTTCTTCAATTTTAGGATTTTTTTGGTTCGAAACTATTCATTATCGATCCAAACGGCTTACATTTTTTTTCTCAACTTTCGATTCACTATCTACTGACATTTAATTGGAACAGATGCAGGGTGATCAGAATTCTGAATCTTGAAGCATCCTGTATTTTTTCCAATTAAATTCCAGTAGATAGTGATTCAAAAGTTAAGATAGGGACATGTAAGCCGTTTTGATCGATAATGTATAGTTTGGACACAAAGAAATCCTAAAATTGAAAAATCTCGATTTTGAACACCCTATATCTCTGTTATCATTCCTGCTAGACCCCAAGTGTGATGCATTGATGAAATCAGCTCTTCAGGAAGAATCTGAAAATACAATAAAATACAGGGTGTTCCATTTGAAATAACAAAGTTGCTAGTTGTTTCTGATGAAAGTGGCAACACTGTATCGATGAAAATATTATAGACGGATAGAGAATGTTCAATTATTGAAGCATCCCAATTTTTAGAATGTTCTGTCTTTTCGTTCTCCAGATACTTCTAATAGTCCATCCACCGTGGATCATCCTGTATATATAATATAGTAGTTCATAAAACGACGAAAGCTACCTTAGTAGAAAATAACACTTTTCGGGAACTAGACCGGACACGATATCTTTACATAAGTAAATCAGTAACTTTCATTTTGAATGTAGATTCTTTTCAACAAAGAGTGTGTTTTCATTCACACTGATCGCTATTGTTTCGATGTATTCGAATCAAATTATTCTAAGACATGTTTTCAATGAATTACCTACACCGTGACATAAGAATTGCAATGAATTTCCGAAAATGAGATTCAACTCCATCAGTCCTCATTGCTCTCATTATCCACTCACACAATCTCCATTTTCATTTTTTCTTTAGTGAAGTTGAGTGATTGCAACTATAGGTTTCAAAATTCTTGCCTTATCTGGTCTCTCTCAGAGATGCCGATATATTGCCCATTTCCTTCCACAAATAGTTAATTTAGGCCATGTTCATTCTGATGTTTGATTTCCAGGAAGGAATCTTTTTCCTGCAACTGCTTATTTGTACCTGGTATGGGAAACGCTCTGTATAATAGACGATATGCCCATGAATATCCGTGATGTTGTGTTCGAAAACTGCAAATTTTTGAGAGCCACGTCCTTGCCTGCGAAGGGATACGTGACGTATTATGTTTCCATAAACAAATCGTCTGGATCGTTCGAAATCAATGAGGGAGACTATCCAGTAGTAACTGGAAAAATCAGTACTTTCGATGAAAACATCAATGAAATATCGAAAACATACCGTGATCATGGAAGTATTGATACTTCGAAGCTTGAATTGACTACCAAAGATGTTTACAAGGAGTTAAGATTACGAGGATATAATTACAAGTAAGTGACATCACTATAGTCGAAACATTACTTCCATGCCGTTATTTCATCTAAAATTGTTATTCACCAATTGGAATCCACAAATTGGGATAGAATAATTTAGGTCCTTGGAGAACTTACATTTCCTGAAAGGTTTTATTCCTAACTGATGAAGATTCAACCTACCAAATTATCTTCCAGAGAGGTCGTATGGGAATACTTGAAATAATATTGTTGATCACGTGAACGATTGAGCTGATATACACTCAGTGTGGTCTTTTATGTTTTATATCGAATAGTTATACCCGATAGCAAAATCAATTCTCCGAAATTCGTGATTTTTTGCATGATTTCTACAGAAAATTCGAAACTATTAGGTTCAACTATAGACCAGTTTCTATCTTGGTCATCGCATATTCAAATGATAAAGGGAAAAATATGTCTGATTATTGGTATATCATACAAATTATTGAGGTCTTTTATACAGCTTACACACTTGGAATTGATTTATTTCGATTTGAGATACTCTAAATTGCAGTATTTGATATCGATCTGGGAGAATTCAGCAAAATCTGTTTTGAATCCTCTGAAATCTCTTGAGAATTGAGCCATAAAATGTATAAACTGCCATGTTCGGAATCAACATCTAAACGATACGAATCAAAGAGTTCGCTAGATATTAAAATAGAAGTGTACATTTTCATCCATTTTACTAAAAATCAAAGATGTACTCAAATCTTACCATCAATGTCATTTTTGATACCCATATCGTCGCCTGAGAATTAGATTGCTCTATCTCCACTTTTTCCAACAATTGAGTTGTATACATGAAAATGTTCGTAAGAATTGAAATAGTCATTCTCCATCGTGAAATATAGGAAATTCCCCTAAATGAAATAAAAATTTCTATTATTTTGGTCAATATCCGAAAATATATATCAATATTATAAAGGGTTTTGTCAAGCAGCGCGCTCCATGCCGATGGCATTTCCGTTACGTTAGTGTTATGTTGGCCAATGCCCTTGAAGTGAAATGAACATGTATGGTATTTCAGTAGTGTGAAGAGAGATGAAATAGTGTGTTCAGATTTTCATGTTTTGACCAGTGCTCAGCTGTGTGTGGAGCTATTCTTATAATCAGATACCGTACCCAAAAATGAAACATCTAGTATATCAGGAAGCTTCCCATTTGAACATAAGATTCAGAAATCACTCTGAAAAACCTTTCAATGAAATGAAATTAGGCTACGTCAAAAGTACCAGAACTCAAGACATTATTTCGTTCCCAGAAAGAGTTTGACATGTAAACCTCATGCCAACAATTTGCGAGTTGAATAAAAATCATTTGAGTGTAATGCTATCTTATATTCCCGAAAATGAAAGAAACTTTTACAGTAGTATCAATATTTCTGCACCACAAAGGGTGTTAGAGCAAAAAAAGAAAGTGACAAAGATAGCTGCAACCAAATCGAACTAAAAAAAAAATGTTGAGAAGAATGTTAGAGGAAGTTAGTCTGTCATTCTATTCTTTGAAACTCAATTCAATTCAATTCAATATATGCTTTATTGCCATAAATACATTCGTATTTGTTGACAAAGCTCGTACATATACATATTTAAATGAAATATAATAAACAATATGCAGTTCAAAATGTGAAGCTGTCTAAAATACATTTCAAAATATACAATCAAAAGCTCGTATAAAGCCTTAGTTAAAAATAAGAAATAAAAAACAACATAGACAATGAATAATAAAACATATAAAATATTGTAATAAAACTCACATGTGAGAGCTCCTATAAAGCTATAGTCAAATATTTCAAGATTATATATATGTTGTATAGAACGATCCTTTTAAGAATTAATCAAGAAGAAAAACATAATTTCAGAATCTCTGTGAAAAATATTCCTCGAGGTTGTATAGTGGAGTCTGAACGAGCAACATTTTCACCTTAGTCCGGAATTTTTTGTTACATGGAATTTCTTTGATGTGATTTGGCAAATGATTGAATATCTTTATTCCGTTATAAATAATGGAGTCTTTGATCATAGTGGTACGGGGTCTTATCAATTTAACTTGTCCGTTCTGTCTTGTGTTGTAATGTGATGAAACAAGCTCTAAAGAAGCTATGTTTTTTTGTATCAGAGCCGTTGTTTCCAAGATGAATAACCCAACTACTGTGAGGATGCCGCCATTCTTGAATAAATGTCTACATGAGTCTCTTGATTTCGCTCCACACATATATCTTAGGGCACGTTTTTGTAAAACAAAACTTCTCTGGAATAGCTGATCATTGCAGACTCCCCAGAATGCAATTCCATATCTCAAATGAGATTCGATGAGGGCAAAGTATGCAGCTCTAGCAGGCACAAACCCTAATTCTGCAGCAATAGCTCTAACAGCGAAGCATCCAGAGGCTAACTTTCTACACATTAATGTTACATGTTCATCGAATATTAGTTTTTTGTCAATGTATAAACCTAAAAACTTGGTCGATGATTTATTTTCTATGTTATCGCTTCCCATACCTAAATTTGGTAGATTGCAATGGAAGGATAGAATATTCGTTTTCTTTATATTGAGCGAAAGAAGATTTGAATTACACCAGTCTTTAATTACTTCAATATCGTGCATAACAGTTGTGTGCAGTACAGCTTCACTCATATCTTGCCAGAGGATAGTGGTGTCATCAGCAAATAAAGTGATTTTACCTTTGATGTCTAAAAGAACTATGTCATTCACATACAGTAAAAATAGCAGTGGTCCAAGAACTGATCCTTGCGGTACACCATGTTTGATATGTGCGGTCTTTGAGACGCTGCATGTTTTAACAGATTGTTGACGACCTGTGAGGTAAGTCTCAAACCATCGGAGCCGACTATCAGTAAAACCGTAACGATGCAGCTTCCGCAGCAGTATTTCATGATTTACGCAATCAAATGCTTTCGAAAAATCACAAAACACTGCCGCAGCAGCTGCCCCTCTGTTTAAGCTCATATACACCTCCTCCATGAAGGAAAACAGAGCATCATTTGTGCTTTTTTTTGGCTGAAATCCAAATTGATGTTCTGTCAGTATTTTAGTGCGTTTCAAGAATTTTGATATTCTGATTTTAACTAATTTTTCGATGATTTTTGCAAGAGTAGGTATAAGCGTGATTGGACGATAATTATTTGGATCTAACAAATCACCTCCTTTGTGAATTGGTATAACTAAGGATTGTTTTAGGAATGAAGGAAATACCCCACATCTAAATGATTCGTTTATGAGATAAACAAGCACCGATAATGCAGAATCTGGTAAATTTCGGAAAATATTAGCTGATATTTCAACTAATGTGCAATGAGAAAATACTAGTTCAGTTAAAAGAGTGAAATCTTAGTTGAATCATTTTGAAGAATATGGATAAGCAGAACACTGTAACTTTTACATAATCAAAGCAAATTGAAAATTTCACGTCTTTGAATCTGATATAACTAAACTATATGGATATAGACCTATCATGAACCAGATACATCATCCGGTTTTAGTTATGAGTTATATCCCCAAATAAATATTGAATTTGGTAAGAACAGCTTTTTGGTCTTTATCCAAAACAACCTCAATTTATTAGAGAGAAACCACTTGTAGTATCCACTCGAAAATTGGATAACATATTCATATTTTAGTGGGTTTCCACAGTAAATTTTTGCAGAACTAGTACTTCATGAAAAAATATCGAGAACGTTGTTCAAACTTTGAAGCTCATTCTCTCGAAACTAACTTTGTGTAAGATAGACCAATCTAATTCTCAGGCGACGATATGAGCATCATACCAGACAAAGTGATAAACTGTCAAACTAAAAGCACAATTCGAAACAAAAATCCGAATTCATTTTGGTACTTATAACAAACAGTCTACCAGACCGAATAATATCTATCAATCTCGTCCCAAAATTCAAAAGTGAACTGGAGAAATTCAATTCAAATCTCTTCTTCATTTTCATCAATCCTGATTTAACTGTTCTTCCATCTTCCATTGTATTGAATATTAGATTTGTTTGTTTTTCCTTGTGTCCCTAAAGATGTATGTTCCTTGGCATCAATTATTGTCATTATATAATATTATTAGAAGATATTTGCAGATTATATTGTTCTGAATTTGTCGAGAAGTTATCCAAGTATCATTCAGTACCATTAATGAAACATCATGTACTCTGGAATAATCTTTGGTGAATATTTCACTGATGGATCTTCTATCAATCAATACTATAATACAACTCATGGGTATAAAGGTGGAATATATTAATTCCTCTGAATTCTCTGAGAATTCATCATGAAAATAGAAGCATTATTTCACTATACTCGTAGTGAGAAAAAATCAGATTCTTTTGTATTGAATTTCAATTTTCCTCGAAATCCCACAAAATTCCATTCAAAGAACACAATAAAAATTCAAGTGGACTTCAAAAAATACTCATTGAAGAAGATATTTATGAATCATCAATCGATAATAAATTTCTAGGAATAATACAGTGATTTTTATTAATTTTTTCCAGGGGAGCATTCCGAAGCATTGTATCATGTGACGTGCAAGCTACTAACGCTCTAATCAAATGGGACAAAAACTGGGTCACTTTCTTGGACAATATGCTACAAATGAAAATCCTCCACGCTGATTCTCGTTTGCTCTACGTCCCTACTTACATCTCTTACCTGAGGATACCAGCCAAAGCTCATCTAGAGTGGGTACTACAAGCTTACATTAATAAAGACAAACCCACAATACTACCAGTCTTCAACAACAATCGGACGAATACGATTAGGTATTTATGCAACTGAAAATGTGAATGAAATAATTTACTGATTCTCAGTTTGGATTTTTAGTTGCGGGGAAATAGAACTCAAAGGCCTCATCGCAAGTTCCATACCACGTAGGAAAGACCTAGGCATCCCAGTTTTGGAGAGATACGCTTTCATTCCTAACGTAACTACACTCACACTGGAACAATCGATCAGGGTGAACATGCAAATTCTCTTGGAGAATGCTTTGGTCTACAAAGTAAAGTCCGTTGAAATAATAGACGAATCGACCAAAGAGGCCTCCATTCCTATATCACCTATAGTAAAAGCAGTTTTTGAGGATCAGCCCTTAATACAGCCGATCCTCAAGATTCTCACAAAGAATCAGTTGGAAACATCTGTTCCAGTAGAAGATAAAAATATTACAGAGGAAACAGATAATTTGTTGGTAGTGGCTTCAAATTTATTGGAACGTCCAGAGGTAAGTGGTCTAATATACTTAATGATCTCTCAACGATGTTTCCATCAGAAGTCAATGATGGTTTTCGATAGTAGAAACACATCTGTGTCAACCGTTCATCATTGGAGGTCGATTGTTCAGTCCATGGAAGATTGATAAAACCCGTATTGAATAAGAATCCTAGGTTATATTCCTTTATGTTGTTCAGCGGCACTATGGATGATGAAATTTGGCAATTTGTCTGACAGATGCTCTGAAACAGAGAGATATTTTGTTAGTTATATTGTAGTATATTCCAAATTTCTATCGTGTTCTCCATTTTATCATGACAAGAAATTGAGTTAGCGAATGTAGTTCTCCTTAATTTTAGGTTTTTATTTTTTTTCTCTGTTGAAACAAAACCTAGCAATTTGAAATTTGGTAAGCACTTTCCTATCTGCAATATGAACAGTCCTCATCAATAGAGGGGACTCAGCTACACTGGGTGTTATTTTGTTTATATCCACTGGTATGGAACCCTACATTCTTCTTCCATTGGGTAGCTAATAAAGCTGATAAAAAATGATCCTCATTTATTCACCTTCCTATCTGCGCTCTATTTGTTGCAATATCCTTCTTAATTTCCTTATTATATCAAATAATATTATACTACGCATAATAGTTTTTCAACCTGAACGTTTATCTTACATCAAATTATCATTCGAATTGAATATATCACGGATACGAAAGATATTGAAACAAATGAAAAACACGAAGTGCGGTGAAGAAATAATCATGATTATTCATTAGGTTCAATCCACTACTACTGACCCAATAAAAAAAAATCAAATGAATTTCATGTCAGAGGGCTCGAAAAAGATTGTCACCCTGTGTATTGTTTATATTTCCGATAGGAAAGTGCTCACCAAATTTCAGATCGCTAGATTTTGTTTCAACTGAGATAAAAAAGAAATACCAATAATGTATGCAAACTTTCCAACACCCCGTATAGTAAAAACAAGTTTCTCCATGATGAAATAGAAAAATACATATCTGATATTTTGATTTTTGCAATCGATTGTCGAAGTTAGACGAATTAAACCTGAGACACACTGTATAGGTATATGTACAGTGTCATTCATAAAGTCTGCATCATATGGGAAAAACTTTTATTAATGACTTATTCTGAAATCCGAGTTGGACGTTAAGTTTTGCTTCAAAAAAGATTAAAAATGGCCTACTCAAACGGGGTCACGTGACTTTCGCTACATGTCAATCGCTGAAAGTAGGCTTATTTGTTCGAATATCGAAAAAGTTTACTTGAAAAAGTTGTTTCTATTTGAATTTTACATATGTGACTCGGATTTTATTTTTCTATCACATTTTTTAGATTTCGATATTTTTTTAAAATTTTCGAAATTTCTGTAATATCAAAAAAATTGTAAATTCGATAGAACTACCTCATACGAGTAGTTTCATCATGCTACTAACTTTCAATTACTAATTATCACTAATTATCGACAAAAATATGATTTTCTTCAGAAAATGATGATCTCCGCTTCAAAATTCTGTTATGTTTGATGCAAACATAACATCAAAATTCTGTTATGTTATCGAGCATTTAGAAACGAAATTCATTTGAATTTATTTTTCCAGTACTGAAAAGATCAGTTCAAATGAATTTTGATTCTAAATGCTTGACAATATATCAACTTTGCATCAAACATAACAGAATTTGGAAGCGGGTATTATCATTTTCTGAAGAAAATCATATTTCTGTCCATAATCAGTGATAAAAAGTAATTGAAAGTAAGTAGCATGAAAAAGCTACTGGTATGAAGTAATTTCGTGGAATTAACAATTCTCCAAATATTACAGAAATTTCGAAAAATTAAAAAAAAATCAAAATCTAAAAGTTGCAATAGAAAGATCAAATTCGAGAAGCATGTGTAAAATTGGAATAGAAACAACTTTTTCAAGTAAACTTTTTCGATATTCGAACAAATAAGCCTACTTTCAGCGATTAATTTGAAAAAATTTCACTTTTAACATGTAACGAAAGTCACGTGACCCTGAATGAGTAGGCCATTTTTCATCTTTTTTGAAGCAAAACTTAACGTCCAACTCGAATTCCAAAATAAGTCATTAATAAAAGTTCTTCCCATATGATGCCGACTTTATGAATGACACTGTATATTTTTGAAATATTACCAATCAGTTTTATAAGCCACTTCATATGAAATCATATCCACAATCAATCTGCACAATATCTTGAGGTTATTCAACCAGAATATTTATTTGTGACGATATCTCGGGATGGTTTTCACGTAATCTGTAGGTATATGTAGGTACCCAAGGAACTTGTATAGGTATTAGAATGTTCACCAATTCAATTGTTGTATCTTCAACCATGAGAAGTTTCATGCAGAGATTGAGCTTTTATTCCAGAATATTCCATAGCAGTTCAAGATATTAGTAAGAACCTAAACCACCAATTTCGATTTTTTAGCAAATCCAGTTCGAATGATGAACTGAAGCATGAAATAATCCAAGATCAACGTAAATCTGCAGATTATTCCTAACTTCATAATCGGCCCTTAGAGTTGGTTGAATGATTTCAGTCTATACCTACTTTATTGCTAGTATAAGAACTACAAAACCAACTACTTCAATCTTTCTGAATATCTCAACATTTCAGTTATTGAAAGCAGTACTGCGTTCGCTAAAAGATAATGGCTTCATCATATCACGTGAACCATCAGACTTCGATCCAGCCATGTTGAAGGAACATGACCTGCATCTTTACACCTCACACAAAACGGGAACAGAAACTTTGGTCTTCCTGAGAAAACCAACGAAGAGTAAAACTCCATTCGTTTTAAAAATCAGCCCCGCAGATGAATTCTCTTGGATCCCGACACTCAAAGACCAACTGAAAACCAAAAAGGCCGATGACGTCATACTGTACTCGCAGAATGACTCAACTAGTGGGATCTTAGGCTTGGTAAACTGTCTAAGGAGAGAACCAGACAGTACCAATTGCAGATGCTTGTTCCTCATGGACGATGTAGAGGAATTCAACATGGACTCTCCCTTCTACGCTGAGCAATTGCAGAAGAACATGGCCATCAACATCCACAAAAACGGTCTTTGGGGTACCTACCGACATTTACTGATCGAAGATGCAGAAAAAGTAGAAAGGGAACACTGTTTCGTCAACACCGCCATCAGAGGTGACCTGTCGAGTTTGACCTGGTTTGAAGGTCCTCTAGGAAACTTGAAAACTCTATCCTGTGAAAAGAAGCTCGTTCACGTGAGTACTACTGATAAGGAAAAGTTTCCTGTGAGGGTGATTCTTGATTTTCGTTGTAGGTATATTATTCGGCGTTGAATTTCAGAGATATAATGACAGCTTCGGGTAGGATCAGCAATGACGTCATCACTGGAGAACGGATCGAGCAGGAATGTGTCCAAGGATTTGAATTCTCAGGAATTGATAGCAGGTGAATTGAGTTGGAGAGCTGAACATAAAGCAATGTCATTGTCTCCGGTCAGAAAAATGCGAGCCGATTCTTTGATTTTTTGTTCTTGGTTGTTATCTCATCTTCCTATGATTCCAATATTAGTTCAATATCTCATATTATGTGGTCAAGTCTCAGTTATGATATATTCCGTTTTTCTGTTCTTTTTTGTTCTTTCGTCCTGACTGAGCAGGTCTCTCTGTTTCACCTGTATAATACTTTCTACAAACACAAAGTAACTATACTACGAAGGCGTAGAAGGGCCAACAATTTTATTTTTATGGAATTGCCACTTCGAAGTGGCAATTGTCACTTTGAACTGGCAATTGTCACTTTGAACTGGCAATTGTAATTCAGAGATCTGAATATCACCAGAACTGAAATAAAATCTTGAAACTTCAACGCTCTGTAGATCGGTAATGGAGCTTTTGCGGACACATGTTCATAGAAAAAAGTCTTATTTTGACCTGAAAAATTAGCCTCCGAAATCTTGATACTGAATTTTCAAACACCCCTGTATACAGGGTGTCCTTAAAAGGTCTTTACGAAAACTTACCACATATTCCTCAGACCAAAACAATTCGATACATGCGAACTTACCTCAGTACAAAGTTGCTTAGTTTGGGCGCTAGACGGCTCTGAAGTTACAATTTTCAAATCGTTTTTGCTTCATAACTTTGGAACGGTTCATGAAATTTCACTCAAATTTGATACGTTGGCATAGCTTCATCGGGCAATAAAATCCAATATTCACAGAAACTTTATTTGATTCAAATCATCTTTTGCACCTCCTGAATTAGAAATTACCGATACCTAGTTCATCATTTCAGTGGAAACAGAGTAATGGGAATGATTAATCATGGAGCTTTGTCAACCCTAGTACAGTCAGATAATTATTTGACATTCAAAGTACCGGATGGGATGTCATTAAAAGATGCTGCCACTATACCTATTGTCTACACCACCGTCATATACTCTTTATTGCTGGTAAGTTCCATCTACATCGTATATTCGATAACAATATCGGTACCTAAGTGAAAAATATATAACTGATTATGATGAAGTCGAAAAAGTAAAAGTTGTGCACCTACAACTAAGTCAAAATCAAAAATAGCTTCATCATTGTTTGAGAAAAATGTACCTACAACAAATACGAAACAATAATAATTATTGTACAGTGTTTTTTTCAACAATATAAAATCAACACCGGCTTCAACTGTTCATCATTATTCGATACATCAGAAGTTCTTTCCGAGATATACATATACCGGGTGTTCATTTGAACTCTCGGAAAATCGTCGAGACAGCTGAAGAATAATTGTGAAGAGTCTTCGAATGAACACATGGTATAAAGATATATTATATTTGAATGTTGATTCATGAATTTCAAGCCAAGATGAACACTAGTCGATTATTTCTACATTACAGAGGGGTAATATGAAACGTGGGGACTCCATTCTCATTCATTCCGGCACTGGAGGTGTTGGTCAAGCAGCCATCAGGATTGCTTTATATTATGGTTGCAAAGTCTACACTACGGTCGGTAACGAAGCCAAGAGAGATTTCCTCAAGAAAACCTTTCCCCAACTCAAAGGTAAGATTTATCATATGTAATACCACAAGAGATACTATTTTGCCAGAAATATTCGGCGATTGTTGTTTAATAATTTCGCGAATGACATTGTTCATCACAACAATTCTCGAATGGGGATCTGATAACTTGGTAGATTTCAATGCAAACAAAGCATGCCTTTTCTCTAGAAGAGCCTTTCTCACTGTGCCTCACTGTGTCTCAACATAAGCTTGTCAGGAGTAACCATACCTTTGAAGACATCCATTTCGATGCTTGGTATCACTATCAGCAATAACCTTTCTAGGGAAAATCACGTGAGATCAATTGCTGAAAGTGCATCCCAAAAACTTGGTTTTCTGTTTCGGGCCAGGAGCTATTTCACTTCTAGTCAGCTGCTTATGATCTATAACATGGACGATGCTCTTCTCAAATATAAACAATTGTTCCTCCCTTGGCAGTCCCCGCGAGATTGACCCGTCGAGTTGAGGCTTCGCACCCCTTCGTGGTCACTTTGGAGACCTGCAGAACATCTCTTTCCAAAGACTCGTTCATCCAACGAACAGAGAGCCTTTGGACGACATTGTCAAGGGAGGTGTTCCCCGAGGCATATAACTTCCAGAAAATTAAGAAGATCACCAATTCCTACCTTATTTTCCTTGGTTCTCACGATGTTCTCTGAACATTACAGGATACTCCTTCTCGTCGGAACCAGAACATGAAAAAAATATTCCTATCATAAACAAAAATGCATTACCCTAAGAAACATTTCTTGGGGTAATAAAGAACAATAACAACAACAAAGTCATCTCTACAAATTTCAATGGCGTTGTTACACAATCAAAAGGGAAATGTCTCGGTCTTATAAAAGACCATCTTCAGACTAATTGAAAGTTCTACAATACAAAAAGATTGATGTGAAAGAATTACATGATCTGTTCTCGACTTACTTGGAGTTGAAACAAATGTGATGCTACTATAGTTGTGAAATTGTTGTCAATGCCCTTAGATAGACAACAAGTAGAACTTTCAATTAGGCTGAAGATGGTCTTTTATAAGACCGAAACATGTCCCTTCTGATTGTCTAACAACACCTTTTAAATTTGTGGAGATGACTTCGAGCATTCCTTTCTTTCTTAGTCCTTTGAAAAATGCCACTGCACTTTGAGCAATATGGACTTCTACCAAAGATTAATTACATATTCATCAACAATCGAAGATTGATAAATATCACAGATAAATGTTATCATCATCACAGATGGTCGGTTCGGCAAAAGTTATCACACGCAAAAAAATATTTGAACGAAGGAGAATGGAAGATTTTAGTTATAATAAAATATTTGTACCATCTAAGTAGCGGCTGGATCCTTTATATATTTTCTAGACCAACACATTGGCAATTCCCATGACTTGTCTTTCGAGAAGGCCGTAATGAGAGACACCAGAGGCCGAGGTGTAGATCTAGTACTGAACTCGCTAGCAGAAGAAAAACTACAAACCTCCCTAAGATGCGTGGCTAGAGGAGGCAGGTTCCTAGAAATCGGAAAATTTGATCTGGCCAACAACAATCTCATCAATCTGCGTGTACTCAGGAGAGAAGTGACCTTCCACGGTATCATGCTCGATCAATTTCTCACTGCAACTCCCAGCTTGAAGAGGCAAATCGCTGAAGTTTTTGAAGGAGCTATGGCAGCGGGATATGTCAAGCCGCTCGATGCCACAGTGTTCGGTTACGATCAAGTAGAAGAAGCTTTCAGATTTATGGCGACTGGTAAGCACATGGGAAAAGTCTTGGTCAAAATCAGGGAAGAGGAGAATGGACACGGAGGTCATCAACCGATAGCTCCCGGATTCTCATGCAAACCTAGGTGAGTCTCTGAGTATGGAGTTCTTTTAAAAAAAATGTCATTATTATGGCATCAGAGGCTTGGCTCTCGCTGTTTTTCAATCTTACCTGAGAAATAGATCCCAGTGTGTTAGACGGTGTGGTGCTCTCTCTGATCGAAAGGTTATTGAACATGGGGTTCCTCAAGGCTCTGTTTCGGGCCCCCTTCTATTCCTTATTTATATAAATGACCTTCATTATTTTATATCTCCGACAAAGACCGTTCTTTTCGCAGATGATACAACATTCATTTGTCAAAGTGCAGACCTAAACAGTTTGTGTACTAAATCGGAAGATATCATGAATTCAGCTCAAACTTGGTTTACTTGTAACAAACTTGAAATTAACTTACATAAAAATCAAGCTATCCTGGTTTCATCAAAATCAAATATCACTCAAGGCGATAGTGTGAAATTACTTGGCGTGCAACTCTAGACGATAGGCTCAACTGGGCCCCTCATATCGAATCACTATCGAAGAAACTATCTAGTATCACCTTTTTGATCCGACGTGATATTGTCAGTTCATATGTTCTCAAATCTTGTTACTATGGGTTATTCCATAGAAATTTATGTTACGGTATTTTACTATGGGGTGACTCCTGTCATTCTCATAAAGTTTTTATGTTGCAAAAAAGAGTTATTAGAGTAATGTCAGGAGTGCATTTTCGCGAGCACTGTCGCCCTCTTTTTGTTGTTTTCCAAATTACGCAACTTCCTACACTTTTTATTTATGAATCTTCACTCGAAATCCATGATACTAAAAACAATTATATACGGTTCAATCCGAATTACACCCTTATTCCACTCGCAATGGCAACTTGATTATAATACCCTTGATATAATACCTAAGCTCTGATGTCATTAAGGAACTGAATCTGCACCTCTACAATAAGATACCTTCTAAGGTGAGGTACCTACCTGCTTTTATACGATCAGAGAATATCTTGATCTGAGCATGAATGAACTCGAACTTCTGTGATAGACACTTCCTTAGTATACTTTTTATACTATTTGTGTAGTTTTGTATAGTTTTGTGATTATATACACTTCTGTTTCGTGAAGTACTATTTTATCTGACGATCAACTAATTCAATGTCTCTTCAGGTCTGACTGAAGAACTGCTGTGCAGGTTCTGTCAGGAAGAGGAGGAAACAGCAGTACACATACTCTGCCACTGTGAGGGCTTGTCAAGACTAAGGTTCCTTACGCTGGGTGAGGAAAAACCAGAAGCCCAGAGATACACAGGGGATCTGAAAGCTAGCCTATGGAGTCTCATAGAGAAGACGGGGCTAGCCGAAGAACTCTAATCGATTTTGAGGGCAGACACAATAGATCTGAAAAGTTCGCGGTGTGGAGGCAGATAGCCCGAAGGCCCCATTCTAAATCTTCTAAATCTAATTCAATGTCATCAGTATGGAAATGAATATCTATTTATCTATCTATAATTTATGCGAACGACTCTAATTTCATAACAACTATAGAACACGCTCAAAATATAACGTCTGAAATAAATGAATGGTCAAAACAGAAATAAATAATGAAAAATCTCATATTATTCATTTCGAAAATAAAAATAAACCCTAATAGACTATAGTATCCTATAGTGAGATCAAATGATGAGAGTAGTATACAACAATTGAATAGTACGAATTTTTTGGGCATTCACCTCGACTCCAAACTGAGCTGGTTTTTATATACTGAGGCACTAAGTAAAGCCTTGAACTCTCTTTTTTGTTTCGAAAACTCAGACCACATGTCAGTGATTCCACTCTACTCATGCTCTACTATGGCCAATGCTACTCAAAGCTATCGTACAGCGTGATCTGTTGGGGTAATTCACGGAATATTTAGGCAGTATTGATATCGCAAAAGAATATGATCCGGCAAATTGCGAGAGTACCTCGGAGTCACTCATGCAAAGAGCTTTTTATTAAATTTAACCTACTCACCGTTATCTCAGTATATACAGAGTGGGCCATTGAAAACGAAACAGCGGCTCTGTAGGTCGGCAAAACCAGTTATGAAAAAAATCTGAAACACGTCAACTTCATTTTCGAGATAGACATCGTTCTAAAATATACTCAGCCCTGCGGCGTTGCCGCTTCTAACGAAAAGAAGCAACAACTTTGTTATTTCCAATGGAACACCTTGTATTTCATTGCATTTTTCAGATTCTCCCCGAAGAACTGATTTCATCAATGCATCAAACTTGGGGTCTAGCTGGAATGATTTCAGGGATAGGGGGTTGAAAATCGAGATTTTTCAACTTTAGGATTTTTTTGTGTCGAAACTATTCATTATTGGTCAAAACGGCTTTCATGTCCCTATCTCAACTTTCGATTCACTATCTACTGACATTTATTTGAAACAAATTCAGGGTCTTCTGATCACCCTGTATCTGGAGTATGTTGAAAAATTCCTATGACGTATTCGTGAAATAGCTTCAAGAAAATATTTGGAAGAAGTCCATGGTAACTCAAAGTGGAGTGGTGTAGTTCATAGATGAAAAACCCAAAGTCATCTCCACAACTAGTTGTTGTGTGAGTTGTGGAGATGACTTTGGGTTTTTCATCTATGTTCAAGAAAATAATTCACAGAAGAAATGTACTGCAATTTATCCGAAAATGCTTCATCCCGGAGATACAGAGTGTTTTTTTGTATTTTTTTTCTTATTTCGAGCAAAAAATTAGTATTTTGCGCGAAATTTCGTACCTAGATTTACAGTCTACTTTTAGTGAGAGGTGATAGATTCTTGAGATATTCACAATTTTTTATATCGATGCACGTTACTTAGTCCCTACGGCGCTAAGTGAAGTTACTTAGAACATTATGAAATCTAAGTATGTTGTATTTTTTTTTTCAAAATTTTCTGAAAGACAATGTGATATGTTTCCTGAAAAACATCGATTTTATTGATAATTGATATGAGGTGTTTCAAATATAATGTAACGGCGCTAATAACCGCTGTAGTTGATGCGCCTGTGTAGCTGAAATAAAGAAAAATTGAAAATTTCTCAGAAATACATCATTGAAATAATTCAACGTATGAGTTCAATCTTCAATAGGTATGACTCAAGAAATATTCCAGAGCTACTGTTATTTTTGAATATTCACTCCATATCGTGAAAATAATATTGAAATGTGGCGTCTTATGTTCTAGATATTTGTGTGACCCCAATAAAACGTATATAATCATTGGTGGACTAGGCGGCTTTGGACTAGAGTTAGCGGATTGGTTGGTTCTGAGAGGAGCCAAAAAACTAGTACTCACTTCCCGATCAGGAGTCAGGACTGGGTATCAAAAATCCAGAATCAAGTGGGTATAATCAATGACTACGAAGATGGTTGAAATTACCTTGACTTTTTTGTTAAAGGTGTTGGAAGTCTTACGGAACTGAAATTCTCATTTCTCAAGATGACATAACTTCACGAGATGGTTGTAGGAGTCTTATAGAGCAAGCTCAGAAGTTAGGAGAAGTCACAGCCGTCTTCAATCTTGCAGTAGTTCTTGCAGATGCCTTGTTCGAGAATCAGACAGAAGAAAATTTTGTTACCTCTTTTGGCCCGAAACCTGTAGCAACACAATTTATGGATGAGATAACCAGAAAATTATGCCCAAATTTGAGGTATGTACCTCATTATAGATGCTTCTCAACCACAACGTATCGAATATTATTTCAGAGATTTTGTGATATTTTCATCTGTGACATGTGGTCGGGGAAATGCTGGTCAAACAAATTACGGAATGGCGAATTGTGTGATGGAGAGGATTTGCGAACGGAGGAAACAAGATGGATTCCCTGCCTTAGCAATTCAGTGGGGAGCTATTGGAGAAGTGAGTTTATTCAAATCGTTTTCATCTTCCCAAAAATAATAGCATGTTTCTTATGGAACGAAATAATTAGAAGAAGTGTGCAATGGGTATAATATACCTTCATTATTCCAATTTTTTTGAATTTTCTCTCCTCGTTTCTATAAAATAAAAATATGGATATTATTTCAATATACGTGTAGTAAGGACAAATCAGATGATTTGCCTCAAAATGTCACTGCGTTTCAAGAATTTTCTCACTAGCTTGTCAGTGACAATTAGTATTGAAAAAAGTTTGGAGAAGAGGAATAAAGGTATATAGAAGAAATATCAAATTTTCACTTCATCGTTAGACGTTTCGGGACCGATTCTGCTCCCGTTCTCAACATAAGAAAAGATTATTTTAATAGCGAAGTCGTATCTGTCTTGAAGCTTTTCATTTTTGATTGACAATTGGTGACGTTGGCAATCAAATGAGTTACAGGATGTTTTCATTAATTAATCTTGAATTTGCCATTTTCATGTTCAGATTTTAATAGTGAATACCATGTTCTGTCTTTATCAACTGAACAAGAAGCAATGCTATTGTCTCCGTTCAGAAGAATGCAAGCAGATTCCTTGATTTTTCTCTTCTGGTTGTTATCTGCTTTTCCAATGATTTTAATATTATTCCACTCTGCCATATGTTGTCCGTCTTCAGTTAGGATATGTTCAGCTAGTTTCGATTTATCGATGTGTCTTTTCTTTATATTGTACTTATGTTCCTTCGTCCTTACTGAAAGAGGTCTCTTGGTTTCACCTACAGACAGTATTTAATAATATACCTTATTGGAAATAACGATCGATATAGTCAATATTCTTCCTACAAAACTTCGTGAAAAAGCAATTCAGAAAGTTAATCGTTCCATCAAAAATAGTAATAAAACTCATGGAACTTTCAATTTTTACGGATTATCAACAAAAAAATCAACTTCATTTTTACATGATCATAGAACGGATTTTTATTCCGTGCGAAGAGCTACTTCACACCCCAACAGCTTCTCATGATTTATAAAGCACAAATATTATTATTATTATTACGACCTGTTCCAGAATACTCTGAAGAAAACATGTCTTGACTGTGAAGGTTGATCAACAAAGGATATATTTGAATTCTGGCTGAACCCGTGTCAAAATTAATCAATCATTATTTTTTATTAGGTATTTTTCCATATGAATTGAATCATGCTTCACTAAGACCTATATTCAGAAGTGGGGATGCTGAAGATCCAGAAAATTACAGACCAATAGCTATTTCGAGCATATTTTCGAAAATATTTGAAAAAATCTTGAAGAAGCGTATTGTTAATTTCAAGAACAAAAAATATAGTTTTGATAATGAGCAGTTCGCTTTCCAAGAAAATAGTGGTACACAAGCAGCAGTACTACAAGTAGTACAAAAAATTCAAGAAGGACTTGATATGGGAAATTGCGTTAAAGCTATTTTTGTTGACCTTAAAAAAGCGCATTTGATCAGTTGACCAAAAGAATCTCTTAGGATACTTGGAACCGATGGGACTCAGAGGCATTGTTAAAAATCTTTCAGTATCTGATCTTGCGAGTCAGAGTCCCATAAACTTCCAATAAATAAAGGTATTCCACAGGGATCTGTTTTAGGGCCATCTTGTATTTATTATATATTCAGAATATTTCTAAAATTGAATTGTCAGATAATTATACTATATATGCAGATAATATTGTACTTTTATACGAAAACAAGAACCCCATCATTCTGGAAAATTTTGAATTTACTCGGCCGTTACTTGATGGAAATCCATGGCAAATGTAAAAACTTCACAAACGATAAGATTTCCACGAAATTCTTAAGCACACAACATGTTTCGCTAACACAGTAGCTTTGTCAGGTGATATACTGGTACGATGAACCATACCAACCAATATAAGCAAGCCAGGGTTGGTTTGGTTCATCGTACCAGTATATCACCTGACCAAACTACTGTGTTAGCGATACATGTTTGTTTGAGAATCATGTGGAAATCTTATCGTTTGTGGAGTTTTCACATTCATCCTGGAAAATATTATTAACGAAGATTTGAAAAAATTGAATAATGGCTTTATTCAAGCATTCTATCAATTAATACCAATAAAACTGAATATACAGGGTGTTTCAGTTTTTTGTAGCAGGACTTTAACAGCTTGCAGAAGACATCTTTTCAAGATGAAAATCTCATACAAACATATATTTGTTGGAGCTTCGTTTTCGATTTACAGGGTGTCAAAGTTTCAGATTTTTTTATGTTTTTTGAATTTTCTCCAACAATTTTCGAAATAATTGAAATGTGGTACACCCAATACACTTCAAAAACTCCATATTTGAGGCTATTGAGCGTTCCTGAATACCTACAGGGTAATAGACTTTCAGTAAATGTTTAAGAAATGTCAAATAAGTGTGTTTGAGAAATAACGGTTTTATTACAAATAATTTATTTTTGGCGTTTATCTCGAGATCCATACAGTTTTCGAAAAATTTACATAGGGGCGAAAAGTTTCCAAATTGCAGACACAATCTGAATCTATGTCTAATTGAGAGCAGAGACGATACGCAAAAAAGTTCTACAGGGTTGAATTGGGTACGACTCCTGAAAGTCTATCTCCTGTAGGTATTCAAAAACGCTCAATAGCCTCGAATATTGAGTTTTTGAAGTGTATTGGGTGTTCCAAATTCCAATCAATTATTCTGAAAATCGTAGGAGGAAATTCAAAATACATAAAAAGATCTGAAACTTTGACATCCTGTAAATCGGAAACGAAGCTCCCACGCATATATGTTTGTTTGAGATTTTCATCTCGAAAAAATGTCTTCTGCAAACTGTTGAAGTCCTGATACAAAAAACTGAAACACCCTGTATAATATTCCATCGTAAAAATGAACAGATTATAAGTCTAAATCTCCAAATTGAAAATAAATTATCGATGAAAAATTGAAATAGGACGAGCATATAGAGGTTCTGATACAAAAATATCTATTGGAGCTCTGCGAAGATGTCCCAAACTTGATAAAAAAGTCATAAACAGAGTACTTCATGCTCATATACTCAGTCGTTTTACCCATATGATAAACGTTTGGGGATCTCGTTCAAAAAATTATTTCAGTTAAATATCTGCATTTTATAAGAAATCACTGAAAGCATAGATTAACGACTCGGAGTCGTTAATCTATGCTGAAAGTATTGTATCGCCTCTCATTTGATATCCCAACAAATGATCTGTATGCGATAACAAAAAAATTTTCATCGAACGATTTGTATAAAATAGATTCTCTTAAAGTTTCATAAACTCATAAATTCATGGTCATCACACGAGACGATTAAACTTATTTCATCTTGATTCTGTTACTTCTATAATTGGCCAAAAAAATTCACTCATCACGCTGCTCTAGCCGAATTCGATAAATTTCCACATAATATAAAAAATTGCGGCCATATTTCAAAATGGACGAACTTGATACTGATTAGTCCATGTTGCTATGTTTATGACTTGATCGATTTGGCATTCTTAGATTTTTCAGATTTTTTGTTGTTGTTGTTGGTACCTTATGTTATTTTATTATTGTTGTTTGTAATCAGCTTCCTCATACCAGCATTTTCACCTTGACTGGAAGCTAGTTTCTCAATGAACAATAATGAACAAAAAAAAACATTGCATCTGAAAACAGATTATCAAAATGTCTTTTTTCAAGTTGCTGTTTTGATTATCGTACAGAATACTGTGCAAGAGAATGTAGAGTGTCATGATACATTTTCGACTTATCCTTTGTTTAAGTATTCCATGAAATATGTCTGTTGTATATTCCATATAAGAAATCTGTTTCTCTGGTTTCAGGTGGGTCTGGTAGCTGAAATGCAAGAGAAAGACTGTGAACTAGAAATAGGCGGTACATTACAGCAAAGAATTTCCAGTTGTTTGAAAGTATTGGATGGATTCCTAGCGAACAGGGAAGCCACCATAGTATCCAGCATGGTTGTAGCAGAAAAACGTGGAGCTTCAGAAAAAGCTGAAAATATCGTCCAAGCAGTTCTGAATATTTTAGGTATCTCGCTAAGACCATTGTAATTTTGCAAGTATAAATCATTTGTTTTCGATTTCAGGGTTGAACAGCGCTAAATCTATCAGCCATCATTGCTCTTTACCAGAACTTGGGATGGATTCCATGACGGCAGTCGAGATTAAACAGGTTCTGGAAAGAGATTTCGAAGTATTTTTGAGTCCCAAAGATATGAGGACCATGACATTAGCAAAGTGAGTAGCAAGATTTCCTTGAGTTCAAAATGGCTTCTTGTCTATTTCCATCTATCAATTCTCAGAAAGGATTGGATTTCCTAGATCTTCGGAATGTATACCATCAAATTATCATCACTGCGTCAATGACATTTATCGAGACGTTCAACTGTCTATCGTGGACGTCAAAATTAAGAAAAGGACAAATTTAATTCTATCTAGCCCCTCGAATATATCAAACGTTGTATGTGCGCGAGCATTTTCTTTAAAACGGTCCCAAGCTATGACTAGATATTATTTGTACGTGTATGTTGTCTGTGATAATTTTTTTATTCAAAAATTGGAATTTTCGTAGTTTCATTCAATATCATTTGGTATCATACTGAATATTTCCCTCATAGACGGCAGTAAACAATACAAATAAATGTCAGATGGACTTAAAAAAGTGAAAAAAATGTCGCGTTCAGGTGATAGCTCTATAAAATCTAATATATCCTGGAAAGAATATACAGGGTGGTCCGTTTTTTAATACGGAAAATTCAACAGCGTATAGTACTCGTTGAAATAATAAAAAACTTCCTATGAACATATATTTTTAAACGCTTCGTTTTTGAGATATTGGGTGTCAAAAATACGCTTCTGAAAATATTTTTTTAATAAAAAGTTAGAAACGGTAGATACATTAACGAAATTTTTCACAGATACTAAACTTTTTGAGCTTTATTGGATTAAATAAAAATTATTCATGAAAACAAATGAAATTAAACCCAATACAAATTTCTAGTGCAGTTAATTCTATGATAAGACGATGCGGAACCGTATTTTTGAAACCTTATATCTCAAAAACTAACTAGTAAAAATGTACTAGCACGGCAACATTGAAGACAAATATTCAGATTTCCACTGCGGTCTATGGCCTGTTGTGGCTCTTCCAATACGTAAATGATTGATTTGCAATGGTTACATGATTGGTTTGGTAAACGGCCAATGCTAACTAGATTTAATACATTACAATGTGTCTTCCATTGGGTTTAGAGACATGCATAGGTTTGGTTTCTATTTTTCCTTCTGAAACGAAGCTATTAGATAAGAATTCTAAGAGGGCAAAAAAATTGTATTTTGAAATGCACGTCCCTGATAATATGTAACTCATTCATGAACTGTAATAGGTCTGAAAGTTAGCTTATTGATATTTCCACATTAATTATAAATTTCATCACAATCGGTTATAGAATTTCTGGGAAATCAATAAACAATCGATTTTTTAAAGAAACTTGAACACCCTATATCTCGAAAACGAAGCGTTCAAAAGTGTATGTTCATAGGAAGTTTATTTATTATTTCTTCGAGTACTACACGCTGTTAAATTTTCCGTATTAAAAAACGGACCACCCTGTATAATTGAAACTGAACTAACAAATACAAAATCCAACATACAGAAATTCCTTACTTCGTGAAATATTTCAATGAATTAGATTCGTGCATGGAAATGACCAGGCAATTTTACATTCAAGCTTGTTATTTCGTTTATTTTCATATTTTGTAAAAGAACCCCCCTCCTTCGGACTCGGGCTCTTTCGCCAAAATATGAAAATAAACTTGCAATTTTTAGATAACAGGCTTTCTTGCACCATTATCAATAATTTTCATGCACTCCTGCAATGGGCTTATATCACAAAAAAAAATTATTTCATAATTCGATAGAACTCACCCAAACTAGCTCACCACCGCAAACCGTTTCTTGTTGTGAGCTCCCTACGTCTTATAAAAAATTATTGAAATCCCCGATACTTCGGACCTCTAAAAACGAGGCGATGATGTGACGTCAAAACCCTAATACTGAAACAAGACTATTCCAGACAGAGATGAATGATACATGATTTCTGATGACAGGGTGAATTAGCGCGAGATCACAGTTGAAAGTATCAATATATCAGTTGCCTCAGTCTCCGTCGGGCGTTTGGTATTTTCTTTTAACTATGGCAATGAGGTTTCTATGTCATAAGAGGGTCCGTTTTCAGAAGGTACTATTATTTATGTCCAAAAATAAAACATTCCAGTTAATTTTTCGATCGAATTATGTCGTCAATCATTATTTATGTATAAAAGGAACATTATAAACATGGTTTTAGTTCAAAGTTCTACTAAGGTGTACACGCCCATTATTTCAACTGTCGAACTGACACTTTGTAATCATGCTACAAGTTATCGATGTAATATGTATATTTTCACATGCCTTTGCTTGTAGTAACTTCTCTGAAAACGAGGCAATGATGTGACCTCAAAACCCTAACACTGAAACGAGACTATTTCAGACGGAGATCAATGATACATGATTTCTGACAGAGTGAATGAGCGCGAGATCACAGTTGAAAGAATTGATATATCAGTTGCCTCAGTATCCGTCGGGCGTTTGGTATTTTCTTTTAACTATGGCGAGATGAGGTTTCTACGTCATAAGAGGGTCCGTTTTCAGAAAGTACTGTTATTTATGTCCAAAAATAAAACATTCCAGTTAATTTTTCGATCGAATTATGTCGTCAATCATTATTTATGTATAAAAGGAACATTATAAACATGGTTTTAGTTCAAAGTTCTACTAAGGTGTACATGCCCATTATAGCCGATAATTAGCAAAATACCGCGAATTTTTTTCTCTACGTTTGGATCTTCTTTCGAATGAATACATAAAGAGGCTCATGGACTGAATTTTTGGTAGGCTGTTTTGTTCCACGAAAAAGGATGTTCGAACAAAAATGACGCAAAACCGATGTGTGTGGCTGGAAAATGTTCGTTTCTGCCAGGCATTTTGCGAAATAGTTAAAAAAATTATCACGCCGAATTCCATTCATGGTAGTTATTTTTTTTTCGTCATTTCAACTAGATTAGCATTTCGTCCACTCGTGAGATTTCTAGCAACAAAAATGTATGTATCTAGTTGAAATTATCAAAAAATTACCACCACTTGTATAATCACTGTTGAAAATAAACCAAAGAAAAAGGATAAGTAAATTCAGTGGTTCATTCAAAAGTGTGAAGAGTTTTATATGTACTCGCAATCAGTTATGGCACCTAGGCCTCCTCCTAATTTGTACTCGTTTAATATTTCTCTATTTGTATCACGGAAAAAAAGGATTTGTTGAATCAAGCAAAATTTAATTGAATGGAGCAAATGAAAGTGTCATATATGCACGACAAAATATAATCTTGAAATGAGTAGATCTATATCTTGTTTCAGAGCGAATTTGAAGTTTGAATTGAGTAAATATGTCTTGCATGAACTATGGATCTTCTTCAATCAAGCACATCCATGAATTGTTTATGAAGAGATATTGAATTGGCTCGAACAAACATTTTGTTTGATTCAAAATAACAAGATATTGATTCAATCAAATATTTAGTTGATTCAAGGAAATATTTGGTTGATTCGAAGAAATATTTGCTTGATTCAATGAAATATTTGGTTGATTCAATGAAATATTTGGTTAATTCAATGAAATATTTTGTTGATTCAAGAGACACTATATATCCATTCGACAAATTGTTTTGTTGAACCAAATTCAATATTCGGGAATTTTTGGAAATTTCACATTAATAGAATAAACAAAACTAGGAAACTAGTCGACTCCTAGCATAGATCTTTAGTCTTTACTTCTCTTCAGCTGATGGAAAACTATTTCGGATTGCTAATCATCCTAAGTTCGATTTATCCAGCTGATATTTCAAACACGAAGAATCAGGCTTCACGTATATAATGAACTCGAGGCAGGCATAGACGAGGCGAAATGATCGCCATCTATAGAGGCGAAAATTTAAGTTGATGTAGAATGAACAAAATATTTCATTGATATTACATATTTCGTTGCTCTATTCAAGCAAATGATCCGTTCGAAACGAGTTCATTGATACATCGGAATAAGAAAACTTGTATGTTGTTTCAAAGTTATATTCTCATCAAAATGATCATTGTTTGATCAAATCTACGAAATGTTTATAGTTGAATCAACATCGACAATATTTTGGATCGACATAATTTGTTTTTGAAGAAACCATATATTTTGTTGATGGAATTGATATTATACTGTTGATTCAATTAGACTACATTCTTGATTTGAACACGCTGATTCCATGGAATAATCATGTATCTGGTTGATTCAACAAAAAATTGCTCAGTCCAACAAAAATAACTCAAGCATAAATAATTTGTTGATGTGTAAGTAGATTAGTTGGTAATTTTTTGTGAAAAGTAGGTTTTCCGTTTAGGTTTAAATGCATAATACTCTATTCAGTGTTTCTTCATCATCTCGAAACTTGTTTTTTGGAACATAGGCCCTTTCTGATTCCCACTTTTCAATTGCATTCTTGTAATGTCAGTCTTTCAATAACACTGCCCAAGATGATCATCATCCATTTTCTTAGGTTGAAGAAAATCCAAGAGGAGAGAGATCACGGTACCAAAGAAGAAACAGTTGAAAAAGAAAATGGAGGACTCGACGCCTTCTTCAGGATTTCTCTGATAGAAGACCACCAAGCATTGTCACAAATACAACTGAAATCTGGTGACCCGAAAAACAGACAGAAATCTTTGATATTTCCAGGCATAGATGGCTTCGTGAAAATCTTTCAACCAATGGCCAATCAAATTCAGGGCGAAGTGATTGGTCTACAGTACGGTTACAATAAGAATTGCACAACCATCCAAAACATAGCGGAAAATTTACTTCCGGTATGTAGCATGGCATATACGTATACAGGGCGTTTGATGATATACAATCAGGACTTCAGGATTGGACAGCTCGTTCAAAAATATGGAAAAACTTGTCTATTAGCTCACACCCTAAAATGTGATATAGGATGTTGAAATTTGACAAAAAAATATTTAAACTGCCCTTTCAATAGATCGGCAAACTCTAGATTTTTTTATTTGTTTCTCGGGAAACTAATTCATAAACTTCTTGATAGCTTCTCATGATCAATAGGGTTTGATTTGTTCAGGTTACAAGAATGTAACTTCATGGCATCAAATAAAATGCTCAATAATTTAAAAGGCAGTTTGAATAAATACTTAGGAAGATTTAATATAAACAACATGTAGATTTGGCAACGTTGTAAATGGTATTTTTAGATCAGACTTGCTGAAAATCCCTTATAAATCAATTTTTATTGTCATATCGCCACGATGTCTCGAAATATTGAAATTTTGTGATATTTCTTGACGAAATGTTCATTTGTCATATTAACAAAAATGAAGGGAATACAAATTTGATATTATAGGTTCATAGTAGTTTTGAGACGACAAATCGAATGCGCTGAAACTAAACATACCATTACATTGAAAAAATAAAGTTGAGAGCTCTATAGGAAAAACTGTAAAACTGGCAACGTTGCAAATATTATTTTTAGATTCGGCACAACTGAATACCCCCGTATACCAAATTTCATAATTTTATGTCAAGCCGTTGCTGAAATATTCGGCCGTTCCGGTTCTTTTGGGAAACCCTGTATAAGTTTAGGCAAGCCAAGGTTAGTTTATTTCATTGTACCAGTACCAAACATGTCGTTTGATTAATAATTCTGTGGAAATCTCATGGTTTGTAAAGATTTCACATTTGTTCCAGAGATATTCGCAAAAAACTGTTTTTTTCAATTTTAACACTCTATATCTCGAAAATGGTGCTTTTCAGGGGGTAAGTTATATAGTTATTTTTGTATCTAGAGCGCGAAATGCTACTTTGTTGATCATGATCTGATTTTTTTAACGACGCTTAGCCGAGTTAAAAAAATAGTCGAGATGACCAAAGTATTTCGCGCTCGAGTTGCAAACAAAATTTTTTCTACAAACGTCAAAAAATATAGTTCTAAAGTAAAAATATGCTCAACTTGATATAAAAAATAGTGTTGAACTGGCTTGATAGGTCTCCCCCTATCCTTCCTAGGTACGCACGATGTTCCACGAACATAATAGGAATTTCCTTTCGTGCGCTCCAAGAGAAAAAACAAAGTCATTGTTGAACATTCAGAGATAAATGATTTTGTGGATGTCTGCTCGATTGAGGACCATAAAGTTGAAATATAAATATCTCATTTATTTTACATAACAATGCGCGAAGTAGGTACTTCGCGCACTGTTTTACTTCGCGCATTGTTTTGTGCAAGGAATCATGGTAACGTAGGAAACTGAAAAAAAGTGTCACTTTGCAATTTGTTATCAATGCGCGAACCTTGTCATTTTTTGACGTTTGTAGAAAAATGAACTTTTTTCACATTTCTGGACGAGCTATCACATCCTGAAGTCCTGCGCATATATCATGATGTATATGTAATGAGCTAATGAAATTTCCAGGTGGTTGAAGAACACTTATCGAAAGATGACAAGACATTCAACATAATAGCCTACTCGTTCGGAAGCATTGTAGCTTTAGAAGCAGCCCACATACTCGAATCCAAGGGATACGTCGGAAACATAGCTGTGGTGGATGGATCTCCAGTAATGTTCAAACAAGTTTTGATAGATCTCGATTGCTTTTCACCGGAATCAGAAAGGTTGTTGCAGACTATCATATTGTGCAATTTGCTGGCGCTCTATATATCGTCCGAAGTGATATCCCAACAAAAGGTGAGATTTTTATTCCAGAACACTCTTAGGGTGAGTTTAGACTTGCAACAGAACCTCGAACCGAACGTCGTCGCGAACAAATTGAGTTCATCATCTCATTGATCTAAAAAAGGCTTTTGATACAGTGGACCACACAATACTTCTGGATAACTTGGAATCCATGGGACTCAGAGGCATTGTGAGAAATATTTTAGCTTCATATCTTAAAAATAGGACAATCAGTACCAAATCTCCTGATTATGAGTCTCATAAACTGTCATTAGATGAGGGTGTTCCACAAGGATATGTTCTAGGACCAATACTGTATTTGCTTTATATTCAAAATATCACGAAAGTTGCTTTAGCGAGTAATTATACCATAAATGCAGACGATACAGTGCTCTTATATGAGAACAAAAATCCTCTAATTTTAGAAACTGTGATGAATAACGATCTGGAATTATTTGAAAAATGGCTCCACTCTAACCTCTCATCAATAAATACCACAAAAACTGAATACATGTATTTTCAACAAAAAAATGAACAGAAAATCCAACTCAATCTTCGAATAAAGAATGAATTCTTGAAACAAATTGAACAGATAAAGTATTAAGTTATTTGGTTTGATGAAAAGTTGAAGTGGGACAAGCATATTGAAGTTCTGACAAATAACATATCTCCTATTATTATTGATGCATTGAGAAGATGATGTCCCAAACTCAATATGAAAATTGCATATATAGTACTCTATTCACATATTCAAAGTCGTATCAACTATTCAATAAATGTTTGGGGATCTTGTTCTAAAAATATCATTATGTAAGAAATCGTTAGTACTGTATCGTCTTCCATATGATACACCAACAACTGAACTGTATGCCTTAACAAAAACATATTCTTTAGAAGAACTGCACAGATTAGATACTCTGAAAATTTTATGTGATATCATAAATAAAAAATTGAAATCTAATATTATTTTGACAAGAAATTTTGGAATTCATAGTTATCAAACTAGACAATATAACTTATTTTACCTTGATGCTGCTAGTTCTACACTCGGACAAAAAAGATTCACTCATGCAGCCTTATCTGAGTTCAATAAACTAGCAGATGAAATTAAAAACTGCAGAAACATTGCAGAAACATTTGTTCATTGATTGTTTTGTGTAGTAGTTCATAGATATTTATTACTAGATATTTTATAATTATGTTCTTCCTCATACCAGAACTTGTTCTGACTGGAAGATATGTTTGATACATAAAATAAATAAAATAAATCATCTCACTTTTTTCGTCTCGAAAGTCTATGATATTATTTTCTACAGACCTCACTGAGACACCCTGTATAAATGGTACAGCACGTGACTATATTATTTTCTCAGAATAGGCGAGTATTTTAATTTTTTTCATTTCTTAAATAGATTCATCACTCAAATTCCCTTCAATTTCATATCTTTTAAGAATTTTATGCACGACCGGGCGTAAAGTAGCACTTTACCGCCCGGGTTTGCGGGCGAAAAGTGGCACTTTACCGCCCGCGGACTATTTTACCGCCCGGCGGGCGATAAAGTCATTGAGCTGGTGGTAAAGCTAATGTCACTGTCATATCGATAGAAATCTAGATTGACATTAAGAAAGCATGAAAATAGTACTTACTTTCATCATAAGGTACAAATCGTCTGGGGCTTCACTCAAGAATAACTCTATTTCTTCTCTGCTTAGAATCTTCGATTTCTTTGGTTTATAACCGTCAGATTTTCTTTTCAAAAAAGCTATCAATCTTGCATATTTACTAATATCTCTATTATCATGTACATTTAAAGTAGATTTCAACATGGAAGTAATACGACCACATGGAAGAGGGCTTACGAGATTTTGATTTTTCCAGAAAATAGGCAAGAAGCACACTTTCAGTGTAGTTCTTATTTTTTACATCATTTCTGTCGCACCAGCTTACGAATTCTTCGTATACTTTGTCGTATATTTTTTTTTATTCCCTTGGCAATAAACTCGATTTTGCTTCCTCAGCTGCCTCACAAATTTCTGGTGGAGTACAATTCACACTTTCTTCATCACTAGAATTCATTTTGAAATCACTAATGAATTATGTATGATTACACAAATTGACAGTTGATATGGCTGTGAAGAGATACCTACATGAGATATCAAATATCTACAGGTCGTGCATAAAATGTTGTATGTATTTCGGGCGTAACTAGCTTTTATGGACCTAGGCGTGTTAATAGCGCTCGCTATCGCTCGGTCTATTACTTACACGCTGCGGTCCATAAAAGCCTATTTTACGCTCTTGATACATAAATAACTATTTCGGTCGATTTTCATGTGCTAAAACTATCAATAATGCCACGGTAATTTTCAAACGGGTAGAATTTCACCGTCAGTATAAACGGACGTCACGATTTTGTAAGTAGAAACATACCGGGTGACCAGTTATATTCTGACCCATTTCAAATGCTTATATCTCTGAAACCATTCAAGTTATCGTTGTGCAGTTTCGACTAGTCTATTTTGATAATTTTCAAGTTTTTTTTGGCAGGTTCACCTTCTCTCTCGAACATCCGGTTCTACCGGAAACAAACTAGCCATTATTCAGGTATAGGGCAACTTTGTTATTTCATTGAATCACCCTGTATATTTTTGCATATTCAGAAAGACTGGTCATTTCTCTTTCTAACAATGTATAACAAGTTATGTTTTCTCAGAAAACTATCAGAGTTATAACTGTTTGAAACAACTACTGCATGTGGAATGGTTTAATGAGATTTTGCAATGTAACCAAAGTCGTCTTTGGAAATTCTGATCACAACACATGAAATGCCAGATTAGATGTGTCAAATAAAGATTGTCGAGCATTTGTACTTTCTTCGAGTTGAAAAAATATTTACTTTGACTGAAGAAGCAAATGAACTCATCATAAATCTGCATCAGATTTATACTCAATATACGGTAATTCAGCATTTCAGGATAACATCCTAATATGCAGTAGATGCTTCGAAGAGTTATAACTCTGATAGTTTTCTGAAAAAACATAACTTATTATACATTGTTAGAAAGAGAGAAGACCAGTCTTTCTGAATGTGCAAAAATATACAGGGTGATTCAATGAAATAAAAAAGTTGTCCTATACCTGAATAATGGCTAGTTTGTTTCCGGTAGAACCGGATGTTCGAGAGAGAAGGTGAACCTGTCAAAAAAAAACTTGAAAAATATCAAAATAGACTAGTCCAAACTGCACAACGATAACTTGAATGGTTTCAGAGATATAAGCATTTGAAATGGGTCAGAATATAACTGGTCACCCGGTACCTACCATAGCACAGTTGCCATGTGTTGGAATACGATTGGAAATATCAGTAAATCAATAGTTCATGAACTCTCACTTTCGTTTTCTATTGGATATTTCAACGATGATTTCATTTTCCGTTCTCAGGAATCCATCTACAGATGCGAATCTTGGGACGAACGTCTGGACGTTTGCGTCCGGATCATGGGCGATAAATCCAGCTACGACATCGACTACCAAAAGTCCGTGGCCACCGGCATATACGACAGAACCAGGTGCCTCATGAATTACACCCCCTCCTACGCCAAGGTCAAATCGAAGGTGAAGCTATTCTGCGCTACCAACAAGAGTTTTTCGTACCCGGAAGAAGATTACGGTCTGTCCGGTATCTGCGAACACCCTGTAGAAGTGGAATCGTTCGACGGCAGTCATAACAGTATCCTGGATAACGAGGCGTTGGGCACTGCGATCGATTCGTGGATGAGAAAAAATTCTAAATCACAAATTGAGAGTTAGTTTTTAAGGATTCTGGAACCTCCTCAATATCTTGTCAGATGTTCATACTTAACTCGGAAATCAAACAACATAATTAAAAGCACCTAGTTGTAAGAAGAAGTCTTCGTGGCTTGACAGCTGTAATTAGGATGTCCCTCGAAAGGTTATACAGGGTGATTCATTGGGAAATGCGCATACGGTAAGGGTAGATGGAGGATACCAAGCTGCTCCTAAAAAACCTATATAACATGGATCTATCTTTCTTCATAACCAAGATACAGGGTGTTTTATCAATTTTCCCAATTTTTTCAATCAATTTATAACTTATGAACAGCTCTATACATTTTTGTTATATTTGGTTGGTATGTTTTCTGCCCACAGTGGTGTCGATTAACATAATGAATAGAAGTTTTTTTTCAGGCCCGGTCTCGAAAAATATAATAAGTAGGTTCTGAGTCGGAACAACACCTTGTATTTCAATATTTTGAAATTTCATTCACAAAGTTGGGAAGAGCAGAAAAAAATAAGTACCACCAAATGTATTTGGCATTAAACTTTTTCACCTATCAACTTAAGTCAAATCTAGATTTCTCGTTAATGAGGTTGCACAAAAAAAGTTGTCGTCTCCAAATGGTACTTTTTCAGCTTCAGTCAATTCAATCATCAACTTTTTTTTTCGTGAATTATTGATTTTAACCTTATTGAAAAACTCAATGACTTACTTTCAAACACCCTGTAGAAAAAAAAAATTCATAATATTTGTTCATTGCGCTACATTTCGAAAAACATATACTGATGTGAGGAATATTCACAACTAGGAACTAGTTGATGATCTCATGGATTGAAGCCAAAAGAATAACATTCAGAGGCGAAAACTCATTCTATTTTAGATTTGTGCCGCCTCGGATCATTATCGAAAAATCTAGATTTGACTCAAGTTGAAAAGTGAAAACGTTGTATATTTAGTCATACTTATTTTTTCTGTTCTTCCCAACTTCGTGAATGAAATTTCAAAATATTGAGATACAAGGTGTTGTTTTGACTCAGAACATACTAATTAATTTTTTTAAGGCCGGGCCTGGAATAGGACTTTCATCGATTATGTAAATTAACACCACTGTGGACAAAGAACAAAGGAACCTCATATAACGAAAATATTTAGGGTGGTTCATAAGTTATGATTGATTGAATAAAAGGAAAAAATGTATAAATCACCCTGTATCTGGGTTATAGAGAACGATAGACCCATGAAAGATTGGTTCTTCAGAAGTCCCTCGGTGTCCTCCATCTACCCTTACTGTATGCGCATTTCTCAATGAATCACTCTGTATGACCAATTTACCATATTTCCAAGGGTTAGACGTTTTGTTTTGTTTGTATAAAAAGGTTGAATAACAAACGTGGATTAAATCAGCAGCACTGTCAAAACTATCGTATTCATATAGTATCAGCTCAGAAATTTCGGATAATACATGACAATTAAGTCATGTTATCGCCATCTAGTGGCATAGTTCTGAGGTAGGTGACGTCATACACAGTAGGACGCTGTCATTAATAGTCAACACGTGCAGATCCCTACGTCCACACGTATAACAAATTGATACTACTAGTTAATCACTCTGCTGACAGATGACACTACCTGACTACTTGAGTGGAATGATCCACCAGTACTATTCAAAGAACTGGGTCTCATAACTAAAAGAGCAGGAGCGAAAAAGTACTTTTCCAACCCACCAGGCATCGTTAGCCGCTCTCGTTCTTAGTTTTTTTTAGCTCAAAATTTGTATAACTGTATCTATATTGATGATGAGAACAAGAATTTTTTCTTGTACGATTCGATTTATGAACTAATCAATACTGACAATGACAAAAGTCGATGTATTCAACAAATTACACCTAATTTCACAGTAGTTTGTTGCTATCAACAACACTAATAAGAGTTTCTCGTACTCTCTTCAGCTTGATTGCTATGATTATGTTATCCCTTGCAAGGTTATATAACGTTACTATTTGACTATATTCTCAAGGGTGCGTCATTTGTAACGTTATATTTTTATCAGATCAGAAACTGTTGAATTGTTAAGTATTGATAATGAGAACGAGACCAACATCCTGGACACTCTGTTTTTCAAACTAATTATAATTGACATTGACAGAAGACAATGGTTATGACAAATGACACATGATTTGATAGTAACGCTGTCAAAAAAAGCACGAAATCCCTGACTCTTTGAAAGTGAAATATAGTCAATTTGGTTTCATTTTGTAATGAAATTCTCATCAAGATTCTTCCGCGAGCTTGAATTAAATGAAATCACTAAACATTTTTGCTTTCGAAAAGCTTTTCTGAGAATTCACATTGGGAAATGTTTCCAAGAGAATTTATGCTTTAGGGAGATGATGAGTGTGAATTTCAATTCTCGAATCTGGCAACATACTGACAAATTCAATGGAATTCCAAATCATTACCTTCTGACTGACAGGTATATATTAAAAACAATGCATTGGTCATTTTATATAACTTGAATGTTTTATGATTTATATAGTTGCTAGGCATTTATTATGTGTTTTTATATTTTGAGTTTATTAAACATTTTCTCGTACTTGAGTTTTTATTGTGTGGCTACACCTAATCCTTGATTCGTAATAATCCACAGAACTTTGAAAAACCCTGAACTCGACTTTTAGATATGGACAGTTAAGCTGAGTACACTCGTGAAATTGAAAGAAACGTAGTATATCTCGTGTATAATAGTACATTATACATCAAGGGGCAGAAATGCAAGATTTCTTCCAAGGTGTGATACAAAGCACCGAGGAAAAAATAACATTTAATCCTGAGTTGTATATGCTATTTTTACGCTGGCGGTCTTATTATCTCCCTAGGCAATAATACGCCACTTCTGCCCCTCTTCTGTTACCAGAGAAACTAACTTCTACTACCGCCGGCGTAAATAGTTATTTATTATACAAGAGACCGTAAGCTAAGATCTAATATTTTTTCGTGTAGAATACACAATTTTTTTCTGTGACACGGAAAACGACAAATCAATATTTTATATTAAAACCAGCTGACCCGCCAAACTTTGTTTAGTCATTATTCTAGAAAATATTTGTTCTGTTCAATATTTCTCAACCAATTCTCAACAAACTTTTATTTTTTTATTTTTCATTATTTTTTTGTTTGGCTAACAATAAAAGTGTGTTTTATTAGTTGTTCAAACTATTCTATTCATTTTCTACTACTTTTCAGTTCGGCAATCTATCTCTTATTTTTTTTGAACTGCTAATCATTTTCTACTTCTGCTTATTTTGGCTGTCTATAAGAGCGTGATCCACTAGTTTTCTGCTATGAACATTTATTTCTAGAAATTATTTCTTCAGTTTAATATCCATCCATCCACTTTCATTATTTTATTTTCGACTTCTTATTAGTAAGGCTATCTATGAGATCGTATTTCTTCAGTTTTTCAAATGACTATTAATTTTTTTCTACTAGTTGTTAGTTTGACAATCTATCTTTTCAATTTTCCGAACTATACTATCTAAAATTGTTCTATCCGTCATTCGGTTGCCCCTTTACGAGCAACCCTCAGAAGTCTTCGAGAGTCTTGTGCGAGCAAGGAATGACAGGGGCCTTACTTTTTAACGTGTGATCCCAAACACTTTCTTGGGCCACCAGAAAAATTTCTGCAGTCGATGGGAATCGAACCCACAACCGGTAAGCGACTGCGGATTAGAATATTTACACTTTGTCCGCACGGCTACCTGGCCCCCTACTATTTTCTATAATATCATAATTACATAACACTTTCGCCATATTGGATCCACCGTCATGAATTTCTGAAGGAAGAATCATAATCTCCGACCCCAAAAACCCATAGATACAAATTTTGAATGGAATCGGATCATAAAAACAAAATTCGTCTGCCATATCGGATCTGTCATCTTGAATTTCCAAATTCTGACGAAGGAATCATAATCTCTGAACCCGAAAACCCTCAGATACAAATTTCGAATGGAATCGGATCATAGTTACAAAACTCGTTTGCCATATTGGATCCGTCATCTTGAATTTCCAAATTTTGACAAAAGAATCATTTTCTTCGACTCCGAAAACTCCAAGATACCAATATTGAATAGAAAAGGAACATAACCAGAAAACTCGTCCGCCATATTGGATTCGTTATCTTGAGTTTTTTAGTTTTGTCGAAAAAATCATAATGTCCGACCCCAAAAACCCTCGGATACCAATTTTTAATAGAATCGGATCATAATTACAAAACTCGTCCGCCATTTTGGATCCGCCATCTTCAATTTCCAAAACTCCGAAAACCCAAAGATACCAATTTTTAATAGATTCGGATCATAATAAAAGATCTCGTCCGCCATATTGGATACGCCACTTTGAGTTTCCTAATTTTGTCAATAGAATCCTAATTTCCGACCCCGAAAACCCCTAAATACCAATTGTGAAAAAAATCGGAGTACAAAACTCGTCCGCCATATTGGATCCTCCATCTTGGATTTTCAATTCAAAAAATAGTTTACGACCGATTCCCATCTTCTTGCAGACATCTTTATTATTCTTTTGAAGTATCCAAGGATTTGATTTTAAAAAATTGTAATTCAGTAATTACGTAACCGCGATGTTCTGAGATTGTTCTAAAATTGTTCTGTTGTTCTAAAATTGTTCTTATCCATCATTTGGTTGCCCCCTTACCTTTCCCAAACACTTTCTTAGGCCATCAGAAAAATCGTGGTGGGAATCGAACCCACTACCGATAATCCAACGTGGATAGAACATTGACGCTTTAATCACAAGGCTACGCTAGAATGGAAGATAAAGGGACTTGCAGTTCTTCCTCGGAGACGGTGTTATTGGCTTATTTTTCGAAACTAGCACAACAAAAGCCATCAACAGTGTAATCATATCTCCGGGAAAAGAGTACTCACTCTTTTCCTGTGGGAAAAAAAGTGATTTTATAAAAATTACATTTTATAACCTGTCAACAGAGATGAAATGTCAAAACTGTTTTCCGTCAAAGAAAAAAATACTTATTTACTTCAAATACATGGTGGCCAGGTAGCCGTGCGGACAGAGTGTCTATATTCTAATTCTCATTCGCTTGCCGGTCGTGGGTTCGATCCCCGTCGACTGCAGAAATTTTTCTGATGGCCCAAGAAAGTGTTTGGGATCACACGTTAAAAGGTAAGGCCCCCGTCATTCCTTGCTCGCACAAGACTTTCGAAGACTTTTGAGGGTTGCTCGTAAGGGGGCAACCGAATGACGGATAGAACAAATTTTAGAACAAACAAATTTTAGAACATTGTTTTCAAAATGAATAACACCTTGGGAAAATTTCGATGATATTCGGATTCATCATTGGAGAGATGAATGAAATGAATTACTTCAATGATCTGATTAAATTCTACTGAAAATAACAAATAGTGGTGAGACATCGAGAACATAAATAAATATATTGAAAAAATTACTTATACATATCATAGACATGAAAAAGGAAAGCAAACTTCATTGGAGACTTACTGATTTTTAGTGGAATGGAAATTTGAAATAATTTGAATGTCGTTGAACTCTCCAGGAATAATTAATTACACATAGAGCAATTACCTCAACTCAACCATAAGTGAACATTCATTAGGTTCAGGGGCAAGGATTTCGTGCTGCCATAATATGTATAGGTACAGGGTTGTCCATCGAAAAGGCTCATCCCTATATATTTACCTTATTTTTTCAACGACAAAACACATTGGTTTTTTGGATGTATGATAAATTGAAATTCATCATACAGTACGTGTAAAGAAATTCTGTATGAGGAATGTGAATTTATCATACATCCAAAAAACCAATGCCCAAATGACAGGAGTATATATATTTTTTTTTATCGCTTGGAGCGCACGAAAGGGAATCCCTATAATGTTCAGAGAACATCGTGCGTTCCTAGGGAGGATAGGGAGAGGAGGTAGGTATTGGAATTTTTTTGATGATTCTCAGATGTCAGTCCGTTATAGTTTTAGTTATATTATAGGGAGATGAAAATTGTGTATATCATGAATAATGACACCTATCTACCATTGAAATATTTCCCTCTACCTGTGAAACACCCTGTATAAATCATTCTGATATTGACCAGTTGTTTTCCCATTGAGCTCAACTTGCAGGGTAGGTTAATCGTGATAATAGGGTTGGGTTCGAGGAGTTTTAAATAATAAAAATTTCTGAATACAAATCCGAAGATAGTTCAATAAAAAATACTCTTCATCTTGTATGTTACTTTTTTTTTATCGATTGGAGCGCACGAAAGGGAATCCCTATAATGTTCAAAGAACATCGTGCGTTCCTAGGGAGGATAGGGACAGGAGGTAGGTATTGGAATTTTTGGAGATTATATGTTGTTGGGAATACTTCCACAGGCAATGAATTCCAGAGCCTAGCCGTTCTATGGATGAAGGAGTCTTGATAAAGTGCTGTTCGACATCTTTCGAGGTTGACAACGAAAGGATGTGCTGACTGGGCTTGTCTAGTTCGTCTGATTGGTATTGCTAGTGAAGGGATGATAGCAGAGATTTCCGAAGAACATTTCCCGTGGAAGTATCGATAGAAAAGTGAAAGGTCGCCGACCTTTCTACGGTGTTCCAATGATGTCAAAGAGTGAGTGAGTGTGGCGTCACCCACCAGGCGAATGGCTCTTCTCTGGATGGAATCTAAGAGCATCAGCGTATGTTTTGGTGCTGAACCCCATATGTGGGAACAGTATTCTAGAACAGGCCGTATCTGCGCTTTGTAGATCATGAGAAGCTGATGAGGTGTAAAGTAGCTAATTGTATACTACTTGATGTTCCGTTACCGACTTTATTCTAATGGAAATATACAGAAAATGCTTCTGAATGTCATGCATATGGGGGAAGATCATTCCATGGCTTATTCCATTGTTTGGAATTCCTATAAGTAAACATGTTTGTCCAAATATGATTCCTTTTCAAGTCGGATTTGATAAAGACAATACGTTCTATTCAATAACTAACCGTTGAACACAAAAAAAAATGTTTGAATGAATTGGTGTGACCCTGAGGGCAAATGAAATAGTGATATCATTTGGCCAATAGGATTTTCAGCGGCGCCGTTAAAGGGATATTATTGGTTATTTTTTACAGATAAGTGAGCAACGGTAGAAATTTCACATATTTTATGAAGAAATACGGATGGCCATTCGATTTTCAATTGAAAAGGGTATTTTCTTGAAACATGATACGACATACTGAATATCGCCATCACGAAAAGCTTTGGAAGAAAAGCGATTCCAAATATATTATATTGAAAAGAACATGCTGAAATCACAGCCTGGGGAACCAACAACCTAGTTGAATTCAACGCCACCAAAACTCAAGCCTGTATTTTCTCTAGAAAGGCGGAACCCAGTATGCCCGACATTGTAATGGCTGGCACCACCATCCCCACCAAGCCCACCATATCTATGCACGGTATTTCCATCAGCAACACTTTTTCATGGGATAATCATGTCAGATCCATCGCAGAAGCTGCTTCACAAAAACTCGGATTCTTGTTCCGTGCGAAAAGCTACTTTACACCTCAACAGCTTCTCATGATCTAAAAAGCGAGGATACGGCCTGTTTCAGAATACTGTTCCCACATATGGGGTTCAGCACCAAAACATACGCTGATGCTCTTAGATTCCATCCAGAGAAGAGCCATTCGCCTGGTGGGTGACGCCACACTCACTCACTCTTTGACATCATTGGAACACCGTAGAAAGGTCGGCGACCTTTCACTTTTCTAACGATACTTCCACGGGAAATGTTCTTCGGAAATCTCTGCTATCATCCCTTCACTAGAAATACCAGTCAGACGAACTAGACAGCACCAGTCAGCACATCCTTTCGTTGTCAACCTTGGAAGATGTCGAACAGCACTTTATCAAAATTCCTTCATCCATAGAACGACTAGGCTCTGGAATTTATTGCCTGAGGAAGTATTCCCAACAACATATAACCTCCAGAAGTTCAAAAAAATTCCAATACCCACCTCCTATCCCTATCCTCCCTAGGAACGCACGATGTTTTTTGAACATTATAGGGATTCCTTTCCTTGCGCTCCAAGCGATAAAAAAAATCGGTCCTAAAACGAATCAAGGAATCACTCCTTTCAATCTGTATATGATATTTTGTGTTCAAGATATTTCCAATAAATCAATAGTTGCTTCAAAAATACCTAATAGTATTTTTTCAAAATAAGGATGAATGAAACGTGGTTTTCAACATCACATTACATGAATCAACCTTCAAATAAATCATTCAACATGATCAAAGCGATATCAAAAAGAGGAACTACAAACTAAGAGTAATCATGAGCTATTTCATTTTAACAATGCCTTGATATTCCAGTTATTCCAAGTATTACCTCAGATAACTTGAAACCTATTTCAGTTTTCGATCTACTTTGAGCAATTTGGCTTCCTCGTTGTTGAAATTACGCCAGTCAGACAATCAGTCCCTCTCATTTCTTTGGTGTTTTGGAGTGTTTCTTCATTTCGGCCCCAGGTGGTCAAACGCCTCGTGGGTATATTGAATGCTGAAATGTGTTCACGTTGTGTCAGGTACGCACCAGATGGCATGAATGCCATCTGGGGACACCCCTGCACTGATGGGGGCCAAAGCTCGAACCGATGTGTAGGTAGTCAAGCGTTCCTAAACAATTTCAGCACTATTCTGTATTCGTTTGAACGAATCATTGCACAGATTTCGGGAGGATATAATCCAATATTCTGCGTGGCATATAGCCAGGAAAACCGTTGTTTTTCTCTCGTTATCTACGATTTTCGTTCATTTTATAAATATATGAAGAAATGACTTTGAGATTTCAATCTTTATTTGCTCAGTTTATAGTTCGTCTAGTGTAGTTTGGAGTTGGTTCAGAAACATGGTTTCTCAGATTATCTCCTTGGATAACTATTGAATCCCTCTAATCGGCGCCACTGATTGCTGTTACCTAAAACTTCTTCACTTTGAATCAATCATCTTCATTTGCATATGCATATCATTTAAGAGGAATACTTACTGAAGAAACATTATTCATTGGTGCGTAACGTATTGTGTACCGTCGTCAGTTAGTACAGGTAGTAAGTACGGTGATCAAACAAATATGGAGAATGAATTTGGCAACGACAATGGAGAAAAAAATTACAATTTCATCCAAGGCCGATTGTTATCTCATCCACAACCTGGAGAAGAAATTGTAGTAACAGGTAAACAATATTTTTTCCTTCTGAAAATGAAAAATCACATTAGTTTGTTCATGGGTTTGTTCGATAGTTTCCACCCTGATTCACTCAGAAATGATCAAACGGGAATTGGAATTTTGATTTCGGGGAAGGACTAGGATAGCTACCCTCAGCTTATCATAGAAAACAATGGTCAATAGACACATCATCTTGAATATTTCCTGTTTCTCTTTTCAGACATTTTTATTCTTGTTAGGAAAAAATTAATAGTAAGTTCGTTTTATGGCAGCTCCAATGTAAATGATCAACATATCAACCGTTCCTATCGGTCTATACTGGATATTGGATTCTGTCCAAAAAAGAGCAATTCGTCTCGTGGGTGATGCCTCGCTCACAAACTCACTCACTTCTCTGGAACACCATAGAAAAGTTGGCGATATGGCTCTATTTTATAGATATTTTCATGGACGATGCTCTTCTGAAATATCAACAATTGTTCCTCCCTTGGCAGTCCCCGCGAGATTAACCCGTCGAGTTGAGGTTTCGCACCCTTCGTGGTCACTTTGGAGACCTGCAGAACATCTCTTTCCAAAGACTCGTTCATCCAACGAACAGCGAGAATCTGGAATACATTGCCAAGGGAGGTGTTCCCCGAGGCATATAACGTCCAGATACTCAAGAAGAACACCAATTCCTACCTTATTTCCCTTGGTTCTCACGATGTTCTCTGAAGATTACAGGATATCCCTTCTCGTGGGAACCAGAACGTGAAAAAATATTTCCAGAATCATTCCGAACATTCTACAATACTCAAAGCGTTTACAATAACAAAACCATCCTCAAGATGCTTCAGTAACTTTGCCCTCGAGGTGTTTTTATATAACAATCATTAAATGGATTAAGGTCTGGTGATCTAGATGACCACTAAATGTGTCGTCATCGCCACATTTTCTATGTCAGTTCCATGCGTAAAAATCCTGACTTACTGAAATAGTAACTTCGAAATACGGAACAATTAATGTTCATTTATGATGAAGAAAGATAGATTTTATCGTCAAAAGTTTTTGTTCCTGAGGTGTCCGCCATATTGATAAATAAAAACAGTAGATAGATAGAGATAGATTCTTTATTGTTTTCAAAGACATTACAGTCCTATAGCAAGGATTCGGTTATTTCTGATAAACACTTTACATGGAAATGTGTTCAATGCGAATTGTAATAATTGTCACTATACATATGCAAATATAAACAGTTTTGATTAATAACAAAAACACGAACAGGAAGAAAGAATAAGGAAATGAGGCAAAGTTGATGATATCACGAAGTGCTACTCGTTTCTTGAAAATGCTCTGGTTTTCAGTATATTCCATATATAGTTGGTAAATAAAAACAGTAATTCTGGTAACATGGAAAATATCTCATGTAGTAGAATATACTCTTCTCCACGACATTGAATATCATGTAGATTATGGAAAGGATCTCATGTTTCGAACCTATCAGCATCGATTATCAACCAATACAAATTATTGTGACGAACAAAAAGACAAGAAGACAAAAAATGGTTGAGAGTTGAAATATTGAGAAAATGTCATAGTAATTTTTAGGTTTTTCGAACAGAGGCTCAGTGCCCCATTTAGCAAAATAAACTTCCACTTCAAGAGAAAGCTGGATTTGATGCAATTAATGCCAATATGTTAATTCTATAGGCTGTCATTTCATCGGCAATGAGCAATCAATAACGAAATGAAAAATACAATTGATGAATGATTTACAGGAATGCGTCTGAAGTTGGAGTGACTAAACAAAAAATGGAATTCATTTTATTAATATATCTGAAGGTATCACTACTCCTTCCTCTGAAATTCATCCACAACAAGTATCTGAAAAATCTATGTTATTTTATTTACGTTTCAATAATCTCGAACCATTTCAAAAGGTATTCATATCATATATGGAATAAGTATCTCCTTCCCACTATAACGTTAACAAATCACACATTTACGTATGCCTTTCTCTTCCATCTATCAAAAATTATACACCTTCTACCCTATATATCCATGGAGTTGGAAGAAAATTAATTATAATTTTCAAGGAATGAAATGTTTCAATACGGAGCAATGAACTGATATTTTAATTGAATATGGGTATTGGGTTGTGATTGATGCATTGTCCTCAAGTGATCATTCTATATTCTATTCAATTTAAATTACGACTGTGAATAATATTCCAAAAAAATGCACCTAACAGTCATTGACCCCCATAATGCTACATAACAGACTGTTATTGAAAAAAAACTAATGAAATATTGAATTGATAGTCATTGCAAATCAGTTGATACTCAACTGATAACAAATATGCTCAAATTCATCCAGAATTTGTGTGCAGATTTTCGAAAATAGAATGACAGAATCATATCGAATATGTATAGTTTTTCAGATTGTTGATCTGTTGACAAAGTTGTTTTATAGTTATAGTCGGCGGTCTAAAAGATTTGAAGGCATCTGTAATTCCAGTTTTCGAATGAAATAGTGAGCCCCCGTTCCAAATAAATACTTTTGCAGTATTCCCTGATTTTCATGAATAAATTTCCAACTATAGCCCTTTTTAGCTATGATTCCATTGGGCTTTGGGTAAAATCCCTTGGTATTCATCCTGAGTCATGTACCAATCACTATAGTACTATTATGGTTATTATAGTGTTTAGATTCAATCAATCAATCAATCAATTTAATCCTTCGGAACTATATCTATTGAACACACACGATGAGGATTTGAAAATAAAATCTTCTGTAGTTGAGAATTTGCATTATTCTACAGATAAAAACATATATAAGTATGCACATAATATTATTCTGAATATTCAACAGAAAACAACTAATTTCCTGACTATTTGCCACGTCGAACATTGAATTATATTTGTTGAACATCCAAAAGGAGCAGAACATGAACATTGTAATCCTCTGAAATTGAGAATTGACATTATCTTTCAAGTCGGATAAATAATATGATTATCAGTGACACCTTGTTCAAATTCAAATGTCGTAGAATTATACAAGAGTTACAGATAGCATGAAAAATGAAAGACACGACTTGTTTCGCTAACACAGCAGCTTCGTCAGGTCACCTGACGAAGCTAATGTGTTACCTTCATAGCACCGGCCACCGGCTAAACTATACCTTTTCAACTTCAATTTCGGAATCGGTAACTTATATTTCGGAAAAAGTAATCTCGATTTCGGAATTGGTTACTTCGATTTCAGAAATGGTAAACTCAATTTCAGAATCGGTGAGTTGAATTTCAGATAAAGTCCATTCAATTTCAGAAATGGTAAGTTGTATTTCAGAATTTGTAGGTTCAATTTCAGAAAATAAATCCTTTTGTTTGTTTGAAATATTTCCAATTGCATGTGTGATTAACAAACCATATTACAATATTCAACTGTTCAAAAACAATTCAATAACATAATTATAATCTCAATTTAATCCACAGATGTCTTCCATCCGAATCGCAGAAGGATATATAGTAGCGTTGCACATGATTATAAGAATGCAAACACATTTGAGGTGTTATCATTTTCATCGAATGATCTGCACATTCTTCAAGACATCGCAGTCTGAATTCTATCTGGTTGAGCAATATGCTCGGATCCCCAGCTATGACCCTTTGGCGATGCTCTTGAAAAAGCTCGTCACTTCTGACCTGTAGGCACTCCATATATGTTCAATCGAATTCAACATAGGGCTGTAAGGTGCCAATCTGCAAAATATAACATTATTTTTGAATGTGCAGGTGCATTATCCAGAACTACCACTATGGTATCTGCAGGATGTCCATCAAACAATCTTCTCTTCTGCAATTGAGAACATTTCAAACATATATAAGGATTCATCTTCTGAAATTGATCCTACCAATTCTGAAATTTTTTTTTTCATCGCTTGGAGCGCACGAAAGGGAATCCCTATAATGTTCAAAGAGCATCGTGCGTTCCTAGGGAGGATAGGGACAGGAGGTAGGTATTGGAATTTTTTTTGAACTTTTGGAGATTATATGTTGTTGGGAATACTTCCACAGGCAATGAATTCCAGAGCCTAGCCGTTCAATGGATGAAGGAGTCTTGATAAAGTGCTGTTCGACATCTTTCGAGGTTGACAACGAAAGGATGTGCTGACTGGGCTTGTGTGGTTCGTCTGATTGGTATTGCTAGTGAAGGGAGGATAGCAGAGATTTCCGAAGAACATTTCCCGTGGAAGTATCGATAGAAAAGTGAAAGGTCGCCTACCTTTCTACGGTGTTCCAATGATGTCAAAGAGTGAGTGAGTGTGGCGTCACCCACCAGGCGAATGGCTCTTCTTTGGATGGAATCTAAGAGCATCAGTGTATGTTTTGGTGCTGAACCCCATATGTATCTGCGCTTTGTAGATCATGAGAAGCTGTTGAGGTGTAAAGTAGCTTTTCGCACGGAGCAAGAATCCGAGTTTTTGTGAAGCAGCTTTTGCGATGGATCTGACATGATTATCCCATGAAAGAGTATTGCTGATGGAAATACCGAGAAAAATATGGACATTACAATATCGGGCATACTGAGTTCCGCCTTTCTAGAGAAAAAGCAGGCTTGATTTTTAGTGGCGTTGAATTTAACGAGGTTGTTTGTTCCCCAGGCTGTGATTTCAGCAAGATCTTCATTGACAGCATTGACCTGCCTGCGCCGTGAGTTCTTAGTTTCCTGGGAAGAAATGGGAATTCTAGAAGAGAACGCAGTATGGAGGGTACTATCATCTGCAAAGCTGTGGATGGAAATGAAACTAACCATTTCTGAAATTGAATGGACTTTTTCTGAAATTCATCTCACCGATTCTGAAATTACGTTCACCATTTCTGAAATCAAACTAACCAATTCTGAAATCGAGATTACTTTTTTCGAAATATAACTCACCGATTCCGAAATTGAAGTTGAAAAGGTATATTATATAGAAACGGTGAAGTCTTTTAGGAGGTTCTGATTAAGTGTCTCTTCCATAAATCTGGAAACTTCACTTTTGTGAAAAGTTTGACCTCTTTTGGTCGGTATTCTACATTCCTCTTCTTTTGAAACGATGCTAGCTTGAAATTTCGACTCAAATTCAAGTTTATTTTAACTTTAAGAACAGTTTTTAACATTGGTACTTACTCCATAAAGTATTCAGCTGATATCCTCCTTGATACTATTTGTTCATTTGTTGTGACACCATATTCGAATTAACATTGTTTCTCCTCATATTTTTGTTGAGATTTAGGGGGCAGTTATTTCAAACTTGCAGAGTTTGCTGCCTCCGAGGCTGCCTCTAATAGGTTGGAATGTTATAGCTCGTCGTTAGAACTGCTCATTTTAATAACTTTCAAACCTTTTTTTGATTTTATGAATAAAAAAGTGTCGATGTTTAATAGTAATTTACGTAACAAGTGCGGAATGTACTATTTTTTTAAACGAGAAGACAAAATTCGAGTCTAAATAACTGTTTTTGAACGTGTTGCGTATACTATTTTTTTGGCAACCATGTAGAATAACAAATCAATGAGGCAAATTACCCATATTATATTTCTTTGTAGAATACAAATTCGTCTTTATTAATTCTCATTCTCATCATATACTTTTTTTATGTTCTGGTTCCCACGAAAAGGAAAATCCTGTAATGTTCAGAGAACATTGTGAGAACCAAATGAAATAAGGTAGGAATTGGTGTTCTTCTTGAATTTCTGGAGGTTATACGCCTTGGCAATGTGTTGCAGAGCCTAGCTGTTCGTTGGAATTTGAACAGAATACCTATGTATACCTACTAACTGTTACATTGGAAATTTTGTATGGACATTTTCAAACTCCGTATCGCAGCTGCTTTCGATAGTTTATTGCGATAATTGCAACCAAACTTTCAAAAATCGAAATGTCAACTAAATTCATGTCAAATAGCCGTCAGCCGATATTTAACTGCTATGGTAATTGTCATCTGCATTTATCAAAACCATATCTACCAAGAGTTTCGTATAGTTACAGTGACAACAACAATGGGATGCTACCATATGCTACTTTCTCAAAAAAAAAGCACACTTCCCGGACGGTTGCCGAAAAAAATTGTTGCTGACAGAAACCGAGGAAAAACCTGACATCATGTCGAAGTTGAAATGTACACCTATTGTTGTTACAATATTATTCATCATTATTCGCGATAGGAAATAACTTTTCGTCCCACTTGACGGCAACATTTGAACACTTGTGAGCTGATTGTTTTGATGGATGTGGTATATGTGACCAATAAGCAAACAAAAAACAAATGTTAACCAATAAAAACAAAGTGAACAGACCGCATTGACAGCTTTCAAAAACTGCGAAAGGTGGCGTACGCTTATTTTCTATCCACGGTTTTCTATCGCGAATACAAGTTACTTACATTTTTTTGTCTGTTTCAAGCTGAAATACATACAAATATCGAATAACAGAGTTGAAAGGTGAAAACACTTACAACGGCTTCTCTCATTGCATGAAATAGTCTACAGCAACTGAAATGAATTCAAATTTTCCATACTAGTGAGATTTTTGAGTAGTTTTATACTTATCCACGCTCAGTACGGATACAAATTTCATCCGCATAGCGTGCGTAAAAGTCTGACTTCGCACACACAAATGTGTGTTAAATTATCAGATAAATTGGGTGAACAATAGTGGACCAAGGATAGAGCCTTGAGGAACTCCTAGTGCATTAATATCAGTCGATGAAAGAGCAAAACTTCCAGATAAAAATACCATGACCATCATTCGAGATCTATGTCTCAAAAATATTCTCTGATATATTTCAGGTATATCGGGATATTTTCCACATTCGGAAAATGTGTTAGAATTCCAGGAGAACCTTTACATGAAACGAAAGATGCTTCATGGTAATATGCGATGGGACTTTCAACATGCTGAAATCCCGGAGGTAACAGGTGCAGTTCCTAACGCAGACAAATTCGATGCTGGATTTTTTGGTAAGTCCTCTGATAACTCAAAGAATATAATAAGGTTCATTTCCTATCAAATAAGATGCAAGAGAAAAAGAGAAAAACAAACCGGTATGCACTGGCGTAACTAACCATCAGAGCTAAGGGAAGGGGGGCTAGAAATGACATGGTCTATTACAATGATGTGATCTAGGATATAGCCTATTCATGAATTATTTTGGAAATAAATCCACAATCAGGTGAGCTTTTCAAACTTGAAGAATATAAATATCACCTGCTTAATACGGTTCTGGATCTGAATACGCCGTCCGAAAGGAATAAAATTAAATTGTATTTGTAATGGCTTCAAAGAATTTTCCTACCCATATTCACATTCACTCTCTTACTACACACAAAGTTCATAGAACTCCTTGGAGGTTCACTCTGTTGATATTTTATTGATTTTCCTTATTCCCTAAACAAGCAACAAATTATTGCCTACCACAGATAGACAGAAGGCAGAAGGCCAAATAAATTTCAAATTCACAACTTACCTTTTGCCCTTTTCTCACTACTTCACTGTACTCTGAGTTTTGTCACAGTAAGAAAGTCTATAATGACAAAACATAGCAAGAGTTGTGCTTAAGATTTCTATATAATTAATGTTTTGAAACCTGTCTCTAATGATCTTTAAGACAGACTGAAATCTGGGAATCCCAGGATTCCCAGGGATCACAGAATGTAGAATATGAAGAGGGATACCGATACCACACTCGTGCTGCTTGTTGAGACAGGCGGACAGGGTCATCTTTATTATTATCGTGTGAAATTCCTCGATATTTTTAATGGTACAATATATGATACAATATTTTGATACGTGCCACTTTATTTGGTACGGATGTTCACTTGAAAAATTCTGGGGGTATAATTCAAGTCCAAACGTCCCAGGCCTAAAATAATTGTCCTTGGGACGTCTCATCCCGTACATCTCATGCAATGTTCGAGCAAGGACGTTCATATGGAATGTCCCAGCTGCTACATAATTTCATGTCCTGGAAATATCATCTTTTCAACGTCCTACGTGGTATATATTATGGAATGTCCATACAAGAACGTAGTTATAGCATGTCCAGTATAGAAAATGATATCAAACGTTGCCTTAGGGACATCCATCAGATGTTCCAAGAAGTACATATGCTGGTATGACTCCAGGTCTTTTATAATGTCTCGTCAAGAACAACGATGAAATGTCTCACACGTTACATTTCTTCAAACACTCTGCACGGACACCCTCAATATTTTCAGGATTGTGTAACATTCCAAATGTCCCTTATGAACATCCGTCGCATGTCCCAATTGGTACTTGAACTGTTATAACTTCGGCAGAAACTCCTATAGTACAAGAATATTATTCAGGGAATATAATTTCATGAGATGTCATGAGTACAACGTCTCATGGACGTCCCAAGGACGTCCTCATAATGTTCTAGATGTCATCCTATATAAATGTCTTGCACGCAAGCAAATGATCATTTTTTCTTCCAATGTCTTAGAAATTACGTCCTACGGTACGTTTGATATGTTGTCCCTGCGAGGACGTTAACTTACACCTCGCTGACGAACGACTGCTCAAAGGCTATAAATACTACCTGCGTCAATGTCCTTCACGAAAGTCCATTGGACATCCTTGGGAAACTTCTTTGATGGGTCCTCTTGGAAACCTTCTGCAGAATCTATTGAGGACATTCCAACTCAACTGGACCTCATCATTAGACAAGAAACCCAAATAAATAAGAATTCAAGAATAACTCGTGTCTCCCTAATCTTGAATATGTTTGTTTATTTTTTGCCAGGTATTCATGAAAGGCAAGGCCATACCCAAGATGCGGCGAGTAGGATGCTTCTAGAAAGAACTGTCGAGGCCATCTTTGATGCTGGTCTTCATCCCTCTGATTTTGAAAACACCAACACAGGATTGTATGTTGGAGCGTGCTTCAGCGAGAACGAAAAATATTGTTTTTTCGATAACATGATACCTCAAAATTTCGCTTACACTGGGTGAGTGGAAAATTCTCAGTTATTGGTGTAATAACAACATAAAAATTATAGCTACATCGAAATCAGCGTGAATGAGATATTAGATGAAAAAAAAACAAACATGGGCTTCTCAACTAGCAAAGTAAAAAACTTCAAAAAGTTGAAGATTCTATTAAATGAAGGAGAATGACATCGGGTTTTCAAACTCAAGTCGGCAGGCACTATTGCTTATTTGGTTATTATTGGAGTTACAATGTTAGTTGAAGAGGGACATTCACTAGCCTATTATATGCTACAACTTTTTGGTGATGAGGGTGTTTTGAATTATTATGAATAGTATTATATATAGTGTGGGAAGCTCGGTGGGAAGGTTTTTTTATGTTCTGGTTCCCACGAAGACGGATATCCTGTAATGTTCAGAGAACATCGTGAGAACCAAAGGAAATAAGGTAGGAATTGGTGTTCTTCTTGAATTTCTGAGGGTTATATGCCTCGGGAACACCAACCTTGGCAATGTGTTCCAGAGCCTCGCTGTTCGTTGGATGAACGAGTCTTTGGAAAGAGATGTTCTGCAGGTCTCCAAAGTGACCACGAAGGTGTGCGAAGCCTTAACTCGACTAGTTAATCTCGCGGGGACTGCCAAGGGAGGAACAATTGTTGATATTTCAGAAGAGCATCGTCCATGAGGATATCTATAAAATAGAGCCAGATCGCCAACTTTTCTACGGTGTTCCAGAGAAGTGAGTGAGTTTGTGAGCGAGGCATCTCCCACGAGACGAATTGCCCTTTTTTGGACAGAATCCAGCAGTTTTAGGGTATGTTTGGGTACTGCACTCCAAATATGGGCACAGTATTCGAGGGCAGGTCGGATCTGTGCCTTATAGATCATAAGCAGCTGACTGGAAGTGAAATAGCTCCTGGCCGGAAACAGAAAACCAAGTTTATGGAAAATTGAAAGTTTTTTGCATTGACTTTGTAGCTCCAATAATAACCAAGTTAGCAAAAGTGCCTGTTTGAGTTTGAAAATCCTGTATAGCCATCTTCTTCGCGAGTAACATTCAAGTTCTAACAACCTTTATAGACAATTATATGCATGTTGGGCTTGCTCAAATTTAATATTTCCCACATTATTATCATTCTCTATTGATTTTTAGTGCAGTTAGATCAATGATAGCTCACAGAGTCAGCTATTTCCTGAAGCTGAAAGGACCTTCCTTCATAGCTGATACAGCTTGTAGCAGTTCTTTCTACGCTCTCGAACACGCCTACAGAGACTTAAGATTTGGAAATGTCGACATGGCCATAGTAGCTGGTACGAATTTGTGTATGCATCCCTTCGCATCTCTTCAATTCGCAAGGTAATATTCATGGACGTATAATATTCAACATATCTGTCTCGAAATATTTTGTAACAATCTACATACAGTGTGTCCCAGCTGAAACTTGTCACCCCCCTAATATCCGATGTCGTTGAAAAAATTGAAAATCGCTCGGACAGGTCGATTTCAATTTGGCGGGGGCCACATTTTTCTGCAATTATCATATTCCTAAAGTTGAAATCTTGAAGCGTAACGAACATCAACTCTCGATTTCCGAATGGAGCACCCTGTATTTCATTGCATTTTTAGATTATTCCTGAAGAGCTGCTTTCATCAATGTATCACACTTGGTGTCTAGCCGGTCTAGCGAAAATGATTACAGAGATATAGGGTGTTCATAATCGAGATTTTTTTGACTTTAGGATTTTTTTGTGTCGAAACTATTCATCATTGGTCAGAACGACTCACATGTCCCCATCTCAACTTCTGATCCACAACCTACTGATATTTAATCTAGACGAATACAGGGTAGTTCAAAATTCAGAATAATGAACCACCCTGTATTCGATCAAATTAAATATCAGTAGATAGTATAAATCAAAAGTTAAGATGAGGCCATGAAAGCCGTTTTGACCGATAATGAATAGTTCCGAGAAAAAAAATCCTAAAGTTAAAAAAATCTCGATTTTGAAAACCATATTGATGAAAGCAGCTCTCCAGGGAGAATATGCAATGACATATAGGGTGCTTCATTTGATAATCGAGAGTTGATGCTCGTTACGCTTCAAGATTTCAACTTTGAAATATGATAATTGTATAGAAAAACGACATCGGAATTTTGGGGGTGACAAATTTGATATACTGGCTCCAGAGATGGATGTTCCGAAAAGAAAGCACAGAGCTATGCGGAAAATGTAAAGTTGGTATGAACTCCCTAGGGAGAAAATATGTCACATTATCTCCCTAGGAAATAACACAAGACTTCTGCCCCTCTTTTGTTACCAGAGGAACTAACTTCTACTCCCACCGGAGTGAAAAATACAATTTTGCATTTCTATCTTTTAACTATAAATTTGTCCCATATCAAATTTTGAAGGTACATTTTCCAAAACAAAAACAAAAATTCTGAAAGCGAGAACTATTCTACCTTGAAAACGCAGGTATCATTTGTTTCTTATACAATTATACTCTGAACAGTTTTTCTTTCTGATTATGTTAACTAAACGAATTATTTCAGGTTAGGAGTACTGTGTAAAGATGGCGTCTGCAAATCTTTCGACGAGGCTGCAAACGGTTACGTCAGATCCGAGGTGATAGGGGTCATGATTTTGCAGAAAGCAAAACACGCCAAAAGGAAATACTTGGAGCTCATCCACGCCAAGACGAACTGCGACGGTTACAAAGAAACAGGCATCACTTTCCCATCGAAGGATTCTCAGTACGCTCTCATGAAAGAGGTGTACGATGAGTCTGGGATCAGTCCTTACAGCCTCAGCTATCTCGAGGCACATGGCACAGGTGAGAGGAAGAAAGATGTTTTCGATATGTTGGCCTCACTGCATGTAAATCGAGTAGCTGTCAAAAATATGGGTCAACAACACAATTAAAGAGTGATATAATTGGATTGGTCTACAGAAATAACATTTTCAAGCGTTGTGGATTTTTTTTTCAAAAACATAGCTTCAAATATACTAATTTTCTAAAAACAACTCTTCGAAACACATTTCCTCCAAACAACAATTTCTCGAAAACAAGTTCTATTATTCAAATTCAAATACATATTATAGCTAACATTACATGTTTCATCAAATGCTGCTCTGTTGCTGCCCTGGTCCAAAGATTTATGCTTTTTTTCAGTGAGATCCTCAAATCTATGCCAGATATGACTTTCGCAATAATTTTAAGTTCCATCAAACATTGTCCCTTCTTGATTTCATTCATAAAATTCCAAAGAGACGATTTTTTGGCGCCAATAAACTGGGTTTGCTGAAGAACACACTTTCAAATCAGCTCCAATGAGGACAGGCAGACAAGGGTTCAGCTCTAGTCTCTATCTTTCCTACCCATGTGTTTTTTAAATAATAAATAAATTCTTTATTTACTTCCGTGAACATATTTTCTTTTACTATCAAGTCGAAGCTTTTGGAGAAGCATTTTGATTTTTTTCTATACAGTGTGGAATAAATTCGTGAGCATGGAGGTGAATATTTCTTCTAAGAATTTATCTACATTTTGCAATCAATATCGAGAATATATACTTGCAGGGGTAGCTGAAACCACCCTCAACATGATATTTTCAAATACCCCACATTGGAAAGCTGGTAGGAAGAGGAATTAGGCGTACTAGTCAGATGTTAGTTTTTTATACGTTCAAAGGTTGCACAAAATTGAAATGTAATTTATAAATTAAATTTTTCTCAACGTATCAATAGCTCAAAATGTGTGTTCAATAATTGATGGACATTTCATGCCACAACTGCTACATGCTATTGCATTCCAGTGTTCTCATGAAGTCACAAAAAGATATATATTAAACTTCGAAATCATATTTTGATTGTTTGCTACCTCTAAACGTACTGCAAACTGAAACATGATCAGTTTGCTGGATTCCTCTTTCAACCAGCTTTCCAATGAGGGGTCGCAAGCTATTGGATTGCATTCGGAAAAAACATGTCGGGGTTGATTCTAGCTACCCCTGAAGGTCATATTCTCCATATTGCTCGTCAAATGTAGGTAAATATATTTGAACGTTGACGTGTCTCCCTAATTTTCTGGAGAATCATTCACCCCCCACCCTGTACATTGACTGAAGTGGAAATAGCATCCGTGAAGTGATACATCCGGAAAAATTCCTTCAATCGAATAGATAAATGCTTATTCGAAGTCTGTGATAATTGTTGATAGTCTGGTTAGATAGGTAAACCTAGCTTAGGCGTAATGTTGAGAAAAAACAGGTTTTCGAAATAAATAAATATTTTCAAGAAGACAGCTTTTCGCAATGGATGACTCCGAAAGAGACACCTTTCGGAAAATTGTTTATAAAGAAGAGTAATTTTCAAATATAATTATTCTCCAAAAATTGTCTTCGAGAAAATAGTTTTTAAAAACGTTGTTTCCGAGAAAAAATCCGCAACTTCAATTTCTTGGGCTGTGTGTATAAAATTTGAGGGAGACAATATCAATCCACGTAAAATACAATGAGGTGCGGCAGCACGACTACCTTTCTTTAATACTTTTCATTTCCACAAAATTTTCATCATATAATGTAGGCGCACACCTTAACTTTTGTTGTACATAGTTTGGAAGATCAGATCAGATAAGTGAAATCCTTCATTCTCCATACACTGAGTTAATCGGTTTCAGTCGTTTATCATGACTCTTGCCAGAATAGCAGGCGTGAAGTTGGCAATTTCCTATTTTTCCATAGGGTTTTTTTGGAACCACGCGTATTTGTGTGAACTGTCCATAACCCTACAAGATTTGGAAACCGACATCCAGGAAGAAATTGTCAACTCATCTTAAAATATTCGTTTATATTTCAGGTACTGCAGTTGGAGATCCAGAAGAATGTGGAGGAATCGACGAACTGTTTGCCAAAGGCAGACCAACCCCTCTTTTGATGGGTTCAGTAAAATCTAACATCGGACATGCTGAGCCAGCTTCTGGGATTGCTTCAATTATAAAAGTAATCACTTCAGGATACTCGATAGAGATCCGACATGATTCTACTCATTTATTTTGATAAGATTTTCTTCAATTTCAGGCTCGATTTTAGAAAGTGGATTTTTTTGTTGATTCTATGAAATCATTATTTCGGAAAATTTTCAAGAGTCTCAATAATCTAGGGTCAACTAGCTCATATTTTGGAACTTCAAAATCCGATTTCATATGGAAGTTTTGTTTCGTCTTCTTCATGACATGATGTATCTTTGGCAACAAGAGGAATCATCTTCGTCAAAACATGGGAGAGTGGACTAATATTGAATTATTGATATTCAATTACTCCACTATTAGGGACCTAAATTAATTTTTGCAACATTTCTCACACTTCTTTAATGTAAATAATGAGCCTATGCGTTGTTCGAAATTGTTGAATTCCAGAGCTCATGTCAAACGCCATTCACGTCGAATAAATGGTGACGTTAGTTTTTATGCTGTTTCGTTATTGATCAAGTGATCTTCAATTTCCACTCATGAAGCAAAATTGCCAAGACACCAATTATAATCAAGTTATCGAACAAATATATGAGAGTCCTGTCGTTGAATGAAACATAATAATTATAGTTGATTCTTGACTATCTCGAGCAATCAGCATGCCCAAACATTTCTTATACTCCATCACAAAATATCATGTGAATGTTGTAGATTTGGCAACATTGTGCTGAATGCTGAGAACTGACAAGACCACGCCCATAAGTCGTCCGCCGTGTTGTCACGTTTACCCGAGCGTTTACCGGTTCAAATGTCCTCTAGTGTGAAGCAATAAAATCATTATTTACACAAATGTATTATAAGCAATAAGCCACAACACATGAGGAAACATTTTGAGACAATTGATTTCATAATGCGAATTAGGAATATTACCAATACATAATTGAGAATTGATGAATTATTGAATAATTAATATTTCTGGAGTTCCCAATCGTATTTCAACATATGGCAACTGTGCTATGGTCTGCCCCTACTTACGAAATCGTGACGTCAGTTATTACTCGCGGTGAATTTCTAGTCGTTTGAAAATTACCGTGGCATTATTGATGATTTTGGCAACTTAAAATCAACCGAAAAATCCTGAAAAAATATGAAATTGAAAAGTATTCGGATGATGATTTTATTCAAGGAATTTAAAAAAATGTCCACCCGCCTATCATTATGCTTCATGTTTAACTGCTGGTGACTACATATTGTTAAATTGTGATCTCCCGATTTTTCCAAAATAATCAATAATATTATCAATTCAATGTTGTTTTAACACTTTTTGTGTTTTAGTGTATAATCGCAACGGAAAATGGATACATCCCTCCAAATATCAACTACAATAAACCGAATCCAAATATTTTGGGATTAGTGGAAGGACGGATGAAAGTGGTTACGCAAAAAATACCGTTTGAAGATGACAGAGGGCTGATAGGTAGGTTATGTTCCAAAGAGTGTCAGTTTCACAGTTGAAGATCATTCTGTTGAGCTGGCACGATTTGTGATTGTGCAGGAAGTTAGAGATGAACCTTGAAGATTCTGGAGTTCGAATTGTATTTGATGCGAATATTTTTTGTGTAGTTCTGAGTAACAAACGTCCAAATTTGATGAAGCGCTTTGTTTTTATGTGACAATATGAAGTGGTAACTATGGAAATGGAAGTAATTCAAAATTTCTGATTGGTGGAACTACTATATGCATATCTAGAGTCAATGGATGGTATAAGTAGATAAGAGTTAGGACACAGCTGAAATTTTGTCGTTTTTTATTTTCTAAATTACAATGAGACATACAGGGTAGTTAAAAATTCGATGTAAACATTTATAGTACATATTGTTGGGATCAAAATGAAACTTTTTATAAATACTACACTTCCGGTCGAATTGAGTTCAGACATCCTGATTATTTACCTACCCTTGAAGTGCCCGAACTTTCTGCATTCGGATTGAAGTGGTTCTTCAGTCCCTGGGTTTAAAATCTACTATTAATCTCCACAGGTATCAACAGTTTTGGATTTGGCGGTGGTAATGGTCATTTACTCGTCAGAGGTAACAAAAAAGAAAAAGTAAATGGTGGACTACCGAAGGATGATCTACCTAGATTACTTTGTCTCAGCGGTAGAACGAACGAAGCGGTTGTCCATCTAATCGACGATATCAAAAACAATCCTCTGGATGCTGAGCATATCAGACTTTTACACAACGTTTTCAGGTAGCCGTGTTTCATGTGATAAATCATCTTTTTCTGCAACCGACACAAAGTCGTACCAAAATTAGCTCTTGAATCAACGTTTCTATAACTGACAAAAAAATAGGTATGTTGCTAGGTAACATATTTGGTTTCTAGGAGCTGAAGTTGAAATTTAGTTCCTTGGAGCTAAAGTTGAACTTTAGCTCCTAGGAACTAAAAAGAATGTACTAGACGTCATCAAGAATAGACAACATTGTTACGGTTGATCATTTGGGTTGGGATGCATACCTGATTTCCGAATTCGGCAGATTTAGCATTTCATACCTATGCTGGAGATATAAATACACCTTATTATAGTTGAGTATAGGAATTATACACATCTCAGTTAAGTATTTTTGTTTTGATCAGGGAAGCCTTCAAAATCCACATATACTTGCTTGATCTGTATTTCATTCGATCTCGAATGGATAACTTGTTTTTGAATAATCACGGCAAGCTATAGATTTTTGTCTCAAACAACGATATTGTTTAGCTTCATTTGATTATCAAGTCAAACACAGTGTAGTTCGGAGAGGAATAAATAATCGCTATTATTATTGTTGATATGCTCACTAACCTAACTTTTTCCACGTCTTGTTCCTATAGCTGGCACTGGCGCGGTATTTGCCATTAGAGCACCTGGTCCATGCACAAATATGTCACTCTGTGGTTGTATTTAAATAGAAACTAAAATTCGAAAATTCTTGCAAATTGAATGAACCTGCTGTAAATGCAGGTAGAATATTCTCACCACACGGATATTACATTGATTTTGATTTGTTGCATTGCATATAAATGGCACGGCATTGGTGGTTACTTCACATATTTATTTGAGTTCATTGTTTCGGTTGCAGAAAAAATAGCATGTTCAATTCGGATCAAATGTGACTTTGTTTGACTCGCAAATTTTGCTTTCGCTCGGCTTCGGCAATCGCTCCGCCTGGCAAATGCAAAATTTGCTTGTCAAACAAAGTGTCAATTCTGATCCTAATAAAACAATCTACTATTTCTTATTGTGATCATTACAGGAAGGATATTTCTAACCATTTATACAGAGGGTTTTCGATCGTCTCAAAGCATGGTGAGGTTTGTAGATTCACTGAACGATACCGAGGATTGCAAGTACCGTTTTATTTGACATTTGGGGAGTTGGAAAATTGGTGTGAAATTGGAAATGACCTAATGGATATCCCAATATTTCGAGACACTCTACAAAGGTAAATCAATGGAAACACTTCGAAGGCGCTCATTGTTTTATTCCCAAATTGACATCCTCAGAATCCAGAAGAAATTAACAACGAAAGGAGTGAAAATCATCGAAATAATGAAGAAGGCTTCTGCTGAGGATCGGAATACTTATCATGCATTGGGCAGTGTGGTCGTTCAAATGGGCATCATAGATGTACTCAAAACCATAAAAATCGTGCCGAAATTCCAGTTTGGTTACTCTTATGGGGAAATATTATCAGCCTACTTCGATGAATATCTTTCACTTGATGAAACAGTGAATTGTGCCTTCGAAATTAATAAATCTATCAATTTGATAGATGACTGGAATACCGAGAATTACAAATCTATGGTTCGTATTTTTTCACATCTTGAATATATTATACATATATAGACTCGAATGAAAATCTAGTTGAAATTGTACCTGTTCTTTCAATAGAATTTATTCTCTGGCTATGTTTGGAGTTGAAGATCTAGAATGTTTCAATGTTATTTTCTAATATATATTGAGAATTCGAATTGTTAGAAGAATTTCAATGATTTATTCGAGTGACTGGTATCGCACTGTGAAATATAAATATAATTTGTTTCTGCAATTTGCATTGATTCTAGAATATAATCGAACAAGTGAATGGATATTATCCAACTGGTCATCATTCAAGTGGATCAGTTTTGGAAAATTTCAGACAAGCGCTTTCCTTCAATAAACCTACTGGTATCAGTAAGTGAGATGCTATCTTCGTACTTGAATTCGATTAATGAAGTTTTTTCAGAAAAAAATCTACTGGAGAACTTGTCGAATATCATCAAGTCAAAACCAACAAAAACTGGAAAATTGAACAATTCGTTTGCTACAGCTGAATACTTCGTAGAAGCAATGTCAGATACGATTTCCCATAATTTCCTGGAATGTCTCGAAAAGAATTCAATTCTGTTGAAGATTGGAACCTTCCCCATCAACGGAGCAATCAAGTGTGTTAAAGTGATCAATTTCTTCTCGAAAGAAAGCGCCAACTATGTTGTCGACTTCCTGAAGATCCTAGGAAAGTGAGTGTTTCAGGGAGAGAAACCGATGAAAAATAGGACAATCAGTACCGAATCTGCTGATTCTCAGTCTCATAAACTGTCAATGAATAAGGGTGTTCCACAAGGATCTGTTTCAGGACCAATACTGTATCTGCTTTATATTCAAAATATCACGAAAGTTGGTTTAGCGAGTAATTATACCATATATGCAGACGATACAGTGCTTTTATACGAAAACAAAAATCCTCCTATTTCAGAAAGTGTGATAAATAACGATCTGAAATTATTTGAAAAAATAGCTTCACTATAACCTATTATTAATGAATACCAGAAAAACTGAATACATGATTTTTCAAAAAAAATAAACAGAAAATTCAGCTCTATCTTAAAATACAGAATGAATTCTTGGAACAAACTGAACAGATAAAGTATTTAGGTATTTGGTTTGATGAAAAATTGAAGTGGGACAAACGGTGGTAACGGACAAACATATTGAAGTTCTGACAAAGAAAATATCTCCTATTATTGGTGCATTGAGGAAATGTCCCAAACTCAATATGAAAATTGCAACTCTATAGTACTCTATTCACATATACTAAGTCGAATCAACTATTCAATAAATGCTTGGGGATCTTGTTCTGAAAATAATCTTAATAAATTATCAAAATTATATAGAAAAGCATCAAAAGTACTGTATTGTCTTCCATATGATACACCAACAACTGAACTGTATGCTTCAACAAAAACATATTCTTTAGAAGAACTGTACAGATTAGAGACTCTGAAAATTTCATACAATATCATGAATAAAAAATTGAAATCTAATATTATTTTGACAAGAAATTTTGAAATTCATAGTCATCAAACTAGACAATATTACTTATTTCACCTTGATCCTGGGCTAGTTCTACACCCGTACAAAAAAGATTCACTCTTGCAGCCTTATCTGAGTTCAATAAGCCACCAGATGAAATTGAAAACTGCAGAAATATAGGTACATTCAGAAAGGAAGTGAAAAACTGATCATTTCTGAGAAAAATGTTTGAAATTCATCAGTAAATTGTGTCCATGACTAAAATTCTTTTCTTTGTACATTGTAGTGTTTTGTTTTATTGTGATCTATTGTGATATCCTGATTTATTATGATTTATCATTCATGTTCACTTCTACTCATGTTTGTGTAGTAGTTCATAGATATTTATTACTTATTATTTCATAATTATGTTCTTCCTCATACCAGAACTTGTTCTGAATGGAAGATATTATGTTTGATCAATTAATAAATGAATACTTCAAACACTCACTGATCTTCCAGCTTATACGTCAATGGTCATCATCCGCAAGTAGCTTCAATGTATCCAGAAATAAAGTTTCCAGTGGGCAGAGGAACCAGGATGATTTCTCCCCATATAAAATGGAACCACGACAGAATATGGAACGTTCCGCTTTACAAGATCAACTCAAACGACATAACAGCGCAACAAGAATTGAAGAAAGTTAAAATTCAACTGTCTGACCACGAATGGTCTTATGTAGATGGACATGTTATTGATGGTAAGTTCTAAAATTGTTCTAAACTTGTTCTTATCCATCATTCGGTTGCCCCCTTACGAGCAACCCTCAGAAGTCTTCAAGAGACTTGTGCGAGCAAGGAATGACAAAGGTCTTACCTTTTAACGTGTGATTCCGAACACTTTCTTAGGCCATCAGAAAAATGTCTGCGGTCGTGGTAGGAATCGAACCGACCTAACGCCAATCCAACGTGGATAGAACATTGACGCTTTAACCACGAGGCTACGCTGGCCACTAAGTGAGGCTGGCATTTTGGTAATGTCAGTTGAGAATTCAATTATCTACATTTTCATAGCAGTTTTCACTGGTTTGCAATTTTGTAGCTCGCCCATAGTTAGAATTCTCACAACCGTGCTCATCGGGTGGATTATAAATATATCTCAGCTTATTGAAATTGATTCTTGAATTAATGATAATATTAATGAATATTCATTTCTAAGGAACATTACAATAGAAGTCAAATTTCATGTAATCATCTATATTTTAGGGCTCAATATCTAACACAATTTTGAAAATAGTTCTTTTATACAGTTTTAAATTTTTAATTATTTCTATTTTCCTAGGTAGTTTGTTGTAGAATTTGAGACAATTACAAAAACCTCCTTTTTCTGTCATGGTCAGTCTATGTTTGGGATATATGTAATCCATATTTCTGGTCATATACTCAGTTTGAGGCTCAAAATCATTAAACAAAATTTCATTCTTGAAAAAAAAACAATAAGCATTCTTGGATATCCAAATACAGTGAGAATTTGGCTTCTCCTGCACATGTTTCTGTGCATTTGAGTTTCCATACTATTCTCATTGACTTACTTTGTGAAATGAAGATTTCATTCATGTCTTTGCAGCTTCCGTAAGATACTATCCTATATCTTATTATTGATTCTATATTCGCATGATATACTATTTTTAGGGTTACAAAATTAGTATATTTGGCGATCACTCATCTCTGCTCTCATACTGTAGCACACTTGGCTTAGTTTCGTACACACTGATTTTACTTGTTCGTTTTAACATAACATCCTGTCGATTCTCATATACCTGAAAATTTTACATGATCTGATAGTTCAATAATCATGTAATCTTTCAGGTTCATTTAAGGCAGTGACTCTTCAACTTCGAACATTCTTCGGATACGAAAGATGATGATGACTTTAATAACGCATAATTCAACAGCTATTCAAACCTACCTGGACATACTGTCTGTAGGTTAAGCGAGGAGGTGGTACATTAATTTTACTTGATTCTTTGGGATTTTCTGTCCTCGTTTCTATAATATATCTAAAAGTATTCGTATTATTTCAATATATTTGTAGTGTACTGAAAAGTGAACACTGAAAAGTGTCAAACTATATACGTAGCACAACTTTCGAAGAAACATAATTTGCATTTACATGTTGAGAACGGGAGCAGAATCGGTCCCGAAACGTCCAAAGATGAGTAAAAATTCGATATTTTTTCAATATTTCTTTCTTTCAAACATTTTTTCAAACAAATTGTCACTGACAAGCTACTGGATTTTTCTTTTAGACTCCCTGATAGAAAAATTTGTTAAACGCAGTGACATTTTGGGGCAAATCATCTGATTTGTCCCTCTACAAATATATTGAAATAATACGAATATTTTTATTTTATAGAAACGAGGAGAGAAAATCCCAAAGAATCAAGTGGAATGAATCTACCTGGAAATTTTTTGCAGAGAATTAAACTCGCATTCGAGATGTTTCTATCTGTATTACGAATTGGAATTTCAACAAATAATAATGGTGACAAGTAACTGATTGCTCTCGTCTATTCAGTTAAAATGACAGTAATATTGAGTCGCTTCATGGTATCACATATTCCTGCCAAATTCGGATATTCATTCAAGCAAAAAAGTGGCTTTTTGAAAATGGTTATTTATTATACAAGGAAAAAAAGTATAAGCTCGACATATAATATGTTTCCGTGTATAATACACTAACAGAAAAAACGATAATTCTATATTGAGAAGATATTACATTATGCTAAAATCAGAAAATTATCGATGTGAAATCTGATGTTCTTAACTGGTAGAGCACAGGCATCTTTTTCTAGGCATCTTTATTGTTGCTATGGAAAACTTTTGAAGTAATCGAATATGTGTCGATTTGATTCTGTGTTTTCATTTTGAAAAACTGCGAACAGTGGTTGTTTAGTAATTCATCCAACCTCGAAGTGGAATGGAATGGCCGAGGAAATGGCACAATAAAAACGTAAACGTCCTAACTTTTGAGATACAGGGTGTCAATGTTGAAAATATGCATAGTTACTTTTTTTGTCCACCCCGTATCTTTCCGTGATAGCAAAATTCAGTCTGCTATGTGACTGAATCGATATAAAAATTTCAAAATCCCACGTACTGTGTTATCTAGTAATGGATGTCCTGAATGGAATACTAAGACATCAAAATTTGAAGTCTGATAATCTCGTTTTTACGTTTTTTTCTATAAAACGAAGCGTTCTAACGAGTATCAACAGGAATATCTCTTTTATATATGATATATGAATAGCCTTCCATAGCATTGTAGGGAATTTGAGAATTTTTCATCGTTGCTCAATTTTAAGTAAAATATAAACAATAATATTCCCGTAACGATGCCACTGGTAGAGATAATAAGAATTTTTGTACAGTCGTATTCAAAAAAAGCGTACAAGTATATTGGAGGGAGAAATTAACGTCATCCTATTCGCGTAAATCGGGCTATCGGGAATAAATGTTCACCAAATGTTGACAGTAGAGTAATCATAGGTTCTCAAAAACACAAAGCATTGGCTGAGCCAATTTAACACAACAAGAACTAGAATGCCGAAATCTTCTATGTTGAATACTTGTACGTTTTTTTATTAAATACGACTGTACATCAGGAAATGCACCTTGATGCATGAAATACATGTACCTAATTTCATGAAGATGTATACAATATTGTCTCAGGTATTATCAAAACACTGAATATTTTTCAAAATTTCATCACCCTGTATCCAAAAAGTTCAGACTTACAGGACATACATTCATTTGAAGTTTCCTTCTTGAAATGATTCAAAGAAGCACCCCCTCAAATATTAGCATGTTTTTAAGGAACACCCTGTATATTCATTGCTGCTGTCAGAGCCAATGTAATGTTGCCAAACTTTTGTTTTATCAATTACCTCAATTTTCCACACATCTCGAATATATTTTCTGAAGTACAGGTTGCGGAAAATACCAGGTGTCCCAAAGTAACACCAAAGTCACAAATTTACCGTGTTCACGGTATATGTATACCATCTTATTACAGGAAGGAACCTTTTTCCGGCCACCGGGTACTTGTACTTGGTATGGGAGACGTTGTGCGAGGCGAATGATGTACCGATGAACATCCGCGACGTGGTTTTCGAGAACTGCAAGTTCCTGAGGGCCACTTCGGTACCGCCGAAGGGCTTCATATCGTACGGTGTGTCCATCAACAGGTGAGGAGCATTAATTCCTTAGTATTTTAGACTGTTTCGGTCGATTTTAAGGTGCTAAATTCATCAATATTGCCACGGTAATTTTCAAACGGCTAGAAATTCATCGCAAATAAAAACGAGCACGTCACGATTTCGTATAAGTAGTAATACGAATGGAAACTTCAGGAATATCATTCATTTATTAATTCATAACCTATACATTATGTAAAGGTAATATTCTTAATTAGCTATAAAAAATCCCTTGTCTTGTAATTTTCCCACATACAGAAAAGTGCACAAAAAACGGTCAGGACTGTAACTTTTGAATTATTCGAAATAGGATTTTGAAAATTGGTGGGTAGCAAGTATACCAAATTGCTCATTAATTGTTGAAACAAATTTTCTTCTATCACTTTCAGATACACCGGAAACGGCCCCAACTTTTGATTTTCGAATAGGACAACCTGTATTCTATTCCATTATCATGACGAATTCAAGGATACTGGGTTTGATAGGGTTATTCAGAACAATTACAAAGATATATGCGTTCGAAGTTTCCATATCCTTATATGGGTGTGACTTCGCAATATCAAAACTTCTTCCCTCTGTCACACTCGTTGAGCATATGGAAACTCAGAACGCGAATATATGCGTAATCGTTTGAAATAACCATATCAAACCCGGTATCGCTGAATTCTTTATGATAATCTCTAACCGATTATGGAATACAATACAGTGTGTCCCATTCAAGAATCACTATAGTCTGACATGCTGACGAACTATGTTCGTGTGTGTTTTATAGACATTTTCACTCTATTAGCAGTATCAGCTTCTATTGCAGAAGTAATTCTAATGAAAAATTACAAAATTTCATAATGAAAACTACAGTTCTCAACATACTAAATGGACCACTCATAATTTGAATCTATTTCGAAGACCTGTATTTCCTGAAAAAATTGACCAATCTTCATGCGGTTCTCGATATCAGATGTTGAATTTCATCGGCTTCAAAGAGAGCTAGAACAGTCTGGAAAGGTCCGCAGAACAAAACTTACACAGGGTGTAAAGTGGAACCATTACACTATGGTCTACATTTAGATAAGTTGTGAAACAGTCAGTACATCGAACAACAATACTCTGTGTCTCATACTTTGGCAATAAATGTTGGAAATCAGTTGATAAGAATCATCGATATCAGGAAACAAGTTTGAATTGAAAATTTTCATCCTGAATTTCAATTAGAGGCGAATTTTCGAAAACGTCTCGAGTTAATAGTCTAATATAAATAATGGATATCGAGAAGGCCGTTCCTGAATATACTGAATCGAATGGGCCATGGTTTTAGTCACCGTTTTTTATTTTTTTCACTGAAATGAGATTTTGTCCTCTTTTCTAATCATCCTGTATATTCCACAATAGTACTTTCTTCGTCTCTCATTGTCCTCCACGAAACACTGGAACAGTTTTTCCCAATAGTCAGCTCAAGAGGATTTATTGATAAAAATTTCAAGAAATGCATGATTTTCGAAAAAAAAAATCGAATTTTTGTTCCAATGACGGATTGAGGAGAAATCACGAAAATGTCCCGAGATAAGGTCCCAGTGTATCATAATCTGACTGACTTTGATCAGAAAAAAATTTCTCGAGTTCTGGCAGCATTGGGAATGTAGACCATAGTGTAATGGTTCCACTTTACACCCTCTGTAAGTTTTGTTCTGCGGACTTTTTCAGAGTGTTCTAGCTCTCTTCGAAGCCGATGAAATATAACATCTGATATCGAAAACCGAATGAAGATCGGTCGATTTTTTCAAGAAATACAAGTCTTCGAAATCGAGTCAAATTATTAGTGGTCCATTCAGTGTGTTGAGAACTGTATGCATGTGATATCACTATTTACCAAAAATCATATTCCTTCGTCTCTCGATGCATTTTTTGTGCATCATAAAACAGCACAATGTGATGGCATGATTAAATTAATGGATTGCCTAAAAAATACGATTCGTATACCAAAATAATGTGAGAAACTATTTCAATCCTTCAATTCCCTTGTAAACAAATAAGTGCACGCGACCTATATGCGATATGACAATTTTTACAGTAATTATCTCGGGCATTACATGTAAAATATCCGACATTTTTGTTTTTTGATGTTCATGGTCCTCAATCAAGCATACATGCAATAAATCATTTATTTCTAAATGTTTAAGCATAATTAAGGCTTTTGAAGCCAATCCAACATCAGTTTGTATATTAAGCTGATCATATTTAAATATTCAAGGACAAAATATTTTGAAGTTTGTATGTTCACTCCTGAATAAAATGTGAGGATTTGTACTATTTTGCTTAATCACCCTGTTGAATTTGTTCTCAATATTCATTCAATCAACTCAGAAAAACATCACAGATAACTAGAAAACTGTCTGAAATACCTCTGGATTTGTTCACTTCTTCATAACACCGCGTTCGTATTTTCTGCAGCGATTTGTGCTTTCTTGAGAGAAATTCTGCTGAACTTGTCGAACATCATTGTTACTCTTTGGTTGAAATTCCTGATCATTATACCAAGGATTTGTGTACTCATGGGGAAAACGGGGCATGGGATTTCAAACAGATGGTCGAGGTCGACATGGATGCAATATTAATATTCACCTACTGCCAATATGTCATGTAATGAAGTATCGTAATGAGATAATTTACCGCACTAGTACTCAAAAAAAGAAATAAGAACCAATTCATCATGAATACCTATAGCAGGTACTAAAGTTTCGATTGCTGTATTCGCCGCAATTTCTATAATACATCGGAATCTAAACTTTCCTGGTCCGGATTCATGCGGATGAAATTTTATTTCGAATTGAAATTAACATGAATGAGTGACAACCGAGAACACAATAGATTCGCGACAACCATAACCCTTGCAACGCTTGCTTGTTAGATATTTCTAATGAATCGTCAGTTCAAGGAATATTGAATATTTTTTATTAAATAATTAGCTTTTTGGTGGTTGGTGAACAATTGTACTATATTCGTATCGTAAACTCATATTACGATAATGGATGGGTTCCCATCTCATATCGTAATATGTGTCTTTACGCTACTCGTATCGTAAATATCTATTATCTCATTTGGTGGTAAAATGAATATGTTTGCATGTCCATCAACAGGTGTTCGGGACGATTCGAGGTCTCCGAAGGGGATTACCCGGTGGTGACTGGACGAATTTACGCTCTGGACGAAAACATCAATTCGACTAGCGTTTTCGGCGAAGCCAGGGATATTGATGAGTCTGTTCTCGAGATGAAGACGAAGGATATCTACAAGGAGTTGCGGTTACGAGGATACAACTACAAGTAGGTTTTACTGGTAAAAATTAGTAAGGATTGATTTTTCAAACATCGAATTGCTATAATAAACACATTGGTTTCTACTATCATTATGGTAATTACGTTATTATTATGTTGCTAAAATCGACTTTCAAAGAGTTATCAGTACTGATAAAGTTCACTAATACTATTTATTTGTACTTATAATGTCAAAATAAATTATTGAAAATTTCTCGAATGAGAAAACCGAATATTTAATCATGTGGATGTGTGGAGTGGAGAACAAATATATAGAGTTGATCAAAATACGTACGCCACCATTTCCAACTGGGACCAAATTCATCAATGTAATAATATGAGGTATCTGTCGCTTGAAGAATGGTCCAATGGATGAATACCAGCCCTAATATTCAATTTCTTAGTCAATTGAATTTGACTATAGTCATATCTTGAGCCCATCACTGAGGATTCTCGGGAGCCCAGTATCGACAGTTTTGCCTATTCATCGATCCAGATAGACAGAAAGTGGCTTCATCAAAATACATAATATTCCTAATAAAGTTGATATCTCTCGCTTTTAACGTTTCATAGAATGTGTTACTCGCCGTCAATCAGTTTGTGGATGAAATGCACCTTATATGGCTTCATGTTCTCCATTTTCAAAATTCGTATCACTGACATTTGACTTATTCCATGATCTAAGCTCAATTGGGTTTTGAAAATCATTTAACAGCTACCTCTAAAGTTGTCCCCCTGGATAAATAAATTGATCGTGTTCCTTATTCCAGATTTTTTGGGATTTTCTCTCCTCGTTTCTATAGAATGGCAATATGAATATCAATTCAATATACGTGTAGTAAGGACAAATCAGATAATTTGCCCCAAAATGTCACTGCGTTTGAAGAATTTTCCTATGAGAGAGCCTGAATGAAAAATTCACCTGTTTGTCAGTGACAATTTGCATTGAAAAAGGTTTGGAGAAGAGAAATAAAGGTATTCATATTGAAAAAATATAAAATTTTCACTTAGCTTTGGATGTTTCGGGAACAAATCTGCTCCCGTTTTCAACAAGAAAAATGGTTATTTGAATAGCAAATTCGTATCTGTCTTGAAACTTTTCAGTTCCCAGTGACAATTGGTGACGTTGGCAATCAAATGAGTTACGGGATGTTTCCATTATTTCATCTCAAATTTACCATTTTCATTTTCCAGACTTCAGTTGTGAATACCATATTCTATCTATATCAACTGAACAAGAAGCAATTCTATTGTCTCCGTTCAGAAGAATGCAAGCAGATTCTGTCATTTTTTTCTTCTGGTTGTTATCTTCTTTTCCAATGATTTTTGTATTATTCTACTCTGCCATATGTTGTCCGTCTTCAGTAGGGATATGTTCAACTAGAAACGAGGAGAGAAAATCCCAAAAAATCTGAAATAATGAATGTACCACCTCCTCGATTAACCTACACAGACAGTATTGATCGTGTTTCGCCAAATTTTCACAGTATATGATCAGTTGAACTAATATTAGTTGGGACAACTAATTGTGAGGAATTAAAATGAAATTATGATCGATATGAATCAATACCTTGAAAGATATGTACGGTTGGTGTGGAATTTTTTTATAAAACTCATTCGTGGACATTGAAAACAAGTGATTTTTCAACTTTTAATTAATTATAGCCTGGCGAGGCTGTCTTCAGTTAATTTTTTCCTATAATTTTCGACAAGCCAAATCACTTCTTGAATAATTTTCATTCATTAAACATATGGGTGAAGTTCGAAGCGAGCAATAAATAAAACACAGTTTCCGAATGTTTATTTTTTTCAAGGGGAGACTTCTGCAGCATGGTTGCTTCTGATGTGAATGCCTCCAAAGCTCTCATCAGATGGAACGAGAACTGGTCGCTTTTGGTGAATTTTTAATTTTAAATTGATAATAGCCTGACGAGGATTTTTCAGGCAACCAATTTTTTCATAATTTTCAACATGCCAAATTACTTCTCGAATAACACAGTTTCCGAATGTTTATTTTTTTCAAGGGGAGACTTCCGCAGCATGGTTGCTTGTGATGTGAATGCCTCCAAAGCTCTCATCAGATGGAACGAGAACTGGGTCGCTTTCTTGGACAACATGCTGCAAATGAAGATCCTGAAGACGGATTCTCGACTCCTCTACGTGCCCACGTTCATTGCCCATCTGAGGATACCTTCCAAGACCCATAGAGAATGGCTCGTGGAAACATATATCAGTCAGGGCAAAGAAACCATTTTGCCGGTTTATAGCAATGAAATGGCCGATACTATCACGTAGGTATCCAGATAACTGAATCTGAAATGTACAAGGTGATTCTTGAAGGACTGTGATGTACAGGGTGTCCCACCCAAATGTGTCACCTCCCATTAATCCTCGTAATTCTCAACCTTCTTTCGCCATTCAAAAACGTTCCTGGAATAATTTTTCACGAATGTTTTGAATCTGTGTTTTCTTTATATCAACAAAATGAAGAAAAAAGTTATTTCAAATGGAATAATCTGAATTTCATTGGCTAATATACAGTGTCATTCATAAAGTCGGCATCATATGGGAAAAATGTTTATTAATGACTTATTTTGAAATTCGAGTTGGACGTCAAGTTTTGCTTCAAAAAAGATGAAAAATGGCCTACTCAATCGGGGTCACGTGACTTTCGCTACATGTCAAAAGTGACTTTTTTTTCAAATTAATCGCTGAAAGTAGGCTTATTTGTTCGAATATCGAAAAAGTTTACTTGAAAAAGTTGTTTCTATTTGAATTTTACACATGTGACTCGGATTTTATCTTTCTATTACATTTTTTAGATTTCGATATTTTTTTTTAAATTTTCGAAATTTCTGTAATATTAAAAAAATTGTAAATTCGATAAAACTACTTCATACCAGTAGTTTCATCATGTTACTAATTTTCAATTACTAATTATCACTAATTATCGACAAAAATATGATTTTCTTCAGAAAATGATAATCTCCTCTTCAAAATTCTGTTATGTTTGATCCAAACATAACATCAAAATTCTGTTATGTTTGAGTCAAGCATTTAGTAACGAAATTCATTCGAATATATTTTTCCAGTACTGAAAAGATCAGTTTAAATGAATTTCGTTTCTAAATGCTTGACGATATATCAACTTTGCATCAAACATAACAGAATTTGGAAGCGGGTATTATCATTTTCTGAAGAAAATAATATTTCTGATAATAAGTAATTGAAAGTAAGTAGCATGAAAAAGCTACTGGTGTGAAGTAGTTTCGTGGAATTAACAATTCTTCAAATATTACAGAAATTTCGAAAAATTAAAAAATAAATCAAAATCTAAAAATTGCAATAGAAAGATCAAATTCAGGAAGTATGTGTAAAATTGAAATAGAAACAACTTTTTCAAGTAAACTTTTCCGATATTCGAACAAATAAGCCTACTTTCAGCGATTAATTTGAAAAAATGTCACTTTTGACATGTAGCGAAAGTCACGTGACCCCGATTAAGTAGGCCATTTTTCATCTTTTCTGAAGCAAAACTCAACGTCCAACTCGAATTCCAAGATAAGTCAATAATAAAAGTTTTTCCTATATGATGCCGACTTTATGAATGACACTGTATAGTTGAATTCGGATTGACAGGCTCCATCGAATTATGGAAAAAAATATCGATCATTTCATTTAAAAAAAAGTGAGCACAGATTCAGAAAATTCGTGAAAAATTATTCCAGGAAAGTGTTTGAATGACCAAAATATGTTCAGAATTACGAGGAAAAAGGGTGGTGACAAATTTGAGTGGGACGCCCTGTACCTTTAGAAATGGAGTTGTGTTTTGTCTTCAAAATATTACGATTTGTGCAATAACCTCTATAGAATACTGCTAATAAGAGAAATACAGGTTGTAAGAAATTATTCAAAACTTCTCGAACACTGAAAGAAGAACAGAAAAGTGAAGAAAAGAAGATTTGACCCATTCCTATAGGTCCAAACTTTTCGTTTTTCCTCAACACGATGCTTTTCTGAATATGAATGTGGTATTTTGCGGGTATTACATTATTAAAACTCAGTCTCTAAAACTCCACTCCATGTTTGAACCTGATTTTCGTAATAAGTTGGTCGTTTTTGTACATGAGTACAGGGAGGCTGGAATTAGAGCCTTTTCATTGGGATATTGTGCAATAAAGATGCGCAATTATACGCCTAGCGAATCTTGGAAAATACCGATTTCTCTCGGCAATTAATTTTCAAGTTATTTGAGAATACTAATCATATTGAATGACACTTTATCATGGCCACTTTTTTCCTTTGTCCCTACAAGATGGCGTTCCAAAATTTGAAATCTGAAGTTTCGTCTTCCAGACACCATCAACTTCTTTTTAATACGTACCGGTGTTATTTTTTTTTGTAGGCAAAGAGCTATCACAAATTTTTATTTTCGAATGTTTCGTCTATCAAATTTGACCGTTTCTGAATTTTTTCAAATATTCAATATAACTGTCCATTAGTGAAACATTCGGAAATAAAAAATTGTAATAACTCATAGCTTTTGGGCTGTCCAAAGGTAGGAAATGATGAAATAAAAAACCCTGGTCCGTACAAAAAAGAGATAGTAGAGCGTAGGTAAGTCTATTTTTCTTCAAGAAAATCTATCTAATGATGTAACAGCGACGACACTTCACGAAGAAGTTGCATTGGAACAACTATACTTACCATTTTATCAATTGTTCAATTTCTTAACCAGACATGAGTATTGTATATTTTGACCCTTCGAATGAAATTCGATACTAGTCGATACCTGAATTTCAGTAAACAAGTTGAATGTTGTTGTTCTCCTAAATAATTCTTCGAGCTGGTTAAAATCCCATATCATATGCGATCAATAAACTGATTGGTGTCGTTCATCTTATCTTTTATTGGAACAAGCTTTTAATTCTAGTTGTGGTGGTGTGGAAATCAAAGGACTGGTAGCAACTTCAATTGCCCGGAAAAAGGAGCTGGGAATACCCGTTTTGGAGAAATACGTGTTCGTTCCAAACTCAGCAACTCTTTCAATCGAGCAATCAGTGAGAGTAAACATGCAACTCCTTCTTGAAAACGCTCTAGTCTATAAAGTTAAAGCAGTGGAAGTTATAGACGAATTTACCAAACCGGATGCCACTCTGTTGACACCTTTGGTGAAAATGGTGTTCGAAGATCAACCGTTGATCCAACCGCTCGTCAAAATTTTAACTAAGAATGCTTTAGAAGCTGACGTACCTGTAGAGGACAAAAAACTATCGGAAGAACTGGACAACTTGTTAGTGATTGCTTCAAACTTACTGGAGCGAACAGAGGTAAGATCTGTTAGGAAGTTAATATAATTCAAGAGAATGTCCAATCGATAGTACTTTTTTAATCTCTTGAAGCGCACGAATTGCAATCCCTATAATTTTCGGGAAACATCATGCGTACCTAGGGTATCGCCAACTTCTTGAAAATTTCAAGATCTTGTCTTGATCCTGTCCTGATCTCAAAACAAGATCGAGACAAGAAGTAATTTCAGCTTCCAAGACAAGACAAGAAATTTTATTTCAATACCAAGATTTCTTGCCAAGAAAACACGAAATCTTCAAATTTCTTCACTAAGAATGAAAACACTGAAACGTGCCTTCATCACTCATGATGAAATAAGATATATCAATATAATTGTCTTAGATAGTCAGATCATTTGTAACTTCAGTAGATCGACGTTTGACCTTATAGTTACAGGTTTCCACGCTCTCTTATCCCTTCATTATCACCCATGTATAATCTATTAACATAGATAGATACTTCAATACTGATACTGATAGTTATTGATGAACTCCTGCCCTATATTCCAATAGTGACATGCATCAAGCCTGATAAGGGTTCTTCTGAACTGCCAGAAACTTCTCTTAATGTATCAATCAAAGCATGGCTACATGTTTTCTTATCACCATATTTTCTTAATTCCGGAATATATAACTCATGTGTCGATATGTGATTCCATATTGAAACTAGTGTGAATAGTAGATTCATAAAGAAAATGATTATTTCGTTCAATAACCTCGAACAGTGGCAAAATGGAATCAAATGTACTTATATGAAATTTGGCTTAGAACTGTTTTTCAACAACTGAAATAACTTATGCAAATTAAAGCAAGTTAGATCAGTATGCCGTGTGAAAGACCCTTCAAATTTCAATACAGGTGGAACAATTTTTTTTTTCGATTTGAATTAGGATTTTTTCGAGTGGATTACGACTAAGGAAATGCGTGGAACAGGTCACGAGGTGCCATTTCTGTGATACCATGAAATGCCTCGAAATCCTTGAAATGCTTTGAAATTCCTTGAAATGCCATGAAATACCTTGAAATGCCATTAAATGCCTAGAAATGCTTTGAAATATTTAGAAATGATGTGAAATGAAATGAAATGGCATTTCTGAAACATCGTGAAATGCCTTGAAATCCTTGAAAACTTTGAAATTTCTTGAAATGCCATGAGATTTTTCGAAATGCCATGAAATACCATGAAATGCCATGGAATGCCTTAAAAATCCTCGAAATGCATCGAAATGCTTTGAAATGCAATGAAATGTTTTAGAATATTTTGAAATCGTTGGACTATTGGTATATTAAGTATAATCTAATAATACTCATTATGTGATGTGAGAACCATACACTTGAAAGTCCATGAAATTTCTTGATGGAATCTGAGCCTGTTGGGTTGGTTGTTTCCCTGTTAAAAAATCGAAATGGTATTGAAATATTTGAAAATGTCTATGAAGTTCTAGAATACTTTCGAAATGAATTTCGAAATGGATGAGATGCATTTCAAAATGGATGAAATGAATTTCGAAATGGATGAAATACATGGAATGCTTCCGAAATGGATGAAATACTTACGAAATGGATGAAATGCTTACGAAATGCATGAAATGCTTACGAAATGCATGAAATGCAGAAATGCTTGAAACACTTTTTTACTAGTGGTTGCCCCCTCGGATTTTTAATGTGTTACAATGAAATGATACCAAGCATACGATATTTTTGTGAAAATCGATCTTTTTTTAATTGACTCGGCCGTTAGTTGATATGGAAATCCATGGCGAATGTACACGGAAAAAAGGATTTGTTGCATCAACAAATTATTTATGCTTGATTCATTTTTGTTGGACTGGGCAATTTTTTGTTGAATTAACCAGATACATGATTATTCCATGGAAGCAGCTCGTTCAAATCAAGAATGTAGTCTAATTTAATCAACAGTATAATATCAATTCCATCAACAAAATATATGGTTTCTTCAAAAACAAATTAGGTCGATCCAAAATGATGTCGATGTTGATTAAACTTAAACATTTCGTTGATTTGATCAAACAATGATCATTTTGATGAGGATATATCTTTGAAACAACATACAAGTTGTCTTATTTCGATGTATCAATGAACTCGTTTCGAACGGATCATTTGCTTGAATAGAGCAACGAAATATGTAATATCAATGAAATATTTTGTTCATTCTACATCAACTTAAATTTTCGCCTCTAGATGGCGATCATTTCGCCTCGTCTATGCCTGCCTCGAGTTCATTATATATACGTGAAGCCTGATTCTTCGTGTTTGAAATATCAGCTGGATAAGTCGAACTTGGGATGATTAGCAATCCGAAATAGTTTTCCATCTTCTAAAGAGAAGTAAAGACTAAAGAGCTATACGCTAGGAGTCGACTAGTTTCCTAGTTTTGTTTATTCTATCGATGTAAAATTTCAAAAATTCCCGAATATTGAATTTGGTTCAACAAAACAATTTGTCGAATGGATATATAGTTTCTCTTGAATCAACAAAATATTTCATTGAATTAACCAAATATTTCATTGAATCAACCAAATATTTCTTTGAATCAACCAAATATTTCGTTGAATCAACTCAATATTTGATTGAATCAATACGTTGTTATTTTGAATCAAACAAAATGTTTGTTTGAGTCAATTCAATATCTCTTCATAAACAATTCATGGATGTGCTTAATTAAAGAGGATCCAGAGTTCATGCAAGACATATTTACTTGATTCAAACTTCAAATTCGCTCTGAAACAAGATATAGATTTACTCATTTCAAGATTATATTTTGTCGTGCATATATGACACTTTTATTTGCTTCATTCAATTAAATTTTGCTTGATTCAACAATTCTTTTTTTTTCCGTGTAAGAACTTCACAAACGATAAGATTTCCACAAAATTCTCAAACACACCACATGTTTCACTAACACACTAGCTTCGTCAGGTGATATACAGTATATTACATGTCGTGTGTTTGAGAATCTTGTGGAAATCTTATCGTTTGTGAAGTTTTTACAGAAAATCGATCTACTCAATTTTATTATAGTTAAGCTGATATTGTTAACGAATAGTATCATTCTGAATAATATGATGCCTTCCAAATTTCAGCTACTACAAGATGCTTTACGTTCTCTGAAAGACAATGGCTACATATTATCTCGTGAACCATTATCCTTCGACCCTATCACAGCGATCGCCAGAAACGATCTCACACTATTGACAACTCACAGAACAGACACAGAGACATTAGTTTTTCTGAAAAAAACATCGACAACCCACAAAGAACCCTTCGTCTTGAGAGTAACCTCCTCGGATGACTTCTCTTGGATTGCAACACTCCAAGACCAACTGAAAAGCAAAAAGACCGATAACGTGGTACTATACGCTCAGAATGAACCCCACAGCGGAATACTAGGCCTTGTGAACTGCCTGAGAAGAGAACCAGACACCACCAACGTCAAATGCGTTTTCATAATGGATGAGGCAGAAGAATTCAGCCTCGCAGCTCCATTCTATGCCGAGCAATTGGCCAAGAACATGGCCATCAATGTCTGGAAAGGTGGTTCTTGGGGAACATACCGACACCTACTGATCGAGGATCTCGAGAAAATAGAGAGTGAGCACTGTTTCGTCAACAGTGGCATCAGAGGAGACTTGTCGAGCCTTGCTTGGTACCAAGGACCTCTCCAACACGACATGATAGAGCCTTGCGAGTGGAGGCTAGCCTACGTACGTATGGAATGAAATTTGGAGAGCGCATGGTTCAGTTATCTGTTGATGTGGTTTCAGGTGTACTATGCGTCGCTGAATTTCAGAGACGTTATGACAGCTTCTGGAAGAATCAACAACGATGTGATCACCCAGAACCGAATTGACCAACAATGTGTCCAAGGTTTCGAGTTCTCGGGAATTGACAGCAGGTAAGATTATTTCAATTGGATTTTTATTCGGAGAAAATTATATACAAAATATTTGCTGATAGTTCCTCTTAATAGACATACAGTCGTCTTCAGAAAACATGTCGCACATGGACGATGCTAGCATTCTTAATAACTCCTGCAATAAGAGCGCTGACACCGTCCAACCGCGACATGATCTCCGAAGACGACTGTACATACAACATAGTTCAACTTACTGCAACAACACCATGTTTAGTCACACTAGGTATGTTGCATCATATTCTCATCTGTTTTACTATGTTGCATATTGTTTATGTCGTGGTAAACAAGATGTTGACGTTTGTTGTGTTTCGGTTTGGAGCGGTAAAGATAAAAGGAAAATGTGAAACACACGCAGACATTCAGCAACTAAACACAAGTTGTAGTTGATGTGGACGGTTTGTCGCAAGAAATTGCAACAGAAAGTTGAGTTGATTTCCGAATCAGGCGGTCTACTTTCCTTAGTAAACCTTCCATATCAGAATTAGACATACGGAAAAAATTCTTAAAACTATTCATTCATCTATTCGAAGTTTACCCCAAAATTAGATCGTCTTTCAGCAAATCTTTTAACAATTCATATCCTCCTTTCATTTTTATTTTTCTTAAATTGGGCGAACTCAATACTTACGCGTGGTTTTCAGTTTTTTTAATTGTTATTATTAAAAATAACAAAACAAGCCGCTGCCGGAAAAATCACCTCATCTTCGTCGTAAAACATGGCTGACTGTGTTGTGTTGCACTGGTGTATACACGATGTTTATTGGGGTTGCATGTTAAAAAAAATCAAAATCAACATCATGCAACATTGTTGTCTTTGTGGATACACTTTATTAGTGAAAGTTGTTCTAGACATTTTGTATCTCCAACAAAATTGAACAACAAAGTTGAACTATGTTGGTCTGTGTTGCATTGGTGGAGACATACCTCTAGGAGTTGATAGTGTGACTATGTTTGTAGCGTTATAAATTACTGATTATGATTCGATAACACCAGAGTTTCAATCAATTGTTTTTGCAGAGGGAACAGGATAATGGGCATGAAAACTCATGGAGCTCTATCGACGTTGGTTCTATCTGATAACTATTTGACCTTCAAAGTTCCAGAGGGGATGAGCCTCAGAGATGCTGCAACTCTACCGGTGGTTTATGGTACTGTTATTTACGCAATGGTCCTAGTAAGTCACCTCTCCAATTCTAGTAACATTTGATTTCTATAACATAAAGACAGAGAAGAAAACAACTTCTGGTACTTGCATTGTGAATTACATTATGCAAGTATCTTTTATTTTACTGGGAAGTTGAGTATTTGTGCCTACCTACAGCATCAAATAATAATTGTAGTGCAGTATCTGAGAAAAGCATTAAGTAGCAGAATATGAGTAGAATTCTATTAGTTTAAGTGCTCACACTCGATTTTCCGAATTCACTTTTGATGAACATGATAACCACATGACACAAAATTGTTTTCTTAAATCGAATCGATACGTGTTTCATGACTAGATAGGTGAAATACGTTAGCATCTACAGGGAAGAAATTTGATCTCATGATTCTATCCTTGAGGTGTGCAAACTTGTTTAATATAACAGGGTTTCTCTAGAAGATCTTAACAAAAACTAAGCACGAATTCCTCAAATCAAAACAATCACATTAAAGCAAATTTACCTAAGTATGAAGTTGATTACTTTGAGCGCTAAACGGCTCTGAAATTAGAATTTTCAAATCGTTTTTGCCTCATTAATTTGAAACGGATCATGAGATATTACTCTGATCTGGTGAGGCCCATTTTTATTGAGCAATAGTATCCATATCATGATTTTGATAAATATCATTCCGAGGGCGTACAACTCGATTTTTTTAGTAAATAAACATCTAAAACATATTTATATCCCAGGAGGGGTGAAAGAACTTATAGTCACAACTCCACAACATAAAAAATTGTGATAATTACCAACGGTCATAAGTAAGGACATGTTTCGAAGGATTAATCCTTCATCATCAGCAAATGTGTCGAAAGAAAATCTGTAAGAAGAAACAATGCTTATGTTAGTTATAAGTATTGATTAAGGAATCTAGATGTACCTACCATTATTGGTGGAAAAAGTTTACTTAATACAAATCATGAAAAAAAAATTAATTTTGTTTTTAACCGCGCATAGTGCAAATGTTAGGGAACCATTATTTCAAGCTCATTAATAAGAGCTTAGTTCTTTGAGATAAAGTGAAACAACTCAATTATCAAAATGAATGGATTTGTTAGTTATATTCATATCCCTTTATCTTCATTGGCGTAGAAATTCCAGATGTTTATCTACTGAAGTTTTCAAGTTCTACGCCCATGGAATGATATTCCTAGTGATGATGATGGTATAGGATTTATTGTCCAATGAATATTGATCATCATTTTCATAGCGTGGCAAATTGAAACGGGGTGACTCGGTTTTGATTCACTCTGGCACTGGAGGAGTTGGTCAAGCAGCCATCAGGATGGCCTTACACTATGGCTGCAAAATTTATACTACGGTGGGAACCAAAGCCAAAAGGGATTTTATCAAGAAGACTTTTCCACAACTGAAAGGTGAGGAACAACAAACTGTTATAAAAATCTCACACATTCGTCAGATGCCATTTTAACGATGAAATAGTTGATAGTTCGTTTTTAAAGAAAGTCACATGACTTGGTGTCACGAATAGTGCAATAAAAATAATAATTGAAAGAAGCAGTAGCAGCTGGCACAGCACAACTATCACCTGAAAAATTTAATGTCAGGTACGAAACATCTTGATTTGTTCATAGAATGAAAATTAATGCATAGGAATAAATGCAAAATCATTACAGATGCTGTAATTTTGATCACAGTATTCGAATATTGTGGAATTCTCATCTGACTCTTTTGATATACCAAGCAGATTTTGATATATTCAACAGAGAACAACTCTGCCAAATATAATCTCATTCGGGATCTCCATCAGAAAACAACTAGGTGCTTTCCTGGTTATTTGCCTCGCCGAATATTGAATTATTACTTCAAATCTGTTGAACACATAAGATGAGGATATGGAAATAAAAATCCTCTGGAATTGAGAATTAACATTCTCTCATCAACATATTCAGTATTGAAATGAAAATTGAAATATAGAGGAGGAATATACTTGACAAACTCTGATGTTGATGAGGCTGAAGCTTCCAAAAATCATTTGTATCACTAATGTTGAAGGATACATCTCACACAAACATATACATATAAAGGTTACATATATGATTTCATTCGAATTAACTCATTTCGGATATCAAACTTCGTCAGTAATCTGAAGTCCAATCATTCTTCCAGCCATTCTCCACAAAACATACAATTTCCATCTCTCTATAATGCACTTATATCTGAGAATTATTTGATTATTATTATACTGACAAAGAATTTTACCAGGTTTTAATTAATGAAAATAATAATCTCTGGACAGATATGTTTCTGAAATAGTAGTAAAACTCCCAGGCATCTCCATAATTATTATTTAGTGGGGAATCTAGACGATTCTAGTAGTAGGACATGTACAGGGTATCCCAATTTGGGCACTTTTGCGGGGTATCTCCGTTATCACTAAAGATAGAGCGTTGCGGTTTTCGCAACAGTGTGCTACTTTTTTATGAAATTTATAGCGGCGCAAGCAGAATTGTGATAGCTCTTCCGGTTGTCGAGATACAGGGTGGAATTGAAAAATGAAATTTTTCAGGCACCCCCGTGTCTCAGTTATCTTTGAACTTATCGAAGAAGTTGAAACTTGTTCTTGGTTTTTTGCAAGCACCTCTTGTTTTTTAGTTATGAAGCAAACATATGTTTTTTCAAATGGAACACCCGGTATATTATTTCATATATTCATTAGGCATGAAGTGGGCTAAAATCTACTGAAATCGTCTGGATATCAGATTAAATAATTATGGATGGAGATGACTAGGAGTTTTCCTACTACTTCATCCATTTAGTCCACTTTGGGATACCATATGGACTCTTTTACTATAGAGATGAAGAATTTTTTTAATTTTCAAACTTTTTCCTATCGTTGATCCAATTTTGAGAACTCATTGTAGGTATTACCTTTGAAAATGATAATCGTTCATTTAAAACTTTCTCAGATTGCCATATCGGTGACTCCCACAGCAACTCATTCGAAACAACAATAAAGAGAGACACCAAAGGCCGCGGGGTCGACCTGGTCTTAAATTCTCTGGCCGAAGAAAAACTCCAAACCTCCTTGAGATGCGTAGCGAGAGGAGGCAGATTCCTGGAAATAGGCAAATTCGACTTGGCCAACAACAACTCGATCAATTTGCGTGTGCTCGAAAAAGACGTTTCCTTCCATGGAGTCATGTTGGATCAGCTGATGAGCGCGCCACCAACTGTCAAGAGGGAAATCACTCAGGTGTTCACAGAGGCTTTGGAAGCAGGACATGTGAAGCCTCTGGATGCGACTGTATTTGGTTTCGATCAAGTAGAAGAAGCTTTCAGGCAAGTCGATTTTTATAGTTAGCAAGCTAGCTGCCAAAATTTCTACATACACGTGGCAGACGTTATTAATAGCGATAATTATACCATGAGAAACATTGAGGACCGCGTCTGCCACCATGATAGCACTGGGTTGTCAATTGACACTTAGAATTTGTTTTAAAAAATGGGGGTGATGAATCATTTCCACATGTCTGCCTCTGGGCAGATGATGGCATAGCGTGGCATAGCTGAGGTGGTAAGCCATATGATGGTCGTTTGTGGAGCAGTCCTTGGTGCCAAACAAGATCGAATGCCTTCGATATATATTACGCTACAAAGATTTCCCATGTTTTTCTCATGAAGTTTGCCATATAGGCAAGTAAATCTCCAGTTGATCTTCGGAGGCGAAAGCCATATTGTTTATGAAGTCTACAGTATAGGCAGACCTGATTGTTCGATTGAAAATAATAAGAAAGATCACAGATAAATTGTTTGCTAGCATAATTTTTCTGCATAGTCAATTGACAGCGCTCCAAAAATTTTGAAAAAGGTATGCTATATTAGGCGCACATGTCTGCTTCTTGGACTGATTTTCAGATTTCTTATGAAAACCAAGGAAATCGATGAGGCAGACCATGCTCCTGATATTGCCAAGGCAAACATGTGCAAATGATTTAGTTCCCCCCTTGATTCCATGAATTTCATAAAATTGTACAGCCGAAAATCAGTCAGCAAAGTGTCTGCCATATGTTTTTTCGTATTCAAGGAGTCATAATGGATCGAATGGGTGCAGTTAGAATCATGTCCAAATGACTTAGTAGAACTCTTCTACACGTTTACAACTCCGTTCCATGATAATGCGAAGCCCTGGATGTCTTCCTCTTGATTTTCATCGTTTTCAGGATGATTGAGACCATCAGCTATAAAGGCAGACATGTGCAAATGATTTAGTCCCCTCTTTTTTTTTTATCAAATCCAAAGCGCTATAACGCAAAAACGCAGCAACGTAAGACCTCAATTGACTGGACCAAATCGATTTATATTGATTCTACTTCAATTCATTGCGATGTGAAACGTGTGCAAATCATATACCAAAATGGCAGCCAGCTCCCTAACTATTAAGAATACAGTACACTGGCACCTACAGTAAATTTTAACTTCACTCCATGTGAGCCAAGTTTTTGTTTTCTCCAATTTTTTTTATGATGTTATGATTATTTTTGTAGTAGTCTTGTTTGGACTGAAGATGGATCTTTATAAATCCGAAACATGTTTCTCTGAATGACTTACATCATATCATTAAAATATTGCACTCCACTTTGAGCAAACATGGAGTTTTACAAAAGATACACTCTCTAAGTTTTTCCATTGAGATATTTATATACGATTCAACTCCGTAGGAAGAGCTAGTTTAGGCTTGGAGAACGATGGAAGTGAGGAAATGGCTCTGGTACAATATAATTATATTGTTAAATCTTTGAATAAACCTATCCTTTTCTCTAGTCAATCCTGTAGAAGTTATTACACGTTGTTCTGGGACACCTTGTATTTCCATAATTTCATTCGTGATATATTATTAGAATGAGTTTCTATCGGTCAATGCTGTCAATGAAGATCTTGCTGAAATCACAGCCTGGAGAACCACCAACCTAGTTGAATTCAACGCCACCAAAACTCAAGCCTGTAATTTCTCTAGAAAGGCGGAACTCAGTATGCCCGACATTGTAATGTCTGGCACCACCATCTCCACCAAGCCCACCATATCTATGCTTGGTATTTCCATCAGCAACACTCTTTCATGGGATAATCATGCCAGATTCATCGCAAAAGCTGCTTCACAAAAACTCGGATTCTTGTTCCGTGCGAAAAGCTACTTTACACCTCAACAGCTTCTCATGATCTACAAAGCGCAGATACGGCCTGTTCTAGAATACTGTTCCCACATATGGGGTTCAGCACCAAAACATACGCTGATGCTCTTAGATTCCATCCAGAGAAGAGCCAATACCTACCTCCTGTCCCTATCCTCCCTAGAAACGCACGATGTTCTTTGAACATTATAGGTATTCCCTTTCGTGCGCTCCAAGCGATTAAAAAAAATATACTGAGTGATCGAAAGCAAATAGGTCGGTTTGTCAAATGTTCATTCATCTTTTAAAAAAATATTCATGATCGTCATCATTATTTCTAGGTATATGGCTACCGGCAAACATATGGGGAAAGTCATGATCAAAATTAGAGAGGAAGAAATGTGTAACAGTAGTTCACTAGTATCCAAATTCCCATGCAAACCCAGGTGAGTGAATATAATAGTCGACAACTTGTAACCTCAGAATTATTCAGTACTGTTCGACCAAGTGAGTAATTAATGACATAGTTATGCGAGTTTTATGTCAAATAAATCGTCAAAATCTAAATCTAGTCAGACCTATTTTTCAATATTCGATTTGTCTTCTCTATACCTCTGTGTTTTATTACTATTTTTTCTTGCAGAATGACAAACGTTATTCTGGGACACTCATGCATACTCTGTGTGAAATTGTGAGATACACGCTGGAGATACAAAACTCATAATCCAATTCCAAATAAATTGTGTTCTTCAATGTTGTTCGTTTATTGTTCCATTTAGGTATTGAGAATGACCATTCAGAATTCCAATTCCTTAGCACTACATCAGACCATAGGCTTATTTCCTAATCATTTTATTGACTGAAGAATATTGATTTGCTTCTTTTATGTGGTTAATCAGAATCATGGAAAAACCAGAGAGTTACCTCTATCAGCATTTTAGTGCATCGTGAGGGCTAATGTCTAATCTTCTACATTGCCTCATTTGTTTCATACCAATATCTGGATCACTTATCTATTTCGATGAAATATAAATGGATATCTGGAAAAAATGCACCATCCACGTTTTCCAATGGTATACATACTTGGATATTGGGTTTCAGATATTTCTGTGATCCAGATAAAACATACATAATCATGGGAGGATTAGGTGGATTTGGATTGGAGTTGGCTGATTGGCTAGTACTAAGAGGAGCGAAAAATATAGTACTTACTTCGAGATCAGGAGTAAAGACTGGATATCAACAACTCAGAATCAAGTGAGTTTTCACTGAAGAAATTCCCATTTTTTTCAATTACGCCACATTTAATGCCTCGTACTTATTTTTCAAGGTGTTGGAAGTCCTATGGTGCAACAATCAAAATCTCCAAGGCTGATATAACAACGAAGGAAGGCTGCAGGACACTTGTACAGGAAGCTCAGAAATTAGGAGAAATAACAGCCATTTTCAACCTTGCAGTAGTACTTGCAGACGCCTTGTTCGAAAACCAGACGAAAGAAAGTTTCGTCACATCATCTGGACCAAAATCTCTAGCTACCAAGTATATCGATGAAATATCTAGAGAGTTGTGCCCAGGCCTGAGGTATATTGAGTTAATACCCATCAATAGTTGATTTCTCAATAATATCGTAGATTTAAGTACATATTTGTTATTGACATTTTATTTTAGAGATTTTGTGATATTCTCATCTGTGACATGTGGTCGGGGCAATGCTGGCCAAACAAATTACGGAATGTCAAATTCTGTTATGGAGAGAATTTGCGAACAGAGAAAACAAGATGGATTCCCTGCCTTAGCCATTCAGTGGGGAGCTATAGGAGAAGTGAGTTCAGTTGGATGATTATCAATGTTTTATTCAAATGTTGGTAAAAGTCCATTGTAGCTCAAAGTGGTGTGGGAGTGATAGGATTCATATTCAATGAAAAAGGCACAAAATCATATCCACGACTATTTTTTTTTATTTCAGTTATTGCATTACATTATTTTTTTCATTGATACATTTTATACAAATAATATATGTATAAAGTTTAATCAATTTTCTAGTAGGAATGACATGAATGATCAGACATTATATTCCTGGTATAAGATCATTCATGAAGTGAACGAAACTTGCATATCATTAAGATATCTCAAGATGACTGTACTCATATTATAGTGAACAAGAAGGGGAAAAAGCGGTGAAGAAAAAAAAAAGGAAATTCATAGTCTTTCAGCTCTGATCATTCCTTCGCGTATGAATATATTTCTTCACTTTATTTTTGAATGGTATAATATTTGAGCTGTTTTTGATATCATCTGGTAATTTATTGAATTTTGAAATCGCCACTTGTGTAAACTTCTTTTGTCCAAGTTTAGAATTTGCAGTTTCAAGATGAAACAAATTATATTGCCTATAGTGTGATGACCATGAATTTGGGAATTCCTAATTAATATAAAATTCGATTTAAGCTTCTTGTTGATGATATAATAGGAAATTTTGAGAGTATTGATTAAAAAGTGCTCTTCCAAAGAAAATGTGTTTGTTTCCTTATACAGTTGATTTGTTGGAGTATCATATGGAAGACGATACAATACTCTCAATGCCTTTTTATATAGAACAGAAATTCTGTCGAAACTATTTTTGGAACAAGATCCCCAAATATTCGAGAGATAGTTAATTCGACTGAGTATATGTGAATAGAGAATAATATTTGATGAATATGTACTGAGTTTAGGACGTCTTCTTAAAGCACCAACAATGGGAGATACTTTTCCTATGACGATGTCATTATGCTTTTCCCATGTTGATTCCTAATCCATACCAAGGTATTTGGTATGGGCAGTTCGTTTCAAACGTTCATTTTTTATTTTAATATCAAGATCAATATTTTGTTTATTTCGTTGGCGAAAAATTATATACCTATTAGGTCTTATTAGAATTGAGAGAAAGGTGGTTGGAATAAAGCCATTTCTCAATTTTTTGAAAGTCCTCATTTAAATGATATGATGTTCTAGAACTACTGGGGTTTTATTCTCATAATAATAATTTGAGAACATCAAATCAGGTATATTTCTCGGATATATGTCCATCTCCAGCCAACATTTTGAGAATTCATGGGTATGAAAAAATTGTGTTACATGTTGAAATAAAATGAAACGATAGGGAACGATAAAATAATGTATCGTCACTACCTCGGTCACTTTTATCAGATGTGCCTGGTCATCGAACCACATTTTCTTCCTCCATAATAATTTTCTCCATTTGGTGGTTGGGACCTCTCATAAAACCCAATCATTTTATTTGTATTTCAACATGTAACACAATTGTTTTCATACCCATGACTTCTTAATATACAGGGTGTCGCGAAGTTACATAGGTAGATCTCAACCACAGATTCTATAAACAAAAATGCTGAAAAACGTTCGAATGAACATGGGTCCAGCAATTTCAGATGGCTATGAGCCCCCAGAGGGCATTTCTGGACCCTTATTCATAACATTTTTTTCACTATTTTTGTTCCTAGGGTCTGTAGTTGGAGCCATTCTATGTAATTTCGGGACACCCTGTACATATTGGCTGAAGATGGCCATCACATATATCCGAAACATGTAGCTGATTTGATATTTCTGATTGAAATTGGTGTAGATGACTTCGTGCCTTTTTCAACGAATATCAAATTTTTATAAATACGTGAAGATCAAAGACATTTCCACAAATATTTAAAAATGGACGAAATTAGTAGATAATGAGTGAAAAACAACTACTTTCGTGAGTATATGCCACGCAGAACATAGAATAATAATAATAATTGGGTAATAAATGGTGGAATGCGTTTACGTTGGGTCAGGTTCGCACCAGATAGCGGTCATGAATGCTATCTGGGACAGCCCTGGACTGATGAGAGCCAAAAGCTCGAAACAGGTCTGCAGGTAGTCACGCGTTCCTCAACCACTTAGACATTTAGGAAGGAAGCACTTGCGATTTTTTTTTTCGTCTATACGAAATATTGCATAAATTTTGGGAGGATGTAATTCAATATTCTGCGTGGCATATAGCCAGGAAAGTAGTTGTTTTTCTCTTGTTATCTACCAATTTCGTTCATTCATGAACATTTGTGGAAATGACTGAGCTTCGCCTAATTATTCAACATTTCATTCCACTTTGAGCATTTTGGCGTTTTCTTAGTTGATGAAATGTTTCATTGTTTGATCTCAATTCATTCTCCTGAAATCATCGAAAATTTCAGGTGGGTCTGGTAGCTGAAATGCAAGAAATCGAATGTGAATTGGAAATAGGTGGAACATTGCAACAGAGAATTTCCAGTTGCCTGAGTGTACTAGATGGATTTCTAGTGAAGAGGGATTCTACGATAGTGTCGAGTATGGTAGTAGCGGAAAAACGAGGAGCGCAAGAAAAAGCTGAAAATATCGTTCAAGTTGTTGTTAATATTCTAGGTAAACATTTGGAAGTACCTGCCCAATATTCACAATGTATTCCAGTTTGATGAACCCTTGTTTTTTTTCCTATTTGATCCGGATTATTACCTACTCAGCAATGCCTTCTCTAACGAATTCTCTTCCAGTGATAGTAGGTATATCCCCAGACAGCACTGGATATTCATAGAATATTCTCTAAATATGCTGAAAAGGAGGAGTATATTCCGAATATTCATCGATTATTCCTAGAATATATACATGCCTCTGGAACATCTAAAAGGAATATTCCAAAGTGAATAGTCGGACATGTTCAGGGAATATTCAGGTATGAATCTTCCAGGAATATTCCCAACTGAATATTCTCTGCTGTATATTCATGAAATATACCCAACTGAATATTCTGTGCGGTATATTCATGAAATATACCCAACTGAATATTCTGTGCGGTATATTCATGAAATATTCCCAACTGAATATTATGTGGTGTATATTCATGAAATATTCCATGAATATTCCTATGTTTCTCGACACATGAATAACATTTATTATTTCAGAGATGTGAGTATCGAACATCAATTAGATGTAAGGAGATTTTGAAACAAAAAGTGTTTATGATCCGATTTCGAACAATGCTCTCACAAGAACTTGATATGTATAACATTATTCAATTCGATTACTGGCCTAGTGGTTAAGGCGTTGCTCTGATAGTCTTGAGGTCACGAGTTCGATCCCTACTTGGGTCACTTTTTTTAATTTTAGAATATGTTTATTGGAATATTCCAGGAACATTCAACATAGAATATTCTTTTGGGTATATTCTATGATTATCTGAGGAATTCCCATTCGCATATTTAGAGAATATTCCACAGATATTCCGGAATATTCCAGATTATTTCTAGAATATTCCAATATTCCAAAAGGAATATGATAGGGAGATTCATGGAATATCTGGTGCTGTCTGGGTCGGTTGACACGATATGAAGTGCCACCCCTGTAACTCTTCTATTTTTTCATCAGTAGCAAAAAATTGAGAAGAAAAATAGTCACAGAGATTTTCCCTCCTCAAAACACATGATACGTTCTCACTATCTGTAATATTAATAATAATGATAATAATTGTATTTTCCATCTGACAATTGAAAATTGTGTTGGATTCCGCTTTACAGGTGAAGCAGATATAAAAGTAGATAAGTTAAATAAACCGAACACAAATAACTTAGAACTAAACAGTTATACATCAAAAATACATCGATAGTTTACATGTTATACATTTGTAGATATCCCCCTATAGAATAAACCCTGTTTTCACTAGGAAATCCTTTGATGATCTTTTGAAACTGAAAAATGTATCATTTCGTTCCATTTCATCGAATAATAAATTATAAATTCGGGAAGCCATTGCTATAGAAGAATCATAAGGAATTAGGTATCGTATTACTAAACGGAATATAAAAGTGATCTTTTTGAAGTCTATTGTATTCGTACCTTGAATTATTATTCATCTTGAAGATATTTCGATTTTTATACACATAAAGACAGAATTCAAGAATTAACAACGATGGTAGAGTCAGGATTTTCAAGTTTTTAAAGTGGTCCCTGAGAAGATAGTATACAGGTAGCAGTATTGGAAATGTTGAATTCAGGAACATACCGGGTGGGACATGGTATATCGGTTCTGCATTCGTAAACGGATTCTCGTAAAAGCAACCATCTCGGATTTGACCACATCACAATCCAAAATGGCGGACTTTCAGTTTTTCACGAAACTTTGTTTCTTCAACTGGAACAGTTCAAAACAAGTGCAATCCTTATGTCAAATGTCATTTTCTTGAAAATTTTGGAATTAAAATTGTTTTTTCACATATTATCTCGTGAATAAATAAGAAGTGGTCGAGGTTATTCACAGTAACAGAGAATAATAAGTTTTTCTGTGAAAAATTGTTTTTGTGTCAATCATCGATGAGTGAATCTCACGGAATCTCATTTTGAAAAAAATTAAATTTTTTCAAATGGAACCCATACATGTCTCTCTAGAAAATACATCAAGAAAAACCTAATCTGATACCTATCATCAGAGATTATACAGACCCTGCTATCATTCTTGTATTTCGTTGCAGTAACAAATTGTATACATAGTTGTTGATGAGTTCCCTTGAAAAAATGACATTTGACATAAAGATTGCTTTTGTTTTGACATGTCGAGCATGAATATGTAAAAATATACAGGGTGTTCTATTTGAAAACACAATGTTGCTGACATTTGCAGAAAAACCGGATGTCCGCCATATTGAATTGTAATGTTATCAAGTCCGAAATGTTTGCTATATAACTGTTCCAAATTTCACAAAAATCTATCTATACGAATGCAGAAGTTAGAGGGGTGGTCCGAGACCCCGAAAGATGGTGATTCGTTGTATTCTTTTTAATCAGGATTGACCAGTGCGAAAAACGTCAGCCATCATTGCACTTTACCAGAACTAGGAATGGATTCTATGACAGCAGTCGAGATAAAACAAATCCTAGAAAGAGATTACGAAGTATTTTTAAGTCCCAAGGATATGAGGACCATGACCCTAGCCAAGTAAGTAAATAAAAAAATACGAAAACCTATACGAACCCAGTGAAATCACAATGACTGCTATTTCGGACCCTTTTGGTCATTTTATGATTCACATTATCATGCCAAATAAAACTCACAGAACGTATTAAGCGACTCCTGATTCAACATCAAAATTGATTGATTCCGTTTATTAGATAAATAGACAAGAATGTGAGGTTCCAGTAAGTCTCTTGGTTGTTAGGAAGCCTAATGAATTCACCAACATTTTAAGTCACAAATATAATGAATTGTGAAGAATATTGAAAATGTTTTGTGAAATAATGAGTCTAGTGTGGCAAAATAGCGGATACACAGAAACCATCTGCGAATCGTCCCGAATGCGCGCGCATATATCAATACAGATCTGCAGGTCCCACGTTCGATTCGCTATGAGCTTAATCTTTTTTTAACAACTTTTTTTCACCAATATATCTTCACTTCATTCTGGTTTAGCTTCTCAAAAAATATCGAATGTCGAATAGGTTAGTGCATTTAGGATAAACAGTCTCATTTCATTCAATTTTGTTGAAAAACTTGACTTAATCATTGATCAATGTGTATTTACTTCATTATGGTTTTCCTTCCTCAAAAAATATTGCAAGTAGGAATAGGTTAGTTTGTTAAGGATAAATAGACTCAATCCATTTAATTTTGTTGAATACTATATTTTTATATGACTGAAATTTTCCACTTCATCCTATGTTCTTTTCTCGAAAAGATTCATTTTGAATGCACCGCCATAGCTAGAATCGTTCTGATTGGTTCATACACACGGGACGATTTGCAGATAGTTTCTGTGTATCCGCTAGTCCCTGGCAGAGATAAGTTACCCACTACTTATCTCTGTCCCTGGCAATACCACAGCCGTCTTCAACTTTTGTTGTGATTCGCCGACGGCAAACGACCATAAATAAAAATACGAGAGCCTATAATTTTCGAACCATTCCTAACCTAATTGTCACATTTTTCACAGTAAATCACGTGATATATCATGGACGCATGCACATTTGCTCGTAGGAAAACTCAGAACTATTAACGAGACCCTCGAAGTCTCGTGGAGAGGAAGGGCAAACATCCTTGAAAGCCTAAATCACTATACAAATGATCACAGTGGGCTGACGACATGCTATTAGTGGTTCAGAATGGAACTCCCTGACCAAACTCAGCCTCCACAAATTTATTGCGGAAAATAATCATCAAGAAACACGAATTTCAACACATCGCGTGATGGGAATGGTTCGAAAGATTTAGTCACTCTATCGAACATATCTCTCTTATCCACAATGCTGAGTATTGTTTTGTTAGTTGCATAAGCGTTCTGTTGATGGTCTATGGTTGATGGAGCGCGATGAGGCGGGGTTAATATTTAGATCCATGATAGAGTTTATTTGAATTGAGAGGGTTGTGGCAGGAAAACATCATAGTTTGTTGATTCGAAAGAGTCAATGAACATATATAATGAATGAAAAAAGCTATTTCGGTGAAAATAATCTAGAAGAAATAAGAAATGAATTTGAAGATCTAACGCCGCAAAAGACCGATCGAAAAAATATATCTGGAAACAATTCTCAGAGTTTTGCAGTCAACGAAATCACCAACTGAAAGAAAATACATCCGATGAAAAACTTGCGGATTTCCTCACGGAATGAGCATTAAATTAATAAGTAAAAGAGTTATCAATTGATTCCTGAAATAATCTTATCAGATACAAATAGTTCAATCGAAGATTATCGAAAAATTACTTTTCTTTTCCGAAACAAATTATTTTGCAAACTATCTTCTCAAAATCGAAGGATTTTGTATAACAGCTTATATTATTAGGTTGAAGAAAATCCAGGAGGACAGTGATCTGGCCACCAAAGACGAAACCAAGCAAACAGACGCTAACGAAGGTCTAGAAATGTTCTTCAGAATATCACTCGAAGAAACCGACAACACTAGTTCGCATATGCGACTGCAATCGAAGACTGAAGATAATCCCTCTGGAAGAAACATCGTGATCTTCCCGGGCATCGATGGATCTGCTAAAGCTTTGGAGCCAATGGCACGTCATCTTGATGGAGATGTTCTTGGTCTGCAGTTCATACACGAAGAATGTTGTACCACAGTACAAAACATGGCTCAAAAATTACTTCCGGTAAAAATAATAATGTTGTTGTTGTTCTTTATTACCCCAAGCAACATATTTCTTTATAATAGGGATATACAGTGTGTCGATTTAGTGCGTAATTCTTCGATATCTCGAAAGCCATGACCTATAGAGAAAAACTTTGAAGAAAAAACTTCTTCAGTCACTGAAGTTGCTCATTTCAGAAATATTTTCAACATTACTGGGTGTTTCATAAAAGCTGGACGACACGGAGACGAGTTTTTTTAAATGGAACACCTAGAATTTTTTATTCGGAATTTATTCCGTCGGAGTTTACCTTCACATCACTGTAAAAAAAAATTGAATTTGGTTACAGCGTTGCAAAGTTATAATCGATAAACCCATTTTTACCACTGGAGACGTTCGTGAAATATCGTTCATCAAAGATTCGCCCAGAATTCAAATAATGCCCTGTATTTCTGTAACGAATAAGCAAAATATATTTTTTTCAAATATACATCAACTCACCTTGAGTTCCACTATCCGCCATTAGGCTATGGCTGGTAATTAACGAGTTATGTCAATATAATATAATAATTAAAATGAAATCATTACAAGTATTCAAATGAGAATGAATTGTTGATACTGGTATTTCACACAGTTTAACACTTTATTTTTTCCAAAATTGTTGAAAAGATTCTTAAAAAACGCATTGTAGATTTCATAAATAGAAAATATAGCTTCAACATGAATCAATTTGATTTTCAAGAAAATAGTGGCACACAAGCGGCAATATTACAAATAATACAAGCAATACAAAAAGGACTTGATACCGGAAATTATGTGATAGCAATTTTTGTTGATCTCAAGAAAGCTTTCGAAACACTAGATCATATAACACTTTTGGAAAATTCAGAATCAATGGACTCAGAGGCATGATGAGGAACCTTCGTATCTTCAAAATAGGACAATCAGTACCAAATCTACCAACTCAGAGTCTCATAGACTACCGATGACTAAAGGTGTCCCTCAAGGATCTGTTTTAGGACCAATTTAATATTCAATTTATATTCAAAATATCACGAAAATTGATACAGAATGTAATCACACTATTTATGCAGACGATACGGTACCTACTTTAATATGAAAATAAAAATCTTATCATTTTAGAAAATATAATAAACAGAGACTTGATGAAATTTGAAAATTGGCTGCATTCAAACCTCTTATCAATAAATACTGATAGAACTGAATATATGATTTTTCCAAAAAAAAATAAGCAAAATATAAATTTAAATCTCAGAATTAAAAATGAATCTTTGACACAAACTAATGAGGAAAAGTATCTTGGGATTTGGTTTGATGATAAATTAAAGTGGGACAAACATATAAATGTTTTGAAGAAGAAAATATCTCCTATTATTGGAGCCCTGAGAAGATGTCCCAAGCTGAATAAAAAAGTTGCAAATATAATTCTATATTCTCATATACTCAGTCGTATTAACTATTTGATAAATATTTGGGGATACTGTTCAAAGAACAATTTTAATGAAATATCTGCATTATATAAAAAGACATTGAAAGTACTGTATCGTTTACCATATGATACAGCAACAAATCAATTAAATAAAATAACTGAATCATACTCATTAGAAGAAATGTTCAAAATTGAAAGACTGAAAATTACATACAATATCATAAATTAGAGATTGAAATCTAATTTTATTTCAACATGAAACAATGAATTTCATAATCCAACAAACTAGACAACATGGTTCATTTCATATTGATATCGATAATTCTTCTATAGGCTAAAAAAGATTTACCCACGCTGCTCTCTTGGAATATAACAAATTACCAGATAATATAAAAAATTGCAGAAATACAATTAAATTCAAATACCAACTTTATCATTTCTGAACGAAATAGATGATTTTTTTTCTCAACTTTTGATTCATATTCAAATTGATTTTTGCTCACCAATATGAAATGATTTGTCAAAATTTAATACTCAATGTTTTCAAATATAATATTCATTAGTTTATCATAATTGTATAGTTTTAGGTATTATTCTTAACTATACTTCCTTATACCAGAACTTCATTCTGACTGGAAGTAACATTTTCAATAAATTAATGAAAAAAATAAAATAAACATTTTTCAGGTGGTAGAAGAACACTTGAAAGACAGCAAAACGTTCAAGATGATAGCCTACTCCTTTGGGAGCATGGTAGCCTTAGAAATTGTCCACATACTCGAGTCAAAAGGATACGAAGGAACCGTGGCGTTAGTGGATGGATCTCCGTTGATATTCAAGCACAATTTAATAGATAAAATTGGGAATTCGGCGGATTCTGAAAGGGTATTGCAGACTCTCATCTTATGTCATCTGCTCAAGTATTATATTTCTGCCGAAGCTGCTTCACAACATGAGGTATGATCTTCAAATATAGGTAGTTGACAAGTTCAACAACACAGCTATATCATGAACATAAATTACGCAACACTCAATTCGTCGCACCCCAAAATTTTGTCCCCGTATAACTTTTTTCTGCTTTCAACAATTTGAATTCGGATTGCACTGTTCGCTAGCCCAGTCCTTCAGCTATACAGTGTGTCCCACTTACCATGCTCACCATGGGTATCTTTTTAACGGTGAGAGATACGAGGTCGGTTAAATGACACCAAATGTGGAGTTTGTCAAGGCCAACTATAATGTGAAAAAATATTTTGATGAATAAAACAAAAACGAATAGATATTCGTTTTTGTTTTATACGCAAAAAACAGATTTTGATCATTTTCTTGTCTCCTCCGTAACTTCTTTATTTATAAAAATATTCAAATAGGAATTTCACATTCTCATGGCAGTTTTTCAAAGTGATTTCGAAAAAAATATGAAATTTATACCAACTCTTCTAGAATTTGAGATATCAGCACCAACTTCAGTTTGTCAAATGTAGGTCATACCTCACTATGACTTAGTTACAAATAACTTTTTTTTCTCTCACAGATGATATGTCGCAGTAATAGTTTTGTGTTGATAACAACGGAGTTATCGTCATTTCTACAAAAACAAAAAATTATTTGGAAGCCGCCATCTTGAATTTATAAATTTTAACAAAAAAATCATAATCTCAGACCTCAAAAACCCCCACTTATCAATTTTGAATAGAATCGGACCAAATCTTGTCCACAATACATTATGGAATTTTTGTTGAAATTAAAAAAAATGGCTGCTCCAAGATGGCGGACAAGATTTGGTCCGATTCCATTCAAAATTGATAAGTGGGGGTTTTTGAGGTCGGAGATCATAAATGAACATAACTCCGTTGTTATCAACACAAAACTATTACTGCAACATATCTTCTGTAAGAGAGAAAAAAGTTATTTGTAACTAAGTCATAGTGAGCTATGACCTATTTTTGAAAAACTAAAGTTGGTGCTAATATCTCAAATTCTAGAAGAGTTGGTATAAATTTTATATTTTTTTCGAAATCACTTTGAAAAACTGCCATGAGAATGTGAAATTCCTATTTGAATATTTTCATAAATAAAGAAGTTACGGAGGAGACAAGAAAATGATCAAAATCTGTTTTTTGCGTATAAAACAAAAACGGTTAGATTTCATCAAAATATATTTTCACATTATAGTTGGCCTTGACAAACACCACATTTGGTGTCATTTAACCGACCTCGTATCTCTCACCGTTAAAAAGATACCCATGGTGAGCATGGTAAGTGGGACACACTGTATAATGTCCTATTTTTTCTAAACATGAGGTTGGTTCTCCATATAAAATCGCTACAGGGTGCAACCTGAAACTGTGAAAAATTTCGGAATTTTCAAACGGATCCCAAATGAACAAAAACTTTCTTTTTCAACTTTGAAAGCAGAGACATGAAGATGATCTCATTACCTAGGGATATTTTTCAAATTGTCTTATTATCTCATTTATTCACAGAGTGATCTCAAAAAACTTCCTGGTTTTGTAGTCATAACTTTTGTCCTTGTAAACCCGTTTTGAGAATCTCATTTCGAAGCTGCAACTTCAGAGGAAGAGATATGAAGATCAGAGTTGACTCAGAGATGAAAATAACACAGTGTCTCACTTCTAATGGAAGCACCCCTGTATCTTTCGTAATTGTTGAGTTACCATTCTGAAACTTACAGGAGCGGGAGATATACTGTAAAGACTGTAAATAAACACTATGACCAAGTGGAGTCATCTCCAGTGATGTACACTGCTCGCCAAGAGTCATGGAACCATCCAAATCTTCGGAAAATGTTATTAGGAGCCGCAAGATAGGTTGAAAATCACTTCGGATTCGAAATCAGGACGTCCAATTCACTGACTATACTGGCTCCACCATCCCCACCAAGCCCACCATATCTATGCTCGGTATTTCCATCAGCAACACTCTTTCATGGGATAATCATGTCAGATCCATCGCAAAAGCTGCTTCACAAAAACTAAAATTCTTGTTCCGTGCGAGAAGCTACTTTACACCTCAACAGCTTCTCATGATCTACAAAGCGCAGATACGGCCTGTTCTAAAATACTGTTCCGACATATGGGGTTCAGCACCAAAACATAAGCTGATGCTCTTAGATTCCATCCAGAGAAGAGCCATTCGCCTGGTGGGTGACGCCACACTCACTCACTCTTTGACATCATTGGAACACCGTAGAAAGGTCGGCGACCTTTCACTTTGCTATCGATACTTCTACGGGAAATGTTCTTCTGAAATCTCTGCTATCATCCCTTCACTAGCAATACCAATCAGACGAACTAGACAAGCCCAGTCAGCACATCCTTTCGTTGTCAACCTCGAAAGATGTCGAACAGCACTTTATCAAGACTCCTCCATCCATAGAACGGCTAGGCTATGGAATTCATTGCCTGTGGAAGTATTCCCAACAACATATAATCTCCAAAAGTTCAAAAAAAATTTCATTACCTGCCTCCTGTCCCTATCCTCCCTAGGAACGCACGATGTTCTTTGAACATTATAGGGATTCCCTTTCGTGCGCTCCAAGCGATAAAAAAAATATTTTTTCTGGAATATTTTCAGTTCGAAAAACTCAAATTTTGTCTCACTTCTCATGGAACCACCCCTGTATCTCACGTAATTATTGATGTAGGGTCTTGAAATTTGCAGGAGGAATCGGAAGGGACGTAATCATCTATACCGCTCTCGCAAATCAGAATCCTAATTTACTCAACAATTACGAAAGATACAGGGGTGCTTCCATTAGAAGTGAGACACACTGTATAATGTTCATCTTGAGTCAATTCGTATCTTCATATCTCTCCATCTGAAGTTTAAGCTTCGAAATGAGCCTGAGATTTCAAAAATCGGTTGACGAGGAAAAAAGTTATGACTGCAAAACCAAAAATCAAATTTTTTGAGATCACTGTAAATAAAAGAGATAAGGAGACAATTCGAGAACTGTCCCAAGATAATGAGATCATCATACCTCTACTGTCAAAGTTGATAAAAAAGGATTTCTTCATTTGGGATACTTTTGAAATTTCCGAAATTTCGCACAGTTTCAGGTATCACCCTGTAGCGATTTCATGTGAAGAACCTTATGTTTTGAAGAATTACGAGATTATAGCTGAAGGACTGGGCTAGGGAACAGTGTGATCCGAATTCAAATCGTTCAAAGCAGAAAAAAAGTTATTCATATTTCAACACAGGCATAGATTAACGATTCCCCGCAATAAAGGAAATAAGTGTTGCCTAGTTTATATCAGTCACAACCCCTCGTACTCAAGAAACTATCTCCTGTTTTCAGTAAAAGTACCGTGATGATTGCTCATCAATCAATCAATCAATCAACTTTTTCATTTCCTTGAAACAAAATTTGTTTATAGCAGATTCTGCAACTATGAATACGTTTTTTGTAAAGCTTGACGACTTTCCAGAAGTACTTCACTTTCGGAGTAACTACTGATTGTTATTTCTGTTGTTAAATTCTATTTTTTGGTAAAAAAAATCGATTCTAGTCACCTATACCTAGGTATTCATAACTGACGAGTCTCAAGACTTACTATTCAATTTTAGCTCAAACCAAGATGGCATTTTAGTTTCAGCTATTGTTAAATATCATGCAGAACAATGATATTCAATCGATGAGGAAGAGCAAAATACTGGAATTTAACATGATGGTTTATAAGGTCAAATAAAATAAAAATAGATCGTCATTGAAACATACCGTATTTTGTGGGCGTCTCTTGAGATTCAAGACAAAATCTTCACATTTATCAATAAACTGGCTGTTGTTAATATTTTTCATGTTTTCAATAATTATTTTGCTGTTTGAGTTTACAATTATTGATGAATGAAATTATCTTGTTTATTATTCGTATGTGATCCTCATGGTTTGAATAATAAAAAAATAAAATGATATTTTTATGCAGTGCAAAGAAAAACATGAAATTAGTAAGGAAATGTATGTACTACATCTCCACATTATTTCTATATCTATGAAATGATGTGAGCATTATGTTATTGTGTGTTTTCCAGCTACGTCAGGAAATCGTTAGATTCATCCGTAATTACGTATTTATAACGTAACCATAACTAGTAAATATCACGTTGACATTTTGAGTTCCATTTTTTTTGCCTTCCAAGTTATTAACAGTGTGACACCATAAAATGCAGACCCCTGTAATTCAGTCATTTTTGAAACCAGAGATTCAATTTTTCATACAGAAAAGGGCAAATTCTCGATATTTTGCTTCGCGTTAGAAATACCGAAGAATGTTACCTGGAGAAGTTGCTAAGAAATAGATTTTTTATAATTCTCATATTCGAGTCCAATTTTCAAATAATGGTACAGCTACAGTAATGATTGAATAGCCAGAATCAATATATTGAACAATTGAAATAACTTGAATTGAAAATTTTTATTTCAACATAGGTATATAAGTTACTCAATCGAATTTAGTCTTATTAACTAGCCTACCTCTGAAAATTTTCAAAATTCGACTTTTGCTTCGAAATTTGGTATATGTATATAGGGTCGAAATCGATTTCCAAGCAACTTTTTCAAGTAATTTTTTTCGGTATCTCCAACGCTAAGCAAAATATATAGACTTTGCCCTTTTTCACGGGATCGCAGTAGGCTGATTTTGAGGCTGTCACTCTGGCGGAATAATACTAGAAATGCAGTATAATGAAGTGAAATACAGTGATGTCTTCATCTTAAGTGTATCACACTGTATAGGTACCAGGTGTCCACGTAGTGTTGAGAAGCTCTATAGCTTCACTGTGATAAGAAATGGACAAAATCTCATTGAGGATATAGAACTATATCGTAAAGTCTACAAACCAAAATTATTTTGATCTCTACAGGATGTTTTTTGAACGCTGAAGTACATAAACTAGAACTTTTGTCAAATGAAATACCCTGTATTCCATTGCATTATTGAATTCATCCTGGAGAGCTAATTTCATCAATCCATACTTGGGATCTAGCGGGAATAATTACAGAGATATAGGGTGTTCAAAATCAAGAATTTTCAACTTCAAGATTTTCTTGTGCTGAAGATATTCATTATCTCTATTTACTTTCGATTAACCTTCTACTGACATTTAATTGGAACAAATAGTTGGTGATTCAAGATGCAGAATTATGATTACCCTGTATCTGTTTCAATAAAATGTGAGTCGATAGTAAATCAAAAGTCAAGATGGGAATGTGGAAGCCATTTTGGCCATTCATGTAAAGTTTCGACAACGATAAATGTATACAAACCAAGACATTTTCTGAACCTGATTTCCTTATATAAACTTAAGATATGTTGCTTTATTCATTTTGCCAGGAATAAATTGAAAATATCAAATTTAGCTTTCGATGAAGTCAATACAGTCCATAATTATGGGACTAGACAATTGAATTACTTGATAGCAAATACATTCAAGTCAAACATTGGCAAACAATCTGTTTTTTACAATGGAATAATTTTATAAAATTCATTACCGAATGAGTTCTTAAAAAATACTTGCTCAGGACAATTTGAATGAAAAATATGTGGCATGCTTTGATTACTCAGGAATGAAATATAACTTCAATCTTATAAGACACAATATTAATTCGTTTCGACTGAGTGGAATTCATTATAGTTAACCCTTTATTATTATTTTCTTTTATATGTATTTATGTATCCCTATCATAAACAGAAATGTTTCTTGGGGTAATAAAAACAATCAATCAATCAATCAATCAAAATGATCGACTTTGAACACCCTATATATCTCTGTTATCATTCCTGCTACCCTCGAAGTGCGATACATCGATGGAATCAACCCTTCTGGGTTGAAAAAATCCTGATTCATATAGTCTCGCGTTCAAAACACATCCTATAGAGGTCAAAATAATTTTGATTTGTAGACGATTATGATATAGTTACATATTCTCAAAAAGATTTTGTCTATCTCTACGTGATCTCGTCCTCAGTGTTGTTGATGGAAATATTTCCATGTATGTATTCCCAATATTTCCATATATTTCCAATGTTTCAGGGAATATTCCTGGAAATATTTCCGAAAATATATCGGTAAATTTTTCAACACTATTTCCAACCAATAAAACCTTTTGCAGGCATCTCTCTTTGGCTGCGAGTCCTGGGACGATCGTGTAGAGATGGCCATTCGAATAGTTGGAGACAAATCAAAATTGAGCAAAGAGTACCAAAGGTCCGTATCCACGGGCATATACGAGAGGACCAAATGCATCATGAACTACGTCCCATCTTTCACCAGCATCAAATCAAAAGTGAAACTGTACAGATCCACGTTGAACAGCTTCTCGTACCCGGAAGAAGACTACGGGCTGTCTGGTGTTTGCGGACACCCTGTAGAGGTGGAATACGTCGATGGAAGCCACATCAGCATTTTGGATAATGTGGCGTTACCCGAACTGATTAATTCTTTGTTTTCCGTGGAGTCCTCTGGAGAAGCACAATGAGCTTTTTTGTTACCTGGGCTATCACCATGAGAATAAGTTCTTCTCGATTTGAATGCTCTATTTCTATTTTGTAGCTGGATAATTCATGAATCTGATAGGAATTGAAACTGTACTGTATGTACAGGCTGTTTCCTTATATTTTGACCCCTTCCAACAATATCAACTGTACTTGGTGGAAAAAACTCCAAATATGGAAGTTGTATAGAGTTTCATCTGTATCTACTATCTTTTGGCACTCATTAAATAAACGAATGCAAATCGCAAAATGAATAGGGAGAAGGGTCCATACCAGTTGTTCTAAATGGAACAACCTATACAGGGTGGGTCACGGTAGATGGCACCTTAGACGTTTACGGAGAACGGGACATAAGATCATTCTGAAAATTTGGTTACTCAAGTAATTGCTCTTGATCTATCGATCTGAAATATTTTCAGCTCTGCGGCGTTGCCGCTTCTATCGAAAAGTAGCAACAACTTTGTTACTTTAAATGAAACACCCTGTATTTTATCGCATTTTCAGATTCTCTCTGAAGAGCTGATTTCATCGATGTATCACACTTGGGGCCTAGCGGAAATGATTACAGAGATATAGGGTGTGAAAAATCGACATTTTTCAACTTTAGGAATTTTTTTTGGCGAAACTATGCATTATTGGTCAAAACGGCTCACATGTCCCCATCTCAACTTTTGATTAACTATCTACTGATATTTAATTGGGACATATACCGGGTGATCAAGAATCTGAATTCTGCACCACCCTGTATTTGTTTCAATTGAATGTCAGTAGATAGTTGATCAAAAGTTGGGATAGGGACATGTGAGCCGTTTTGACCAATAATGAATAGTTTCGACAAAAAAAATTCATAAAGTCGAAAAATGTCGATTTTTCACACCCTATATCTCTGTAATCATTTCCGCTAGACCCCAAGTGTGATATATCGATGGAATCAGCTCTTCAGAGAGAATCTGAAAATGTGATAAAATACAGGGTGTTCTATTTAAAATAACAAAGTTGTTGCTACTTTTCGATAGAAGCGGCAACGCCGCAGAGCTGAAAATATTTTAGATCGATAGATCTAGAGCAATTACTTGAGTAACCGAATTTTCAGAATGATCTCATGTCCCGTTCTCCGTAAACGTCTAAGGTGCCATCGACCGTGACCCACCCTGTATATTTTCAACTTTTGTGAAAGATCTCTGTCTTCTGTTCTCAAATATACAGGCTGATCCACGGTGGATGGCCTATTAGAAGTATCTGGAGAAAGAAAAGACAGAACATTCTGAAAATTGGGATGCTTTGATAATTGAACATTCTTTATCCGTCTAAAATATTTTCATCGATACAGTGTTGCCACTTCTATCAGAAACAACTAGCAACTTCGTCATTTTAAATAGAGCACCCTGTATTTTATTGAATTTTTAGATTCTTCTTGAGAAGCTGATTTCATCAATGCATGACACTTTGGGTCTAGCAAGAATGATTACAGAGATATAGGGTGTTCAAAATCGAGATTTTTCAATTTCAGGATTTTTTTGTGTCGAAAGTATTCATTATCAAAACGGCTTACATGTCCCTATCTCAAGTTCCGATTCACTATCTACTGACATTTAATTGAAACAGGTACAGGGTGATCAGAATTCTGAATCTTGGAACACCCTGTATTTTTTCCAATCAAATTCCAGTAGATAGTCAATCAAAAGTTAAGATAGGGACATGAGGGCCGTTTTGATCGATAATGAATAGTTTCGACACAAAAAAATCTTAAAATTGAAAAATCTCCATTTTGAACACCCTATATCTCTGTACTCATTCCTGCTAGACCCCAAGTGTGATGCATTGATGAAATCAGCTCTTTAGAAAGAATCTGAAAATGCAATAAAATACAGGGTGTTCCATTTGAAATAACAAAGTTGCTAGTTGTTTCTGATAGAAGTGGCAACACTGTATCGATGAAAATATTTCAGATGGATAGATAATGTTCAATTATCAAAGAATCGCAATTTTCAGAATGTTCTGTCTTTTCGTTCTCCAGATACTTCTAATAGACCATCCACCGTGGATCACCCTGTATATAGTTTGCTAATGTTCCCTTTCGACTAAATTTTTGTTGCACTACTGAAATGTTTGCAATATTTTCATAATATTATCTTACTATATCGTATTTTGCGTCTACGAAATAACCCATTTTCATTGAAAAACTGACAGAGATGTCAAAAAATGCCTGTTTTGCTTCCGTGGCATTTCTGATGTGTCCACAGTCATGGCAACTTTTCAATGTCAAATAAGTGAAAAATGGCTGGAGAAAGAATTAGCGAGCTATATATTATATTAGTGAATAGGAGAAAGATATTTTTTACTATAGTTGAAAATAAACTGGTTTTTTCCATAAAAAACACTGATTTGGACTGTTTTTCTCAATGTTCCGATTCGCATTTGTTTATTTAAGGAGTGCTTAGAGAAGATAAAAATAGAACACTCCAAGAAATAGAATAGGAATATTAAAAACAAAATTGGTCCCACAACTGATCCTTGCGGTACTCCACATGTGATATTCCTTTGTGAGCCACAAGTATCATTCACTTCAACATGCTGCTTTCTATTTGTCGAATAATGTGTGAACAAATCACGAATAATACTTCCTCTGATACCGATTGCATATAATTTATTTAGTAAAATTGTATGATCTACGCAGTGTCAAACGCCATAGGACCCAAGGACAATGAGCCACTTTTATATATTATTATATTTTACTAAACCTTTGGTAACTACTACCGACTATTTTCTGTTAGTGAACCCTACAACTTTCATTTTTGAAGATTTTGTTCACCTCGTATTGTTGAGGTTGTAGATAGGGGTCACAATTTTCGGAGACATCCTGTACAGGGTCATTCCGTATAGTTAATCAGCATCTACAGGGTCCTTCATCAAATATAGAAAGAAGTTCAAATAGAGAAGTTGTATAGGGTATATTCCCAACCTCCAGAAAATTGTACGAGGTGAAACAAATGAATATTACTAATACAAGAAATGGGTATCCACTTTCTTATTTCAATGGGACACCCTAATAATTTTTCGAAAAAATTCAAGATCATTCTTTTCTTATTCGAAAAATATTTATTGTTGATATTCGGCTCAGCCGTTTTATTTTGTGAAGGGCTGAACCTTATATTGACAACCCATATATTTTTGAAATAGGAAAAGGAAGATTTTATATTTTTACTTATATCAACGATATTAATTTTTTCACCTTGTACAATTTTCGAGAGCTTCAGGACAAACTGAATAACCTTTGTATCTAAAGTTTTTTTCTATCTTCAATGATGAACCCTGTAGAAGCTGTTCAAATATGCGGAATGTCTATACTAATTTGATAACAACATTGTTGGTTTCTAAATCTGTTTTATAATTGGGATTGTGAATATATGGAAAGACAGTTCATATAATTTTTTTTATTTATAGTGTACTATTTTTCCGAAACTCAAACCAATTTGAAATAGTAGGTAATGCATTATGAAAGAAAGTGAATTTTTCAGTACATTTCTGGAGCATTGTTTTTATATTTATATTTTTTACTGTCTTATTATATAGGATAAAATGAAATAAAGGAGAAAATATCTTGATAATAATAGTTTTCTTCATAATTCCTTCAATATAATCGTTACTTTTTGTATCCATCGCTCATACATAATTTCTGGTTGTTTTATTAAGTATAAAATTCTTCAAGGTGAAAACCTGTTGGATTAAGGAATGCATACAAATTTGTAGAACAACTGTCTCCATCAAATAAAATCTTTGACATAATATTTCCTCAAATGATAAGATAATACGAATTGCAGTATAAATCATGCGGTTTATTCTCAATTTGCGCATTTGTTTATTTCTCATAATGAATTCGTTCGGGATTCTTCTGTTTGCCTTCCTGGTGGTAAGCATTTTTATATGTCCTAATAATTTTGAGAATCTACCATTTTGTAGTGCAAAAAGTTGATGTTGCAAAAAAATCAAAATGTTTCACCATATTTTACTATATTTTCAAAATTATTCTCAGAAGAACTCACCACACACCTTATCAAAATTTATAATCGAATAAATACAGAAAGCTCGAAGTCATTTCCATTTCCACACAATGTTCATAAAATGAACAACAGTGGTAGATTCAGGGAGAAAAACAACCACTTTCCTGGATAATGCCACGCAGAACATTGAATTATATCCTGACGAAATCTATGCATCGACTCGTATAAACGAATACTGATACAAGTGATTCTCTCCTGAATGCCTATTGATTTGAATTCAGCCAGGCCACGCTAGACACCTACAGACCGGTTTCGAGCTATTTGACTCTCATCAGTGCAGGGCAGTCTCCAGCCAGCATGCCTAAGACCGCTGATTAAGCGTAGCCTAGCCAAAATATTCCCCCAAAAGCGTCCTCTATAGACAATATAAGAGCAAAGCCATCTGTAGGAAAGAAGGAAAGACTGAAAATCCATAATTCCCATACGAGAGTGGTTGGTTGCCCGACTGGCGTAATTTCAACTACGTGTTGAAATTTAAAACTCTTTCAATATTGATAGATTCGATGATACGCTGAATACTAAATGACTTGAAGAATTACAGTAAAAGTAATGAACCAAAATGAATTAGGTAACACACTATCAACTATTCATACACATTCAGGAAATCCTTATGGGAGAATTATTATATCAAAAGTTCGAAATATTTACACTGAACTATAGTAAGCACTTGAATTTTATCAGTAAATGGAACTTCAGTCATCTGTGGCAATATTTAATAGGTATTTTATAATAGGTCATTGTCATTGTGAATTTCTGATTCTATATGTACAGGGTGAGTCATTAGTGTGGCAAAGTGAGATAACGGCTTTACAGTTTGAGATAGATAGACAAAAGTTCCAGAGATGATCTAGGATCATGAGCAGCACATTTCCAAATTATTTCGCTTTATACAGGGTGACTCAGAAATGCCTTGCGTATCAAAGTTATACTTTTTCTCAAGGGACACCCTGTATTTCATTGCATTTTCGCATTCTCCTTTGTGGGCTGATTTCATCAATGTATCACACTTGGGGTCTAGCGAGAATCATTACAGGGATATAGGGTGTGTCATAAAATAATATTTAACCAATTTGAGATATGTTCAACCATATCCATTTTATACGCATTCTTTAGTGATAATTGGCGGATATATGTAACAATTTTTTTTCAAATTCCTATATACAGTTGGTGTTTTTTTTTTTCTTGCAGATGTGGTGTTTCTTTCCTGCCGCATATCCACAAAATTGTACGGCAATTGGACGATATGAATATGAAAGTGATATCACATGCCGTAGTTTTTATATTTGTGCTTATTACAATGGAAATTTCCTCAAGAGCAACTACACCTGTCCCAGAGCAAAAATCTTCAATTCCACTACAAAAATTTGTCAAATAGGAACTTGTTGATAGCTGTTGAAAGACAATGTGTTCGAAGGAATATCCTCTTGAAGTCCTGAAACAGTTTTTTCCAATACAAGAATATAATAAAAATTATTCATAATATCACATTGGAATGAATAATTTATACATGTAAAAGTATCTGTTTTTATAGGCATATACATATAAGAATATTAATATTGAAAATAATCATTTCTTCACAGTTTGAAGAGAATTTTGTATTTACTCAGCCTTTACTCGTCAATGGAAATCCATAGTAAATCTAAAAAACTTGACTTGAGTGGTGGTTTCATCCCCCAAGTATCTTTAAATGAATGTAGGACTTATCTGATGCTTGAATAAAAAAGGCTATTGGCTATATTGCAGCTCAGTTTTTGAAAACAGATTCACTCGAAGCAAATACGAAGCTTGAAAATATCAAGAACACTTTTGACAAAAAAAACGATTCAATTCTAGTTCAATAGTTCAACAATGTAGCAACATTCCATCACCTGGAAGTCACACAAGTCAGCTTTCTAGCAACTACCTGATGACCTATCAAAATGCGGAGCACACAAAAACGAGCCCAAAGAATCTACGAAGCAGCAAAATCAGGGAAGGACTTTATTTGAATGATGTAATGAGTTTTTAAGTTGATTTAACTCGATTTTTGAATTTTTTTCCGAACGTTTTGTTGGTTTCTTCAAAATCCATTTTTTTTTCGAGGAATGGTTTTGGAGATACAACTCAAACTTATGATTTCTTCAAATGGAACACTCTGTATTCTATTAGCTCATTAAATTCTTTTTTTTTTCTCCAAAATAATATACAGAGATGACCTGTAAATTATCTGCACATTGCATTTTTTCTTAAAAATGATATACAGGGTGAGTCATAACTGTTCAATTGCGTTTTCCTCGAAAACGGAAATATCGTTCACAAAATAGAGTACCAATATTACGTGGAAATGATGTTTATGTCATGTCTTTTAATCAAATTCACTAAGAATTTTCGTAAAAAAAAGTTATCAGTGGATTTCTTCATCAGGAATCATTTATACATGGCGCCCCCTTTAAAAAATCTATAGAACAATCGATGAATATAAAGTGAAATTATTAGCGAAACGAATAAAAATTTTCGACTTCAACGTGGGCTACGGATTTTTCATATACAAAAAGAGTTCCAATTGAAAGAATATTCCTTCCGATTTTTCCATGAAGAGAACAAAAACAATACCAAAACTATAATCAACTAACTAAACACAAAATTTAGGTACCTAATAGCGCAACAAATAAAGTAAGAAAAAGTTCAAAATGTAGAATGAGCACCTGATTGAATATTTACAAAAACAATAGAATTTCGAGATTATTCAGTAACTCATTCATTGAATTGTTCAAATTAATGTCCATATATTCCCTAACACACATTGACACACTTTCTCAATACGTCAATAGGCACAACAATCTGAAAGAACTTCGTGTAACAACAAAGGCATCTTTCCAGGAATTGAAAAGACATCCTTCAATGATTTTGAATGCATTAAGACCAATTGACAAAGTGTGTGAGGGAAAATTGACATCAATTTGAACAATTCAATGGATAAGTTACTGAATAATTCTGAAATTCCTTGTTTTAGTGAATATTCAATCTGGTGCTTATTCTACATTTTGAACTTTTTATTACTATTCATTTGTAGCCATTAGGTACTTAAGTTTTGTGTTTTCTAAGTTTATGTTGGTTTTATTTTTGTCCTCTTTATGGAAAAATCATAAGAAATATTCCTTTAATTGGAAACTATACCCCGAAAAATAACATTTTGTGCGCCACTGGACTCTGCGTAATATTCACTATGAGCGGATAAGCTTTCAATTTGACATTTTCGCTGAGGAACTTCATTGATATAGGAAGAGGAAGTCCAAAAATATGACTTTTCAAAATCACCCTGTATTCCATAAACGAAAATAGTTATAAGCAAAATCTGATAAGGGCATCTTGAAAAAGTAGCACAGGACCCCGTAGACCGCAAGGTTCTATCTTCAACAACAACTGGGATTCCAGGCTGTCTTACCTGTCCTAGAATCTGTGGTAGAAATCTTTCTATGTAATTTCGGGATATCCTTGTAGTAGCATTTCTACATAATCATATGACCACCATATACGTATTAATAATCAATACAGATAATCTCTATCTGTTTCCATAGCGAAACATGAAGCCGATTTTTGAAGACAAATGACTATCCATAAGGAAAAGTTTTGAAACGACACATACTGCTTTGATTGAAAGGCTAGTAAACGTCATTGTCCACCGAAACGCATGTCTTTGATGACTACTATAATAGCGCATGGCGCATGCGTATCATGCCACCAAATCCTTATGGATATTCATTTGTTTCATATTTTTGGCTTCATCCTGGCACCCGTTATGATCCGTATTGTTTATTAATACGTATATTATGATGGCCACACGGGCCACACAACTGTATGTCATATTACTGTCAACTGTCTTACGTTATTTCTGTCAGTTATACTAGTATAACAACAAGCTTGTCATGTCCATCCTGTCAGGTGTCACTAGTAAGTGTCATACAAAACTTCCCGCCAATATTGTAGAGACGCAGCCCGAGTCAGCTCAGTTTATCAGAAAATGATTATCACTTGTTCTAGTAGTGCTGTTTGAAATGTTTTTCTAATTTAGATGAATTTGGCATTAATAAAAGAGTAAGCATCAGTTTGAGTACTGGTTTTATTATAAAGAAAATATAAAGTAGGATTGTGATGTTACACCAACCCTACAATCCTGTATACATATTCTGGAAGTCTGGGAGCTTACGCGATAAACCCTGTATATGAAAAGGACTAAGAGGAGTATAAAGGTTGTTTTCGGCATCTCACGGAAAAATTAGACAAAGCGGCAACGGCGCGCGATCTGACGCGCAAGGAAAGGATCCCGCGTAGGGAGATTGGAGAATTGCGCTGCTCCGCTGCTGCGCCGGGCCAAACAAACACAACATATTTTCCATTCTGTGCCACCGCCGTCCTTACTGTACTTTTAGTAGTGGAGCAGTGGAGCAGTTTACTACAATAGTCCGTGGAGTTCAGTAAGTTCCGCAGCGTTCAAAGCCGGAAGAACAGAGCTGCACGTGATCGATAATATCCTTCGTTGTTCGTAGCCACAGCTGGCCTTTCGCCGCGCACACATAAGTCGATTCGGTTCAAGATCAAGAGTAAATACAGGGGCGATTAGACATAAACACAGATGACCTGCTTTTCAAGTTTTTTTTCTGACAATGTCTAATAATACTGATAGGGTGAGTAGTTGTCACAAGTCACAATTCTGTGAATGTACCACCTAAATTCTCGCACGCATACTTAGTGTGGGAGGAAAGTAATCGATTGCCGCACTAGTGCAGAAATGTAGGAAAATAGAAAACACACTCGGTATAATATCTTTCTATTCGGTTCAAGATCAAGAGTAAATATTATAGGGGCGATTTTAGACATAAACATAGATGACCTGCTTTTCTAGCTTTTTTCTGACAATGTCTAATAATACTGATAGGGTGAGTAGTTGTCACAATTCTGTGAATGTGCCACCTCAATTTCCGCACGCCAACTGAGTGTGGGAAGTGATCAATTGCCGCACTGGTGCAGAAATGTTCGAAAATAGAAAACACACGATATAATACGAGATATAATATCATTCGATTCGATTCAAGATACAGAGTAAGTGAATAAATGTTTAGAGGCGATTAGTTAGATTGGGAAGAATATAAAACTGACACAGCCGTTTTGGCACAATCAAATGAAGACCATCTAGTATTTAATAAGTATTAATTAACTATTTTTTTCTAGAAACGTCAAAAAATGACAAGGTTCGCGCATTGATAACAAATTGCGAAGTGACACTTTTTTTCAGTTCCCTACGTTAGTACGTTACCATGATACCTTGCACAAAACAATGCGCGAATTAAAACAGTGCGCGAAGTGCCAACTTCGCGCATTGTTATGTAAAATATATGAGATTTTTATATTTCAACGTTATGGTCCTCAATGGAGCAAACATCCACGAAATCATTTATCTTCGAATGTTCAACAATAGCTTTATTTCATCTCTTGGAGGGCACGAAAGGAAATTCCTATTAAGTTCGTGGAAAATCGTGCGTACCTAGGGAGGATAGGGGGAGGCCTTTTAAGCCAGTTCAACACTTTTTTTTATATCAAGCTGAGCATATTTTTACTTTGGAACTATATTTTTTGACGTTTGTAGAAAAAATGTTGTTTGCAACTCGAGCGCGAAATACTTTGGTCGAGACTTTGGTCATCTCGACTATTTTTTAAACTCGGTTACGCCTCGTTAAAAAAATCAGATCTCGATCACCAAAGTAGCATTTCGCGCTCTAGATACAAAAATAACTATTTTACACCAACTCGATTTTTTTAAGCGAAAAAATAGCACAACCGTTTCACAATATTCCACCCAAAAAAGCGAGCAAAAAAGTCATGGACATGGTTCAAAGTTGAAATTTTTAACTGTTCAATAAATTTCGAATGGTGTATCGATAATCTGAATTTGAATGTTTTTAAAAGGGCCTAACGAGGGGACTAAAATATGCATTCAATACCTAATATTGAAAAATTTAAAAAAGAATTCAAGAAACATCTACTCCTATTGGGTACCTAACAGCTGAGTCAATTCAGAATCATTTTGAAAAATGGATTCTTCTTGAGTGTGAGCGAGAGTGTGAGTCTTATTTTACTATCTTCTTAATTTTATTTTGTCAAATATATTTATGTATTCACCTGGATAGGATTTATAAGTAGCTAGTAGTTGTCACAATTATGTGAATGTAACACCTCAATTCCCGCACGCAAATACGTAAGAAAATAAAAAACAATCACGATACAAAGAATTCGAATCGGTTCAAGATCAAGAGTGAATAGGGGCAATTATTTAGACTTTAGAGCATTCTCGACCGACTTCTCAATAGACAGATGACCTGGTTTGCGAGTGGATTTGGGAGCTTTCTTTTTGAATATATCTAATAATACAGATAGGGTGAGTACCTAGTAGTCACAATGTGCCACAATTCTGTGAATGATACTTAAAATTCATTACATAACATCTCGCATAACATTTAAAGCTTATCACCTGGATAGCACAATGTGATTCATAGAACGTTCATAGGATATTCTTCGAGAATCGCTCGGAGAATCGTGAACATTCTCAGAATATTCTCACAATATGATACAAATATTCGAGGGATGGACTGTTTTAAATATTCTGAGAATATTCCCGGTATATCGAAGGAGACGGAAGGAAATTAAAAAAAGCTCGCTCCGGTGGAGGTGCGAACCTTCTCTTTTGTGATTGACGTTTTACAAACCTGAAACTTTAACCACTTCGTCACGAACCTTATTGATAAATGAAATGAATAACAAGATGACACCACTGAATTAGTGGGATAATCAGCATTGAGTCTAGAGAATAATAGGTTGTGTCAGGGCAAACATTATAAATATTGATAGGAAAATAGGAACAATATAATGTATTTTGATGCGATTCTCAGAATATTCAAAAGGAATATTCCCGCCAGAACATTCAAAAAGCATATTATATATGTCAAGTTGAATGTCCATAGAATATTCGCTGGATGATCATTCTGAGAACATTCTACAAGAATATTCTGAAATAAGTATATTTGAACGTTGTCAGAATATTCCGGAATATTCATAGAATATTCTGTGCTGCCTGGGCACTTATGACAGATGGAACATGGAAAAATCATTGGCGAGATCATTGGTTATGTTATAAAACCATTCAACATTTAACATTTAAGATTTAAGAAGATGGCCAAGTTCCAACTCAAGTAGTGATGATAAATGATCATAAATGGAATAAGCTGTGTGCATCTAAAAGTGACATCTCAATTTTATAATATGATATCTTGGGTTGTTATTCCTGAATATTAGTTTTTTTTTCTGATAGAAAATATCGAGGAAAATATGGATACTAAACCGTTCTTCAAAAATACACTAGAATGTCACCTTAATTCTGTTGCCTCCTCGCTTGCCTCCATATTTGGAAAAAGATCCAAGGAGTGAGCAAGTTCCGTTCACTCCGTTTAGGCAAAGAATAGTGAATACTTTCAAAATAATGTGGAGATATAATGGACATGGGTATCATTTTAGGGATAAAAAATAATAGAATATCAAAACATGAAATTTTGATTTCTCACCAGTTTCCAACTAACTGAACCTTGATAATCTGGTTCTGTATCAGAAACTAGATGTCAGTAATGACAAAAGACATGTATCGCGCCAGTAATGACAGAAGACATATAACTGAATCCACTCGAGCCTGTTGAGTCATAAATGTTGAAATGTTAAATCTAAAAATGCGGGAAGTGACCAATTGCCGCACAAGTGCAGAAATGAGAGAGAAAAAAAGAAAAAATACATTTTTGCCAATATTATTGTTAGTTTGACATCTATCTCGAGTTGTCACTCTGAGATTCCTGAGATCTTGTCCAGATAAACGTATATTGAGCATTCGTTGATACAACGATATATAGCTATTCATAATGACATTATCTGTAAATCTCCTTTTCTTCGGTTTTTATAATGCGAAATTGTTTCTCAAAACACAACACATCTTAAAAAACCCATTTTCTCAAATGTAAAATTCATTCAAATTTAATAGAAGAACAAGCTATTAAAACCATGTTCAAAACTATGAATTTTTTATTGACTGCTAATAATTCTAATTATCATATTAATGGCAATAGTGAGTGATACATATCATATTTTGTTCGAGTGAAGTCCAAAATGTGTTGAGTCTATGTAATGACAGTGATAAAAAATATATTACCCAATTAGAAATACTAATAAAACACCTCTGATGGATGAAATATGGAATCGAGCATCTAAGTACTAGTAATTAAATCACTATTAACACTTTATATAAAAAAGTATGATTACTGGTAGGACAGTGGTATGCTCTCGGATATGCTAGATAAAACAATACGTGATTTCAACCAGTGGTTTTTCTTTCATTTATTCAATGTACAACAGGAGAAAACAATAAGCAAATGTTCTCCGCGGCAAAGTTTTCACCACGACCTAAAAGGGACCACTGGCAATATAAGTGATGTAGTATTGTGATTCCGTTTGTTACCTTGCCAAATGTGAATGCGACTCGGAATGCGATAACTCAAATATTTTGTATTCATTGGGTTGTTATGAAAAAAATATGGATGTGATAATATACACAGCCATTATTTCGACTGTAGATAGTAGGTATTTACTTAAGAAATTGTCTCTAATAGAGTTGACTTTGGCGCAAATTCATTTGAGTGAAATCATAGATATTCACGGGATTATTTATAATACGAGGGAAAAATATTTTAGCTCGAGGTTGTGTGACAAAAACCGAGACAAAACCCGTTTTTTTTTGTGTTTCTTTGACAACACAACTTCGTACTGAAATCTTAAAATCCAATAGGTATGCTCGTAGGTATGTCTGTGATGAGAAACACGACGATACGATATTGACAAAATACCGAGCAAAATACTTCACTATATCTAAGTAGGAAATTTATCAACAGTAAGAACACAAGAGCTTTTTTTATCGGATACATTTCTCTTGGTAACGAATAACATTTGCCGATCAGAAATTGTTCTCGTAATTTTACGATAAGAACTGACATGAAAAAATAGCACATACTTCAAATATGGTGTACACTTTTATGAGAGTTGTTTGCCCCTAGGTTGACACTTGCAAAATGTTCGTGCTCGGCTTCGCGGTCTCTTCGCCACGCAAACGCAAATTTCACTTGTCATACAGAGTCATTCTTGATCCGAACGAAACATGCTTTTTTTCTGCTATCGAAATAATTGATATCTAATTATCAAAATATAAGTGAACATACCCCTATTTTGAGTCACTTGCATGTCAGTGTAAAAGCAGCTATCATATCAGCACCCCAATAAACTCAGCAGAACCACTTCAATATTTCGGATTTGCAATAGTACTATAATTTGTTACTAATTTAGTACTAATTTATTATCGTATTCGCAAATTTATTACTCTTCATTGAACAGAAGAAACCCGAGAAGAAACCAACGGCTCTGCTAGCTTTATGTCAACCTACAGAACCATAGCTGAAAATTTAATATTTCGAAAATTTTAAATATACCATAATTTATAACTATTTTATTACACTCATCATTTCAAGGAAAAAACGACGATTTGACTATCTCGATCTCAACCAAGCAGAACCAAAACTCAAATCACATGTTTTTTGAAATTCTGTAGTATCATCGATAAGTTACTAATTGATTACTAATTTATTACCACATTCGCAAATTCCTAACACTTCATTCAACAAGGAAAACCAACCTTCTTGAAATGAGGATTGACAGATCTGTGAATGTGGTAATACATTAGTAATAAAATACAAAGAGAAAAAAATCAGTTGAATTCACAAAATATTTTGTCATACATCCACGACAACATATTTTGTTAATATAGCAAAAGTTTTGTGGATTTAACAAAATTCTGATCATTGAAAATGCAAACAAACAAATAATTTGTTCAAGTAACAAAATGTTTGTTAATACAACTAAAAATGTTGTTATAGTAACAAAATATTTTGTCGTGGATATAGGACAAAATATGTTGCTGATTCAATCAAGTTTTTTCTCCGTCAGTGATGAATCATGAACTGAATGGAATGCCCGGAAAGTTTCAAAAATATGTCATTCGAGTATTGATTCTGCCGCGGGTGGAGATAGAAATAGACGAATCGGCGAGCAGAGCCGTTGTTTTTTTTTTGTTTAATGAAGTGTTAGGAATTTGCGAATGTGGAAATAAACTAGTATTGATAATTCAATATAGTATTTCAAAAAACATGTCATTTGACTTTTGGTTCTGCTAGGTTGAGATCGAGATAGACAAATAGACGTTTTTTCTTTGAAATGATGAGTAAAAAAATCGTGATTATGGTAATAAATAGGTAACAAACTAGTAATAAGGTATGGTATATTTGAAGTTTTCAAAATAATAAGTTTTTAGCTATGGTTCTGCTAGGTTGACATAAAGCTAGCTGAACCGTCGATTTTGCCTGTTGAATTAATTATTAGAATTTTGCGAATGTCGTAATTGATTAGTAATAAATTAGTAACTTATTGATAATTCAATAGAATTTAAAAAAATACGTGATTCAAGTTTTGGTTCTGCTAGGTTGAGATCGAGGTAGACCAATAGGCGTATTTTCCTTGAAATGATGAGTAAAAAATTCGTGATTATAGTTATAAGTTAGTAATAAAATAGTTATAAATTATGGTATATTCAAAATTCTCAAATATTAAATTTTCAGCTATAGTTCTGTGAGGTTGACATAAAGCTAGCAGAGCCGTTGGTTTTTTCTGTTTAATGAAGAGTAATAAATTTGCGAATATGATAATAAATTAGTACTAAATTAGTAACAAATTATTGTACAATTGCAAATCCGAAATATTGAAGTGGTTCTGCTAAGTTTATTGGGGTCATATCAGCTGTCATCCGACACGTTTTCAGTTCCTAGGAGTTAAACTTCATCCTCGACTTTACCTTTATCTCCTAGACACTGAAAGTGTTGGCTAGCAACATTCATATTAATCATTGCATTGTGTCAGTGAGAGAAACGTCAACTTCAAGAGCTAATTTTGGAACAAAAATTGACGACTCTTGAACCGATTGCAGAAAAATTTTCATTCGTGTTCATTATTCTTATCCAAACTACTTTCTTTCAGAATTGTAAGAAATCGACGGAAGTGAGTAGCACTGAAAACCACAGATGTTGTGGGGGCTCGAGCAGCCCTCTCAAGTGCTGTCAGTTCAACGATTCCTTGATTTCCGTGTCGAGGAACGAAGATGACGAACTCTGCGAAGCGAGAAACGTTTACATGAAGCCGACGAATGAAAATTTCGACAACAACAACAGCAGCAATGTCCACCTGATCAAGCGCCAGATGAATAAGCACGTGTTCGCCAAGAAACAGGCCATCGACGTCAACTTTGAAAAAGTTACGTTCTCTTCTACCAGTTGGTCGCTAACCAAATTCAGAAAAGGTCAGTAGTTTCTGTTTCTTTTGATTTTCGCGATGGGTAAACCGCAGTGGATTTCTGGTGTACAAACTACTGGAATTCCTTGAAATTCCCTGGAGTTTCTTGGATTTCCTTGAATTTTCTTCCTTAGAATTCCTTGGAATTTTTTGGATTTCCTTGGAATCCTTCGGGTGGAGTGTGGTATAATTCTGGTGTACAAACAACTGGAATTGCAGTCAGCTGCTGATGATCTATGAGGCACAGATCCGACCTGTCCAGGGAAACTGTTCCCATATTTGAAGTGCAGCACCCAAACATACCCTGAAACCGTTGGTGATGCCTCGCTCACAAACTCACTCACTTCTCTGGAACACCGTAGGAAAGTTGGCGATCTGTCTCATATAGATATTTTCATGGACGATGCTCTTCTGAATTATCAACAATAATTGTTCCTTCCTTGGCAGTCCTCGCGAGATTAACCCCTCGAGTTGAGGCTTCGCACCTCTTCGTGGTCACTTTGGAGACCTGCAGAACATCTCTTTCCAAAGACTCGTTCATCCAACGAACAGCGAGGCTCTGAAACACATTGCCAAGGGAGGTGTTCCCCGAGGCATATAACCTCCAGAAATTCAAGAAGAACACCAATTCCTACCTTATTTCCCTTGGTTCTCACGATGTTCTCTGAACATTACAGGATATCCCTTTTCGTGGGAACCAGAACATAAAAAAACCCTTGGAATTCCTTGGATTCCCTTGGAATGCCTTTGATTTCCTTGGAATTCCTGGTATTCAAACAACTGTGATGCCTTGGAATTCCTTGGAATTCCTTGTGAATTGAAGTTTGGTGTACACAATTTTGACCGCGGTTCACTCCTCGGTTTTTCTATTGCATTTTTCAATATGAACCTTGAAAGTGTCCCATGATTCTGCAATACTACACAGGGTCTTATGGAAATGAATACCTATTTTCGAGCCTATATTGAACACATCAATATGGTTTAGTGACTAACACAATGATAATACCGAGGATAATACCCGAGATAATACCTAACCAGTGGTCCGTAGAAGCCAAAATATGAACTGCAACCTCGACTGCAACTATAAAAGGTTCCGTAAATAAATGATTGGAAAACGTCGCAAATATATCCATTTTCGAAGATGAACTTCAGGCTTTTATTTGCAAACTTCAGTTGTGGTTTCGTAAACTTGAAGAAATTAATTATTTTGCGTTTGCGACATCGAAAGCACTTGTGGAAGACAAAACTGTGACGCTAGTAGAGCAAATATACAAAAAAACATCAAGACTCATTTGCAAATGTCCATGGACCAATTCAATCGTTACTTTCCCAGAATATTCCGTAATATATATTTCGAACACACATACAGGGTGATCACAATTCTGAATTTTTAACCACCCTGTACTCTTTTCAATTAATTGTCAGTAAATAATTGATCAGAAGTTAAGATAGCGACATAAACACCTTTCTGGCCAATAATGAATAGCTTCGACACAAAAAATTCCTTAAATCTCAATTTTCCACACCCTATATCTCTGTAATCATTTCAGCTAGACCCCAACTGTGATTGATTGATGAAATCAGCTCTTCAGGGAGAATCTAAAAATGCAATAAAATTAAAAAATGTATACATCTTGCCCATAACTATTTTTCTAGATGTTCAGTTGTTTTTCTGTTAACATATTCGAAATCTACAGGACAAATTATAAAAGACTTTTTCATTGGGAAAAAAAAATTCGATGATAAATAAAATAGTTAAGGGGGGATCAAAATATACGTGAAGACCCTGTATGTCGGAACCTCGGTCGGTACTCATTCGATAGTTGTTGATACTGCTATTTCCTCGGCTATTTCAGAGGCGTGCAGTACTGGAATACTTGCAGTGGATCCGTTATTATGATCACAATTATGTCGGATAATCTTTTCACCAAGAATATTCACATCGAATGTCGTATCACCCTGTATATATCTCACGATGAATCCTCTTCAGGAGTACTTCCTAAGATGGAAGATCAAATTGAATCCTGCAAAAACACAATTGGTCGCACTCGGAAGGGAGCGGAGACCTCCCAGTATCAGAATAGCTCGCAGAATAGTCCTGGATGGTCATGAGTGGTCTTCACAAGTTAAATACTTAGGTGTGTGTGCATTGACAAAAAGCTCACCTGGGCCCAGCACATTGAACAGCAAGTTTCAAAAGTTAAACGAGCCATTGGAGCCCTGTATCCATTTCTAAACAGACGAGGTGAATTGGGTTTGAGACAAAAATTGAATATTTACATCATGGCTATCACGTCAATTTTACTGTATGCCTCGGTAGTCTGAGGCCACACAGCTAAATCTCATATCACCAGATTACAAACATTACGAAACAAAATCGCGAGAATGGTGACAGGATATCCTTGGTATGTTCGGAATAATCAGATCGCCAGGGATCTGAAACTCCCTTCAATCGTGTCCATCATTAGAGAACGAAACATCAAGACCGTCGAGTTTCATGAGAATCAGCTTCTTCAAAATGCAGTTCATTATGACCCAGGTGATCAATCAAAGTTCAAGACCGAGATTGTCCATAAACTATATAGAGAAAATATCAACATTATGACCAAATTTACTCTTCTCAAGTGTTTGATATTTATTTCTTCCGTTCGATCTTTTTCAATTCTCAGAATGTATTTCTGGAAATTATTTGAGGCAGAAGAGCTGTTCGCATCAAACTTCAATACCGTTTTCGTTTTTTTGTTTCGTGATAGATATCAGGATAAGAGGGACTCTTCCCAATAAAAGAAAGATCCAATACATGTTCATATGAAGAAATAGTCTAATTTTGATCCCAACAATACGTCCTTAAAATATTCACATCGAATTTCGAATCACCCTGTATATATCTCCCGATGTGATTGAGATGGATGTAAAGATAGAGTATATGTTCTTAGTTGTTTGTTGTGACGATCAAAAAGGTTAAAGGGTCGCGATATCGGATTATTGTATTCAAGGTTTCGCGACATGGAAACCATGAAGTTTCGTAACGGAAACATGCAATTCAATGGGAAAGTGGACTGATAATGAATTATTGGCATTCAATTACTCCACTGTGTCGTTAGGAACCTAAATAAATTTTTACTACTCACATAACTAAAATGACTTTTTTCTACTCTCATAACTAAAATTACTTTTTTCTACTCACATAAATAAAATGGCATTTAGCGTACGGATATGTACCACGCCGAGTACCACGCTAAATGATCGATTAATCACGGATTGATTATCTGTGATTTATTTAAAATATTGAACACGTTACCATGGCTACACGATTTCTTAAACACATTACCATGGCACACAGTTCATTAAACACAGCTTCAGTAATTTGAGACATGTCTGACTTGTGAATTGTATTAACTGTGAACTGTTATTTTCAATTTTTTTATCAGAATTATTCAAACAATATTCGTTTGTATCAGAATTCTTCATTAAAAATATATGCGAAAAGTAGACGAAAGTGAAATCGAAGAGAATGTTCTGGTACTTACATATCTCCAAGAAGTATAAAAATGAAGCATCCATCTTCGAGAACAATTTATTTATTCTGCGCCAAGTATGACAATAAACGTAAAACAAAGGTTAGTGAGCAATGGACTGGACACATCTACAACCAATATCACTTATACGTGTTTCGCTGGTTGCATGCAGTTGCATGTATTATGTTCTCAATTTCCATTCCTTTCGAATTATTTTGTAGATTAAGCAGGAATTGTAGGTATGTTAATGTAATTTTCGGAGTTCGTAGAAAAAGCATAGTATGTAACACGTTTATAAACTCTTCTAAACACTCGCTCCACTCTGCTCCGCTCGTGCTTACAATACTCGTTACCTCGCTCGTTACTAAAAGGACTTTTTCAACACTGATACTACAACATGGGAAACTGATGATAACTGAGAAAATTCATTTTTATCTCATCGGCATTATTTGAAAATCATCTAAAGTTGGTTTATACTGAAGTTTGATAATTATCTCCTTCAAATCCTAAGAAATCGAGAAAATATACCAATTTGTTCTGGGACTTGAAGTGAAACTTCAATATCAGATTCTGGTCATTCAGTATGTCACCAAACTTCAAGAGGTGATTATTTGAGTTATTATAAGATGAAAAGTTCATGTTAACATATGTTCAGAAATGCTTCGTTTTCATGTTTCGATAAAAAATCGTTTTTTAATAATTACTCAAATATAAATTATGTTTTCCAATTTGGATGAAACTTGGCGATTTTGTCAACAGTATTAAGAAGCATCTTTTGTTGTGATTAGATTCGAAATTATGATTCCAGTGGCGTCGCAGTAAATTACCTTTTTTACGTTCGTCATAGTTTTTTTCAAGTCCGATATTTTTATCAGATTAAACAATCAAAATAACAACTTTCTTGTTCCTTATCAAATTCTTGTATATCACTTGTGAGGAAATAATGAAAAATTGATTTTTTTCCAAATTTTAATGTAATATGTGTCATCAAAACACCCATTGAGATCCCCCGAGGGATTATGTGTAGTATCCTGAAATCTTGAGACTTTCTTAGTCACCAACCAGACTGAATTTTTTTATCATGAAAGCTTATACAGGGTAATCATAAAAAGCGACAATCAATACTTCCAACTTCAATACCCTGTATCGTGGAAACACAGCATTCCAGGACCTATGTTCATGTAAACTTTCCATCATAGAATCACCCAAATAATCGACCCTTCAAGGTTGGCCACATACTTGAATAACGCCCTGTATAGACGATGATGATACTATACTTGGTTAGTTATTAGTAATATCTTATCATATAAAGAATTGAATTATAGGAACTATCAGTTCTACTATAGTGTTATTATTTCAATTATTATTATCGGACTTTGGCAATTATTGCTTATTGAAAAACTTCCTATCTTTATTACCTACAAACCAATTTGAAAATATGAATCGAACACGTTCTTCAATTTCAATTCCGCAATTCCAAGTTTACTGA